GATTGTGTACATAATTGCTGTCCAAAGCCTGATTTATCTTTTTATTTTTGAGGGAATAAAATGTAGGCCTGGAAACTTTGCCACCTTCATTTCATGTGAAAAGTGGTGGTGGTGGGGATGTAAGAAGAAGAAGAAGAAAATCTATTGCAGTGACAATTTTGTCTTGTGACACTACTCTTTCTACAGACACACTTTCTTGACCAAGTGAGCAGCATTGGACACAACAAAATTTACTTCTGAATAAACACGCTTAGTGTATATGTGAGATTAAGATTTTTATGCCCCAGTGTGCGTCACGTAACACTTGTTTACACTGAATTGCATTTGTGATTTTACTGCTCATTCACTCACTTTTGAAGCTTTTCGCAATCTCTTTCCTGTTAACCACCCTGAACAAAAGTGTTTCATTAAAACATTGTATTTTTAATTCTACAGTTATAATTATAAAGCTATACAAGTCCTGCTGAAAACCTGTCATGGTAAAAGCCTCAGAAAGGGGGGGGGGGGGATAGGAAATGCAAAGGCTCCATTTTCACTGAGAGAAAGCCAGTGTGGTGTAGTGGTTAAGAGCGGTAGACTCGTAATCTGGTGAACCGGGTTCACTTCCCCGCTCCTCCACATGCAGCTGCTGGGTGACCTTGGGCTAGTCACACCTCTTTGAAGTCTCTCAGACCCACTCACCTCACAGAGTGTTCATTGTGGGGGAGGAAGGGAAAGGAGAATGTTAGCCACTTTGAGACTCCTTAGGGTAGTGATAAAGCGGGATATCAAATCCAAACTCTTCTTCTTTTTCTTTTTCTTTTTCTTCTTCTCTGGCATAGTTATACAGAGCTAACCTTAGCATGGGACATGCACACTGCAAATGAGGCTTTACCTTATCCAGCAACATTTTGGTTGTATATTTCTGTCTGCCAGGATGAACAAAAGGAAAAGGATGGAAAACTCAATGCATCCTTTAAGGTTAATGGAATACCCTCCCCAGGGAGACCTGCCCTAGCACCTACCTTTTTTGGGGGGGGAGTGCCAAGCAAAGTTGGCAAGAGTGCCAACATCTTGTCCCATTCAGCTGGCAGCAAGAGGGTTCTTTGAATTAACATCTCCAGCCTAAATGAATCACATATAGAGTTGAATATTATTCTGTCTGCTAAATGTTATCAGCCATGAGAATATGGATACCAACTATTTGACAGTGACGAAATCAATATGGGCTTCGTGTTCAAGGGCCTAGACAGATAAATCCACCTATGGGTAAGATAATTTTTAAAAGTCAAGTAAACATATTCAGACAGATGCATTACATGGCAGCAGATGTACAAACATATAAGAATATTATTAATCACACTAGCATTTTAATAGCTGACGAGAGATGTAGGATGGCACATATGTTGTATCCTATCACTGGCATAGTAACGTGGCTCTCTTCCTGGTGGAAAGCAGAAGGGGATTGATAGCAATATGGTTCATTGCTTTTTCATTAGCTGATATGCTCAATACATCCAGGTGTTTGAATTGTCTGCCTGTAGAACAGTCATAATTGGAAAAATCTAGGACTGAACATGTTCAAAATGTTGCTGCAGAGTAACAGTTGTATTTAACATTTCATCAAGTTAATTACTAGCACTTTGGAGCTCTTTAGAAGGTCACATAAATCATAACTAGATAGGTCACTGGTGGCAAAATAACATTCCCAAGAATAATGGAAAAGGAGATTTATAGAAAATAAAGCACAACAGTTCTTGGGTTAGAACAAACTAACTTGAAACCACCACCATCCAGTATATATGAATAGCAGAATAGGGGAGCCTGAAGTTGCCTAAATCTGTGGCACCATCCATGCAAAAGAGGGGTAAACACTGGTAAACACGGGGAGAGGGAATAGAATGGCTGGCTGGTACCCTGAACAGGAATACTCCACACTGCAACATTTTGTTGCAGGACTCTTTAGAATCAAGGAAATTGCATGATTGCTATTCTCCAACTACCGTATTTTTCGTCCCATAGGACGCACCGGCCCATAGGACGCACCTAGTTTTTTTGGGGGGAAATAATTATTGGGTGGGAAATAAATTATTTCCCACCCAAAACCAGGTCGGGGAATCCAAACCAGGTCGGGGAACAGCGGTATGGCGGCGCTCCGCCTCCCCGCTGTCCCCCGAGCTTGTGGCGCTGCCCAATGTCTGCCCGAAGCGCGGGGCGCTCTGCTTCAGCACGCCCCGCGCTCTGTGCAGCAGGCTGCTATCCACAGCCTAGGGAGCCCTGCGGGAACTCCCTCAGGGCTCCCCAGGCTGCGGATATCTGCCCGGCGCGCGGGGCGCTCTGCTTCAGGGCGACCCGCGCACCGGGCAGCAGGCTGATATCCGCAACCTAGGGAGCCCTGCGGGAACTCCCATGGGCTCCCGAGGCTTGCTGATAGCTTCCTGAAGCCTGTATTCGCCCCATAGGACGCACACAGATTTCCCCTTCATTTTTGGAGGGGAAAAAGTGTGTCCTATAGGGCGAAAAATACGGTATTTTATTGCCTTCAATGTTTGCCTACAGGCATTCTCTCCTTCCTCCTCCACAAGCCTCAAGTTTTCCTTGCTTAGAAAAAAAAATCCCTTAGGGATGCATTTTTAAGCTAGAGGTCAAATTAATTTGATTTGCTTGGAAGATGTTTTTTTTTTAAAAAAAAAAAAACCCAGTTAGTAAGATGCTTAAGGGATATGCAAAAGCTTACTTGTGCATATATGATATATAGATGCCTCACTAAAGTTGGATAAATAGGAATGCAAAGAAATTTCAAGGGTCCCATATATCGCAGCCTCTGTTGATGTGGGTTGCCACAAATACATTTGCCTGTGAAAATAAAGGACATTCATGTGAAACTCAGAAGCACTTATACTTTTTAGTCTTCTAATCTGCTGCTGCTTTGATTTTGCTGTCTTTGGCAGATTACGTTATTTCAAACTGTTTCTGCTTTTGCTGTTTTACTGTTAAAGAGCCTTAGGACATTCGGTTTACACTGAAAAGTGATGTACCAATTTGAGAAATCAGGGTGTGTACTGTAAATGTGTGAAGGAGAGTGATTGCAGTCTCAGCCCAGCTTTCTGCTTGTGTGTAAACCCTGCATGTGAGTGATGAGTGTGTGTGTGTGTGTGTGTGTGTGTGTGTGTGTGTAATTTGCTCACCTCCCTGAAACCCCATCCCACTCCAGCTTGTGGGAGGTGACAGTCTGAAGTAGGGAGCCTAATCTACCCATGGCATTTCCCTGCATAACAGTTCTTAACTGTAGAGTGGAGAAGGCTCCCTGCTTCACACAATGCCCTCCATGAACTGGAGGGTGCCAGGGGTGGCAAGACAAGGGGTGAAGCTTAGTGTGCACCCACCACCCCACTTGCCAAGCTCATGTGGACGACCTACATCTGAGCAAGCTACGTAAACAGGGCCTGTGCTTCTTCATGAGTGATGCAGAAAAGTGTTGACTAAAAGAAGCCAGTATGTTCTGAAGCAAAAAGTCTGTTGATCAGAAAAAATGCAAAATGGCTAATATTTAAAAAAAGCTCCCTACTGTACATTGTCCAATTTTGATCCCCTCACTCCCAGTTGTAACTCCTTTAAACATTCTATTGCTCTACATTGCAAGCAGAGTGGGCTTGGCTTGGTTGTTGGCACCACCGTGACAATGAGTGTTGTGGCCCCACCTGCACTTTCCAGCTTTCAGAGTGTAAACAAGGAAAGAGAAGATTTTAAAGAACCTAATACAAGCTGTACAGGGATATAAGATACAGAAAACACCCGAGCTTGGAGATTAATTGACTCTAAACATCTGATCTGCATGCGTAAGTGGAAGAGATGTCATTAGCAGGAGTCAATTATGGCTTAAATGGTTTCAACAAATGCTGACTCATGGTATTTACAGAAGCTCAGCAGCAAAGCCACATTTCCCCCATTTTCGTAAACTCTGTAATTTAGCATTTGGTGGAAAGAAGAATCATATCCTCTGCCTTCTCATAGCATTATGAAATATATTTCAAAGCTCCACTAAGAGGCATCTTAATAAATAAATACAGACAATTTACGCATATCTATTAGCAATCACATCCCCAGTTTGCTATTCAAAATAATATAATAGCAGCCTTTTCGACTGAGACCAAACATCCATCTACTCCAGCATACTGCTACCCCAAAGTGATCTGGCAGGTACTGGCTATGCACATGCCAAATATTCAAAGCACATTTAAAGTGCTACTAATCACCGAGCTGTAGTTTGCTAAAGGTGTCAGGGACTGTAGCTCTCTATAGGGGGTAAACTATAGTGTGCAGGATTCTTTTTTTTGGTGGAGAAATGTGCTTTAAATTTGCTTTTAATGCATGGTGGGTATGCAGCCACTTGGGGGAAGTACACAAAACAGACACTAAGAGAATAGATCTCCTGCACCGTTGCTACCCTAATACATGGCAGGACTGACCCTACTATGTGGCAGGGCGAAGCAGCTGCCTCAGGCGACAGATTATCCAGGGCAAGGAGCAGCAGTGAGGTGTTTGGAGGACGGAGCGATGCTTTCTGTGGATTCCACGTACGTAAAGAAACCACACATACATATACACTGGGCTCTGTTTTCAGAATATGTATTTACTGTACTGTATTCAAATAAATTTGGGACGTGGGTGGCGCTGTGGGTTAAACCACAGAGCCTAGGACTTGCTGATCAGAAGGTCGGTGGTTCGAATCCCCGCAATGGGGTGAGCTCCCGTTGCTCAATCCCTGCTCCTGCCAACCTAGCAGTTCGAAAGCATGTCAAGTGCAAGTAGATAAATAGGTACCGCTCCAGCAGGAAGGTAAACGGCATTTCCGTGTGCTGCTCTGGTTTGCCAGAAGAGGCTTAGTCATGCTGGCCACATGACCCGGAAGCTGTATGCTGGCTCCCTCGGCCAATAAAGCGAGATGAGCGCTGCAACCCCAGAGTCGGCCACAACTGGACCTAATGGTCAGGGGTCCCTTTACCTTTATTCAAATAAATGGGGATAGAACTTGCTCCTTAATTGTTTTTGTGGACAGATTACAACTGCTTCCTTTTGAAGCAAAGGCATTATATACATGTTCAGAAATTCTAAATAAAACACATAGTGGTTGAGGGGTCATGACCTCAGATATAAGGGGTGGTGCTAAATTGGTGCAGTTAAAGGAGGGGATGACTACAAAACCAAGATAGTTTTTCTTCTTACCCCACTGAGTAAGGGAAGGGAAGGTTGTTAGCTTTGGAGATGTACCTTTCATGTTGCTAAACATGTCAAACAATTTGGACAATATATTTCAGTGTCCTCCAAACACATTAAACTCTGTGAACCTTTTTATTTACTATTAAATTTTCCTTTTAGTATAAAACAGCAGCCACGATACAGCACTTTAAGGAGAAGATAATGAGTCATGAAGGGAAGATATTCAGTAAATACCTGCATCTGTGTTTAGGCCATTAAAATGCCCTGGAATTGTGTAATAGTTTCTGCTGCAGAGGAAAGTATGGCATATCCTTGATCTTAAAGTGGTTTGGGGCTAATGTGTTAGCATTCTGGATGAACAGATTGGGTCCATGTTTATCCTGCTGCACTCTCTGCCAGTAATAAACCTATCAAGTGATTAGACTTGTGTCAACATAGAGGACTACATGGTGGCCAAAATACGCTGAGGATGTTGCGTGTAAGTCCCCATGAAAACAGTAGATACTACTTCTGAGTAAACAGATTTAAAATTATGCGACATGTTAGCAAGACTAATGTAACACAGTGACTAAGGGTGAAACTGGATGTGACTTTTATCACGTAATTTGGTGCTGCATAGCTGTTTCTTGTTTAATAAATGGGGTGGAGTGGGGAGCGGGACTGGGAAATTGGCACCGTGAAGGAAGCTTTAACCCCCGTTGTTATGTACTGAAGTTCTCACCCTGGGCCAGCAGGGGGGGTACTGTAGATAGTTTTCACTCAGGTCCACATATGCAAATAAGGGATTGAAAGTGACGTTCAGTGATTGGATAGTTACAGAAAGTTGTTGCAGTTGCGTTGTAGTGGAGCTCTATATAAGCAGGCTGGCTGGACCCTTCAGTTAAGTTCTGTTCTGGTCTGTGAATAAACAAGAGCAGTTTGAAGAATCGCTGTGTCGTCTGATATGTTCACCTACAACTCAACACCCTGCTTGCCTGAGTCCCAGTTGGATTCAGGCCTACCCCTTATGCCTGCTATTCACTATGCGAGAAAAAAGACAGGTATATGGACATGGAAATAGGTGTGCCTGTATTTTATTTTGACAGCCAGCACAGTAACCCATAAGATAGATCCCTACCCCTAAGTTAGCCTTGCAAATTGCCCTATAACTCTGCTTATGTCTTAAAGGAAGCTTACCTCTAAATACTGTAGTTCTGCAATTGATTTCTCTAGCTCTGTAAAGAGACTTGCTTTTACAATCTAGTATTTCCCCCTTTTGTCTCATTAAAACCTTTGAAGGACTGTCTTTTGTGGGGAATTATATTCCGTTCTTCTCCAAGGAGGCTCACCTGGCTCCTTCGTTGCATATCTTTAGATGCCAGGCATTCCTCTTCTCCCAGGCCTTTGGCTAATTGAACAGTCTATGGCCTTTTGAAATGTGGTTGCGGGATGTGTGGATTGGTTTTGTTTGTTATTAGGGCATGTGTTTTTGTGGTTTTTATATAGTAAACTGCCCCATGGTCTTCAGATGAAGCATGGTATAGAAATTTAATGAAATAAATAAATGAATAAATTCTTACCACAGTGTAAACTTTAGCTCTCCCTAGATCTGTTAGTGTTGCTGTTGCAAGACACAAGCACCATGGCCAGCCCCACTGTTAGGAAAAGTGAGGTGACTGCCTCAGGTGGCATAAGGTGTAGTAGCAGTAGCCCCTGGCTCTTCCTCCTTAGCTCCCCAGCCATTTGTGGCATCTCCTTATCCCTCGTTAAATACTCTTATTCTCAGACAAGTCCTACTCAACAGCTTAGTGTACGTAATCTTACATAATAATCCTTGGATGCATTCTCAAAAGTGCCAATGAAAATTTATACTTGTGTCTGTTGGTATCATTTCTGCTGTCATTGCCCAGATTTGCTCATGTTTTCAGCACAACAATCAGGATGTAACGTTATCATGACAACAAATGTCAGTACTGTATTATGACTACTCTTGGGGGGGAGGCTGTTCAGAAGCTGCTCCAAAATGTTCAGAAGCTTCCAAACTCTGGTTAGATGCAATGCACTACATAAATATTTGCTTTAGAATGACACTCCAGAGAGATGTGCAGGGAATCTTAGCCCCTCTACATTGCTGGTGGTGATTCAGAGGCTCCTAAAGTAGAATTTCACTTGTAAACTGTACTTTGTTGTTAAGCCCGGTGCATCACAGTCACAAGAAAAGAATTTGAGTAAATGTCATATCAGGTGATTCACTGTTACACTTCCCAAATATTACTCATTTGGTGTGTGTGTGTGTGTGTGTGTGTGTGTGTGTGTGTGTGTGCCTGCATGCAAGCAGGCTGTTAAGATCCAACTAAAGAAAATCTTAATAATGACAAAATGGAAGTGACATATGGTTGGCGCTTGCCTTGTTAGGGTATTAGGATTTCCTAGGTGCTCTTGCCTCAAGATAATTGTCCTTTTGTGATCACATGCATAGCACAGCAAAGACTGATAAAATTGACATGCACAATCATATGGATTAGGCATGAGAAAACATAAGACTTTGCTAGGGGAAATCTTATCAAGTCTATCCTTGACTCCCCCTCCCCTACTGTAGTTTGTGCACATAACAAATGGGTATATACTGCTTTGGTTTGGAATATAAACCTCTCCTCCTCCAGCTTAGCAGAACATGAGATCAAGTGTGCTATAATTAATGGACTTGGGAGATCTGGGTTTAAATGTTTGCTCAGCCATGAAACTCATTGAGTCAGGCATTATGTCACACCTCAAGTAGTTGTTGTGAAAATAAAAATGGCCAGAGCTCAAGTGTACTCTGTTGAGCACTTTGGAGAAAAGATACACTACAAATGTGAATAAGCATTTGTATTGGGTAGGTTATGCTGATGGGTGTGATTAACAGAGATAATATCTATTTTTATATGCTTTCTTTTTTCCCTAGAACTTTAATACATGTTGTATTATACCTTTTCTGCCACCCTGCTCTTCTTTACGCAAGGCTCATGTTAGGTTGAACATTGTCTAAACATGCCTATGTCTTTGTTTTCACTTAGTTATACTTGAGGAAATTCACCTTTTTTGTCATGTTGTAGGGAAGTTCGCACACTTTGGGAAGCCTTGTTTCATAGTACTCCACCTACCAGCAGATGCTCAGATTGTTAAATTTAGTGTGTTAATAAAATTCAGAGGCAGTTTTAGACTATTGAATTGCACAGGAAGCATTTCTTTGGATCAGTAGCACTTTGTAGAAAATTTTGTTTACTAACATTCAAGTTAAAGAGCTTGTATTGGTTTTTTATATATAAAAAGAAGATGTTCCTAAATTAAATTATGTATTCCAGATATTAGCACTTTACACTTATGGCAAAATGAACAAAATGAATGAAACAACTGGAAAATTCACCAAAGGAAATTTATAAGTAATGAATTAGTGAAATTCTAAATAAGTACCAATAACTTTTCCAGTAAGATTAAAGAAAGCATAATCTTCCCAGAGGTATTCAGCTTCTGACTCCCTGCAGAATGAGTATATACCATGATGCCACCTGCAGTAAAAACAGAAGCACTACATTAGTCTTTAATTACTATTCTGTAGCAGTTGAAGAAGCCTATAATTTGTAGTCCCCTTTCTTACAGAGTGCACACAGAGAGTCTCCAGACAAGTTATTGTGCATTTAAACATTCACTCCCCTTGAGACTCATGTAGTTTATCCCAAAATAAGGAACATTAGTGGAAAATAAACTGATTGTTGTATGTTTGTATACAGTGCTTTTTTCAGGGGGACAGGGATGCGGGGGTACACATACCCCTAAACATTTTGTGAATCTAAATGTGGCCTCCTTGAGGGGCAGTATTTCAATATGAGTAGGAAAATGAGAGTACCCCTAAACAATTTTTTAAAGAAAAAAAAGCACTGATTGTATATACTTATTTCCAGAGGGGTAGCAAAATCAACCAAGTCTTGTGCCACCTTAAAGACTCACACATTTTGTTTATAGCATCAGTTTTCATGGACTCCAGTGCACTTCACTTCATGCATCTAATGAAGTGGACTCACTATGTTCGTCTTAATTTTAATTTAATTTAAATTTAAAATTAATTTTAATTTAATTAAATGTCACAAAGCCTTACACTGCAACCCTGTGCAAGCCTCATTTAGTTATGGGACTTACTTCCATTTAGGCAGGTAAAAGGACTGCAGCCTAACAGAAAAAAAATCCTATACATAAGTCCCATTGAGTTCAAGGGAGCTTGAACTCAGATAAACTCAGGTATACGTCCCAGGTAAACGCATATGCCCCTGACTGTAGGAGTTTTTTGAATGAATTGTAAATTGCAAGGGGACATCTGCTTCAGGGAAGCGACATTGAAATGCACTGAGTTGCTGAAATAACGTCTGCTGCTGAAATAAGGAAGCATCCTGATTCTGTCACTAAAGAAGGTCAAGTCTAAAACAACGCGCGCACAGCCCTTCCCTAAGAAGAGCAACTCTCCGCTCGTTGTCAGCCTGGCTTTATTTTGTCCTGCTTCCCTTGCCGTCGGTCCTCGGGAAGTGAAGGCTTCCTCAGCCGATGGGATTCTGGGAGTTGTAGTCTCTTCACCCCAGCCCGCTCGGTAGACGCCCAGCTGTAGGGGCGAGCCTGGGAACTACCGCTGGCATAGGCCGGTGTGTCCTGCCGCTAAGATGGCGGCTCCCTTGGTGCTGGTGCTCTTGGTGGCCGTGACAGTTCGGGCCGTGCTGTTTCGCTCCAGCCTGGCCGGGCTCATCTCGGAGAGGGTGGAGGTGGCGTCCCCTTTAAATGCCTGGAAGCGAGGTGAGAGGCCTGAGGTTAGGAGGGGGCGGCGGGGGGTAGGCGGCGGGAGGTGGGCATCTTCGCCCGCTCCTGGGGTGGCTCCCTCGAAGGAGGGGACCCCAAGCCCTCCTCGTGGGCTGCCTTCTGACGGCCGGACCCAGAACCTCTCGTGGGAAGTGGGGTGGGCGATCTGCTGCCGCCCTTCGACCTGTGTCCTGGTGCTCAGCGCTCCTTGGGCGCGGAGAGGGTTTCAAAAAGTGCACCCGCGGGAGAGGTTGCCAGAAGGGCTCCTCTTCCCATTGCATGGCAGAAGCCTTTCTTCGCATGGAGAAACAGTACTGTAATTAATGGGGGGAAACTTCACCTGTTGAATTTTCCCCCCTCAAATTTTTTTATTGATTTTCCAAAAAAAATTTAAACAAACAAACATAAATCTCAACCGTATTTAAACCAAACGTAGTAACATTGTTAAGCGACTTCATCGTATCCTCCTGGTTGAATTTCAGTGTATATCATTTTAACGGTTTTCCAAAACCAATATTCTTATAAAATTAACTTAATCACTTAACATCTTTCTTTCTTTCCAATTCAGCATTAAATGTATTAATTCATCACATTACATATTTAAATCCTGGTATTTGCAGGCTTTTCCAATTAATTTGTTGAATTTCTTTTTACCTGTTCTTCAAGTCCCAAGGGCACAGGAGCTTGCAAAGTAGACGAAACAAAAATAAGTAACTCTGTTTTCTCTCTGTACAGTTAATGTCTGCAGAAAAGGGCCACGTGGTAAAAAGGTGTAAATAGGAAGAGGGCTCTTCGGAGCAACAGAAAACAACCTGCTGAGCTCTAGTTAACTGTTTGCTGTCGTTAAAGGATTACAATTAAAGCCATTCGAATTTCTTTTTACTTTATTTCTGTCCTCCTGTATCCCCGTGATCAAATACCACATAAGGCACATAGAACATTCAAGGGGTGTTTACCCAGCTTCTACCATCAAAAAAACTGGTAGCTAAAAATATGAATTCTCTTTGTAAAACTTCTGTTATAAAAGAAATAATAATTTGCTTTCTCTGTGTTAGTTAATAATGTAAAACTCTGGCAACTAGAAGTATGTCATCTGACAACCAGTACGGTACTATGTACCAGTTATATCAGGCATAGGCAAACTTCGGCCCTCCAGATGTTTGGGACTACAATTCCCATCATCCCTAGCTAACAGGACCAGTGGTCAGGGATGATGGGAATTGTAGTCCCAAACATCTGGAGGGCCGGAGTTTGCCTATGCCTGAGTTATAGGAAATGCATATGTATGTATGTATGTATGTACACACACACACACATAAAATGGTCAGCAAAATTTTCAAAACCAAAAACAATTCAATTCAAAATGCTGTTTTTGACCTTTCAAGTGCATGCGACAGCAATACCTGAAGGATCACCTCTCTCCATGAGGACCAGCCCATGCCCTGCGATCATCATCAGAGTGTGTTCTCTGTGTGGCCCACCTGAGAGAAGAGTGGAGGGTGGCAAAACAAGAAGGGGCATTTTTAGTGTTGCCCCGCCATCTGTAGAATGCTATTTTCAGGAAGGTGCTCCTGGTGCCATTTCTGTCAGTTTTTAGGTGCCAGGCTAAGACTTTATCCAGGGCTTTGGTTAATTAAAGTTGTCTCCTGTGGTGGTGCTCATCAATTAGTGGGATGGGTAAGACTTTGCCCGTATGAATTTACTCTTGGATGAGAATTTCTATGTCTTGTGTCTTTCAAATTTACTCTGGTTTTAAATTGTTTTTATATGCTGTGATTTATTGTTGTCAATGTCGCTTTAAGACTTTTCAATGTAAAAAGCAACTCATGAAACAGAATAACTAATAAAATAATAATATATAGGATATGTTTAAGTGGTGAATTTGTGTTTGGATCTATATAAGTGAACCCTCACTATTTTCAATCTTGGGCATTTAAATATTTAAACCAATAACAGTGATTTTGCATGTTTTTTTCAGTGGTTGAGGGGCTAGCCTTACTTGATTTGGGCGTGTCTCCATATTCTGGTGATGTATTTCATGAAGTAAGTATTTAGTGATTCATTTTTATAAAATATATTGAAATGCTATTTATCTTGGAAATTCTGAAGTCAAGAGGGCATGGTAACTGATGTGGAGGGTCTTTGAGACACTGCACAGAATCCTGTTACTCCCTTCTCACTTCTGATAGGATGAGATGGGATTGGCTGGTTTTAACATTTTGGCATCATGCTAATTGGTTATTTCTGGTGATTTGTCATCCTTGGCAGAGCAGAGGTTGCATTGTTTTTGTCCTTGGTATATTTTAATTGCTGCAAAAAAAAATTTAAGAAAAAGGTATCTAATAAATTTACTGAAGTTATATGTGCACATACAGTTAGTGTAACAGGGCAATCTGGGGAATGGAAGGGTTGTCTGCATCTTTCATATCCTCATCCAGCTTTTCCTCAATGTACTGTGGAAGTTACTGAATCTCTGAATCTCAAGTAACTGATACTTTTGCTCTGGTTCTCAAGTAATTTATTCTTTTATTCTGTTGTTATTCACTCTGGAAGTTTATTTTCAAATGAAAAGACTGCTATAAAATATTAATTAAAATAAATGAGCCAATACAATTCCACATTGTGAGTGAGAATTGCATACAGGGAGCTCACAAAGATCTGATCAGGACTGGTCCAAGACTTCCTGAGGCAAAGGTCAAGATGGCAACCTTTCCATATACAGTACATGAGTTGCCCAGTCTGACAGCTGGATTTTATTTCAACACTGGTGATGGTACAATGCCAGCAGTAGCAATTTTAGGGCAGTAGGCTGGCTTAGGAGTGCAGGCCAGGCCATGTGACACACACAGCTCTGTCTTCCTATATCCTGCTGCTTCTGTCTGCTCCTCAGAACTTGCCACCTGAAGTGGCTGCCTTACTCTTACTCTGCCTTACATTTAGAAGACATCTGAAGGCAGCCCTGTTTAGGGAAGTTTTTTATGTGTGACTTTTTAATCTTTGTTGGAAGCCACGCAGAATTGCTGGGGAAACCCAGCCAGATGGGCAAGGTACAAATAAATTATTATTATTATTATTATTACCGTATTTTTCGCTCTATAGGACGCACTTTTATCCCTCCAAAAATTAAGGGGAAATGTGTGTGCGTCCTATAGAGCGAATAGGCTGCACCGCTAAGCCCAAAGGCAGAACAGGGAGACGGAGCGCTGCGGAGCGCTCCGTCTCGCTGTTCTAGCTTGGGGATGGCTGCGCGCAAAGCCTCTCCAGGGCAGCGGGGTGCCTTCATCCCGCTCTCCTGCAGAGGCTAGCAAGGCTGTTCCCAAGCCAGAACAGCGAGACGGAGGGCTCCGTTTCACTCTTCTAGCTTGGGGACGGCTGCGCGCAAAGCCTCTCCAGGGCAGCGGGTGCCTTCACCCCGCTCTCCTGCAGAGGCTAGCAAGGCTTTTCCCAAGCCAGAACAGCGAGACGGAGCGCTCTGTCTCGCTCTTCTAGCTTGGGGACAGCTGCGTGCAAAGCCTCTGCAGGGCAGCAGGGCACTGCGCTCCAAAGGCTTCAGGGATCTTTGAGGCTGGCGGTGGGGGGAAGCAGCGCTTCCCCCCACCGCGAGCCCCACACGCTCAGGTGAATGCACCTTGAACGCACCTTGTTTTAGAGGGGGAGAACAAGAAAAAAAAATTTTCCCCCTGTTCTCCCCCTCCTATGGTCCGGTGCGTCCTATAGTGCGAAAAATACGGTATTATTACTCTACCTAATACTAGGGTTGGCCCTACTCCCGTTCCTCTGATCAACTTGATACAAGGAAGGAAATACCCAGGGGTTTTTTTCCCCCCAGGAACAGTTTTCCATAATTATAATGGCTATATAAACTTCTTTTGGGTGGGAAATCCTATTTGTCCAGTGTAAACTCAGAGGATTTGTTGTTATTTGTTAGCCTGAAGAAGGCAGCAGCTGACCTAACTATGCATTATCATTGGAGCATGACTGGAAATGTAAAAGCAATTGGTGTTTGCTCCGTAAGATAAAAGAGACGCAGGTGGTGCTGTGGGTTAAACCACAGAGCCTAGGACTTGCCGATCAGAAGGTCGGCAGTTCGAATCCTCACGACGGGGTGAGCTCCCGTTGCTTGGTCCCTGCTCCTGCCAACCTAGCAGTTCGAAAGCACGTCCAAGTGCAAGTAGATAAATAGGTACCGCTCTGGCGGGAAGGTAAACGGCGTTTCCGTGCGCTGCTCTGCTTTGCCAGAAGCGGCTTAGTCCTGCTGGCCACATGACCTGGAAGCTGTACGCCGGCTCCCTTGGCCAATAAAGCGAGATGAGCGTTGCAACCCCAGAGTCGGCCACGATTGGACCTAATGGTCAGGGGTCCCTTTACCTTTACCTTTTACCGTAAGATAAAATTGAAATTAGAGTGGTAGCTAAAGTACAATCTTATGCTTGATGGGGGAAGGGGCAGAGCTTTCTAGTTTGGCCCTATATGCCACCAAATTACTCCTTATGCAGATAGGCTCTATAACTTGGGAGGGGAGGCAGGAGATGTTCTCCACCTATTCCCATCCCCAACACTTTCAGAGGAATGCTTGCTTGCCTCTTCACCAAAATGATATTGAAGGGCAATTGGTTATTTGTTTTGGAGTGGGGGGCAAGAAGAGGGGCACAAAAGAGTTATCCTCCCCTTTCCTCAATGCTTGTGAGTCCCTACTTGTAATATTAAAGGCAAAGGCACAGCTTCTCCAAAGAGGAGGCTCTGGGGCTGTTCGAGTTGCCTTTGGGAATAACAGGCCTCTTCCTTGCCCTTCTTTGCCCGTGTCAGTACAGCGTATATACCAGAGGTCAGCAGACTTTTTCAGCGGGGGGCCGGTCCACTGTCCATCTGTGGGGGGCCAGACTATATTGGGGGGGGGGGAATGAACGAATTCCTATGCCCCACAAATAACCCAGAGATGCATTTTCAATAAAAGCACACATTCTACTCATGTAAAAACACACTGATTCCCGGACTGTCTGCGGGCCGGATTTAGAAGGCGATTGGGCTGGATCCAGCCCCCGGGCCTTAGTTTGCCTACCCATGGTATATACCCTTGTGGAGCACTTAACAAAGTACACAGGAAGTCAGGAGCAATCATAAATGCCACAGCCCCAACATCAGTCACGGCTGCAGCATTGGTCGAGTCGCAATAGGTTCCTAGCACAGATATGAATGATAGGTGGATTAGTGGCTCTGCATTACATGTCATGCCATACTCTGAAGATACCATAGGTTGCATTCAACTAAGCTTTACTCTGAGTAGACCCATTGAAATTCATGTAGGTCTATTAATTTCAATAGATCTGCTCTGAGTAAATGTTAACTTAATGCATCCCTAAGTAACACGATTATATGAACCTAAAGTGTAGACTTTGTGTCATTTCCTGGAAATAGGTGTCTTTGTTTGTTTGTGTTGCTTTGATTTGAAAGCAGTTTGCTCAGGTTAATTGTATTTCTCTCTTTGTTTCCCCCCTTAGACTCCACTAATAATATACCTCTTTCATTTCCTGATTGATTATGCTGAGCTAGTATTTATGGTAAGTATTTCTTTCATTTTCATCCACAGCTCAATTGCCTCTCTTTCAGAGCTTATTCCTTGTTTTACTGAGAATGTAGAGTACACTTTCCTATATAATAATAATAATAATAATAATAATAATAATTTAATAATTTATTATTTATACCCCGCCCATCTGGCTGGGCTTCCCCAGCCACTCTGGGCGGCTTCCAAAAGTATATTAAAATACTGTGATGCATCAAACATTAAAAGCTTCCCTAAACAGGGCTGCCTTCAGATGTCTTCTAAAAGTCTGGTAGTTGTTGTTCTCTTTGACATCTGGTGGGAGGGCGTTCCACAGGGAGGGTGCCACTACCGAGAAGGCCCTCTGCCTGGTTCCCTGTAACTTGGCTTCTCGCAGTGAGGGAACTGCCAGAAGGCCCTCGGTGCTGGACCTCAGTGTCCGGGTAGAACGATGGGGGTGGAGACGCTCCTTCAGATATACTGGACCGAGGCCGTTTAGGGCTTTAAAGGTCAGCACCAACACTTTGAATTGTGCTCGGAAACGTACTGGGAGCCAATGTAGGTCATTCAAAACTGGTAATATATGGTCTCGGCGGCCGCTCCCAGTCACCAGTCTGGCTGCCACATTCTGGATTAGTTGTAGTTTCCGGGTCACCTTCAAAGGTAGCCCCACGTAGAGTGCACTGCAGTAGTCCAAGCGGGAGATAACCAGAGCATGCACCACTCTGGCGAGGCAGTCCGCAGGCAGATAGGGTCTCAGCCTGCGTACCAGATGGAGCTGGTACACAGCTGTCCTGGACACGGATTTGACCTGTGCCTCCATGGACAGCTGTGAGTCCAAAATGACTCCCAGGCTGTGCACCTGGTCCTTCAGGGGCACAGTTACCCCATTCAGGACCAGGGAATCCTCTACATCTGCCTGCCTCCTGTCCCCCAGAAACAGTACTTCTGTCTTGTCAGGATTCAATCTCAATCTGTTATATATTGTACTCTTATAAATTCACACACACACATGAATTTCTAAGAGTACAAAATACAGAACTGAAGAATAAAAAAGAAAAAAGTGAAAGAAAAAAAAGGGGGAAAGGAAAAAAATTAGATATATTACATCAATCCATATTTTTTGTGAACCGCCCTGAGACCTCCGGGTATCGGGCAGTATATAAATTCAATAAATAAATAATTCTGTTCCATCAACTTCCCATCCATCCTTCCATGGCTCCCGAAAGTTTCCCATTCCTGCTGCATATGCTATTTTTTCCCTAACTATTGAAACATTCAAATTCTACAGTACACTTTCCTAAACAAGGTGGTAGTTGTAATTTTTCCTCCAGAAAGCCTTTAATTATATGATACTCTGTTGACATGTGGCATATCTTAGAATGGATTAAATCTATACATATTTTTTCCTTAAAAAAAAAGTTATCATGGGATGTTTGCTGTTTGCTTGCCAAGAAAGATAGAAGTGGAGAGTTTATAAATCCCAGCTTTATTGCTTTTTATACTGCCTTAGAGATAGTGAAGAATCCAAAAATTAGTAATTTCCCATTACTTTTCCTGTTGTGGTTCGAGGACCCGACCCCCGCGATGTGAAATGAATACACAAGGACACGTGATATAAGGTTAATGGGCATGGAAAGGCCACAACTTTATTGATTACAGCAGTGAAAAGGTATTGGCTTAGGCATTGGATCTCTAAAACACGTGGGTTTATTCACCAGTAGGTGGAGCCTGTTGATGCTAATCCAACTATAGGCTCCCCCCTGATGTCACCGAGGGTCGTGCCATGGCCTCCCGCCAAGCAGGCATCGGACAGAACACACGACCGCCAGATTCCTTTAACGGAATACCCAAAAATTGAAGGCATAGGCGATGGCCACACCTAGCCCTTCGACACACCACAACACATTATTCCAATGCCTAACCTACCCACCAATACCACGAAAGTTGTGACGATTGCTACGAAGTAGGCGAAAAAACCAAAAGGCCTAATGCCAAATGGAAAAACTCCTACCAGGCCCCCTGGACAACCAGGGCGACCAACCTAAGGTCCATAGCAAGGCCAATGACCTAAGCCCTAACTCTAAGGGAGTGGAGGGTGGGTGACTCGCGACGAGACGACGGCGAAGAATGAGGCCAGGGAGAGGCTGGCACCGCAGCATAAGGCTGCTGAACACGCCCCCTCCGAGGCACCTGGTTGGATGCCTGCAGAGGGGGCGTGGGCACCAGCCAGGTGAGGTGGAGGCAGGGGGCAACAGCCCCCTGCTAGGGGCGGTGCTCGGGCTCCCGCCCACAACCACTCCCCTCTCTTCCAGGGAGGAGAGTCTTTATTAATAATTTCCTACCAAAAGCAAGTGCAAAGGTCTGGTGACCTCAGTAGGACTTCTCCCATGTTATAATATTGGAGTTACAATAGTGTTTGTGCGCCAAATGTATGTAAAACAAATGATCAGAGGTGTGGCTAATTTTGCTTGACTTCATGGCATTCCTGTCACGGCCAAGTTTGGATTATACTTTCCCTTACCTGTTTCCTATGCATAGTGGCCGAGTGAGATCACACCTTACTTTCCTACATCTGATACCTCTGGGGTGTCCATTTGTGGGTGTCATGTCTGAATGTGGTGTATATGTATAACATTCATTGCATACAGACCAAAATGGCATAGACTCTGCATGTTGGGCCTGTATGCATTGCATTTTACAGGTGTGCACCATACTTGTCTTCTCAGTTGTGAAATTGCAGTAAGATTCTAATCTTAATTTACCGTGTGAGAGGGGTTTACTGCTTCACAAACAAATACTTCTGCTATCTGGTTCTAGTCTCACCTGAATTCAAAAAGACCCACCTGTGCTAAATTTTTCTTCTTCGTTCAAAGTATCAGGTCACAGCTGCAATTATCACACATTTAACATGATGGCGTGGTTGAGCTCTGAAACAGAGTTTGTCAAGCTGTTGGAACTCGCGTGGGACTTCATGAATGAGCTCCACTGTCGACTAGGTTCTCAAAATGCTCCGTTTCCTAGATCCTTCCAGGGAGATTGATGAGCCAATGATATTGTGTTATACCTGGGACTGCCTTTAAATGTGATCTAGAAACTTTCGTTGGTTCAACATAGGGCTACAAGATTGTTAACTCTGGGACTGGCTGATATGATCATATTACACCAGTATTTTACCATCCGCGCTGACTTCCAGTCTGTTTCCAGCCCAATTAAAAATGCTGATAGTGACCTTTAAAATCTTAAATGGCTTTGCGCAGATAATTTGAAGGATTGCCCGCTCCCCGGAGGCCTTCCTCTGGCCTTTCTGCAGGTACTCCCACCAATTGAGGTTTGGTGGGTGGCTTCCAGAGAGAGGAACAGCTATGGAACCTCAGTTCTGGACTATCCGCCATACTCCACCTAGTGCCTGAATTGTGGGCTCTTTGGTGCCAGGCAGATACCTTTGTTTTTTCTCATTTTTTTCCAATCTTAAAATTTGAACTGCTGTTGCTTCTCATTGCCAGTTTTTAATCAGTATTTATTCTTCTGCTGGCTTTATTCTGTTTTGGATTTTATGCTTATGCAGTATTGTGGTTTGTTTTTGTTTTTTTGTCTTTTTACTGTAACCCACCTGAGGTATACTGGGAATTTTACACTTGAGATGTGTATTTTTAGAACCCACCTTATTTCTGTATTTTATGTTGCTTTAAACTGTTCTTAATAATGTGTTTTAATTGTTGTAACCCACCCTGGAACCTTGGGGTGAAGGGTGGGTAGTAAATTGTAGTTGTAATAATAATAATAAATAATAGGGTGCTGTATAAATGAATTAAAAATATATAAATCAACTCATCATAATTTAAACTTGCAGGTAGAAGAATACAATTTTAATATGTTTTTGGCCCATGATGTTTGCATTCCTAAACATTGCAAATTGCCTCAGAAGCTGATGTTACTTTTTAAAAAACATTTTGTAAAGTAACATGTTTCATTGTGATCCTTTACATTCTCAAGTGTTTTTCATTAATATTGGTGGTATTTTTTTCAGATTACAGATATGTTGACTGCTGTCGCTCTCTATTTGGCCGTTCAGGATTACAACAAAGTTACGGTAAGTAAACATGTGTCATTTGTTTATTTGGTTACTGTCCACATTGATAGGGCATTTGCTGTGTGTTGTCTTCTCTTTCCTCATTTTTCTTTCTAATAAGCATTTTCTTTACTTGTTGGGTTACCCACCTGCTATGTGGTGTCATTTGTAATTTCAATATCTGCTCCCACATATTGAAATTTACTGTCAAAGATCTTCACAATAGTTACATTATTTCGTAGTCATTGAGTACTGAAACCACACAGTATCACTCTCACACACAAAGAGAAAGAGAGAATAAGAGGGAAGCAGGACAATAATTGGGCGAGAGAGGGCAAAAGGCTGCATTTAACTCTGCTCATGAGCTCCGCTTTTGTTTCTGCTGGATTTACATCCAAATGCATTTTTGCAGCATGATGTTGGAGTGGGAAATTAGCCTTTCTTAGGCACATGGCAATACCTGTACCCACTCTTCTAGTTTTTTCAATGCTGACTGCAGTGCATGCCTCATGTGCAGTAAGTAGGCAGTGCAGACCAGGTCATACAGCACTCGCTGCTTTTCTTGCTGTTCCGCTTTGCCTTCCCATTGCATGAGCTGTGCTTAAACCAAGAAGCGTTTAATTGACTATAGCTTCCAATTTCATGCAAACTGGGAGACTATAGTTGCCAGTGCCATAACAATCCAGGACATTAAGTCCTGGTTTGAAGTTGGGTTAATATTCTAACTTGCTTGGAAGCTGGTGACCATAGTTTCCCAGTTTGAACGAAAAATGGGAAACTATGGTTAATTAGAGATGTTATGGTTTGTGTGCTCACAACAGAAAGCAGAAAGGGACTGTGGGTGCAGGGGGGAAATATTGTAAATATTTTGGCTTCAAGGTATGATTGTCCCAACTCAGCCAGTCTAGTCTAGTATTCCAGCAGGACTGATTAATCCATACCAATCCCTTTGAAGTACCATTGAACGGAATATGAAACTAAAAACCCTCTCTGGAAAGGAGAGGATAATACTTTCCTTATGGTCAGTAGAAGAGATCCTCAATATAGATTGATATGCCCATTATCTTGGTGAATCATTTTCCAGTACAAATAGGAGGCAGAGACACACAGTCAGTATCCACCCAATAAATCTCAATCTAGATTGTGACTTGACCTTTTCCTTATTAACTCATGAAAACTGAAAGGAAACTACTGCAGCTGTAATGCTTGCAATTCAAGCAGTTCTGAATGCTGTCTTCTGAAAGGTCAATATTGATTTATCTAGCGAGTGACATTTTAAATATATAATTACATCAATATATTTCTAAAATTGTCCTCAAATGAATCTGATGTAGTGTTGAGGAGGGAAACTGCTGTGGTTTGTAGATGTTCATGTCACGCAATATACGGTCGTTCTGCCTGTGAAAAGCTAGTAACAAAAAAATCTAAGTACTAAGTTTATAAGCTTTGGGCTATAGTAAAAAGAAATTTTCTTCAGGCAGCACAATAATGAGGCTCGGTAACTTATACAAATACAGTGATTTGTGACATCTCATTTTTCTTTCCTATCTAGTTTAAGAAGCAAAAGCTACTAATAGAACTGGATAAATATGCACCTGATGCAGCTGAGCTTATTCGGACCCCCATGGAAATGTACTATATCCCTCTCAAGGTTGCACTGTTGTAAGTATTGCCTTCACTGGGTAAAAATCTTCTAATACACAGAACATGTATTATATTGGGCTTGGATCCAAAGACGTACTAGTGCAAACCTGTTCACACAGCTGGGCTTTCCTGTCTCCTCATTCTGCCAAGCATTCCATCTTCTAACCAGCAAACTATGGTTTGATTAAGACAGGAAATAATGAATTATGCCCCATCCACGAGGGGAGGAGAGGCTTGGGAAGGAAATGGCATAGAAGCCCACCGCTCATTCACAGTTCTCAAAACTATGTTTTGGAGCATTGTCTGCTACACAACCATCCTGTCCATTCCAAAGGTGCACAAGACTGTTATGGTTTGTGGTTTTCCCCTCTCTTTCCCCCCAGTAAACATTTCTGCCCTTTCCTTCTTGTCCCTCCAACAAGAGGGAAAGAGGATGAGCTTCATGAACCCAATGAATAGTGTACTACCTTCTGCTAAAATTGCAGACTTCTTTCCCAAAACTACCTTCACAAGTTTGACTTTCAGAAACAGAGAATCTGTCCTTCCTCCTGCCCTGATCCAATTTCTTGAAGGAGCTGCCTAGGGCTTATCCCAGGATAGCACCCAAGGAAAGGGCTTTTAACTCACACACCTTATCTTGCTGTGTCTTTATTACTAATAGTTTTATTATAATGGTAATGATTCACCCAGAATCTCACCTACTGAGCAATAATCTATCTGTGCGTTCCTTTTGAGCCTAGTGAAAAGAAACAACTGAATTGTTCGTTTTTATTATTATTAAGGAACTGTATCTTAAAATAATTAAAAAGAACCATCCTCTGGAAGATATACAGTGATGTGTGTGTGCTTTTTAATCTTGTAATCTCTCAGCCGCTCTAACTCAGCTGTGTTCAAGGCTTGCAACACCTCCCACAAAGCCTGCCACCCACACAGTTGCAATCCAGCCCATTGTAAGTGTTCTCCTGTTAGCACATAATTGTCCTTGAATCATCTTCTCTGTGTTCCCTTAATTTCTTTAATAAAACCTATTCAGTGGCAGACCATATTTTTTCTTAAAGATGTTGCATGCTATTTTCTCCCTGTTTTTACTGTTTATCCATTACCAAATGTGGAAGGACACGTATTAGTAATTGTATATTAAGAAATGGGGCCTCCATCAAGGTGTTACTCATCTCTCAGTAAGACTGCTTCTGTTCAGTGTGCCAGCCAACCAGCCAGCCAGCCATGCCCTCTTCCCCCAGGCCATTCCACTCAGTCTTTCCCCAGTTTTCTATTTTTCTTTTCTTGCAGAAAACTGAACATGCTCAGTCCTTATTGAGCTTTTCTGGGAGGGAGCTGCCCCTTTGGGGTCTTCCTGTACTCTGGCAAAACTCAGGGTTTCCCTGCGCATTTTGATACCCCCCTTTTGTTTCTCAGTGACCATTGTTAGCTACAACAATGTTTTAATATTCTGTTGGGAGCTGCCCAGAATGGCTGGGGAAACCCAGCCAGATGGGTGGGGTATAAATAAATTTATTATTATTATTATTATTATTATTATTACATTCACCACCTGAATTTACAATTAGAGGGAATGATAGGTAGGTGAAGTCTCAAGGTCTGAAAGGCTCGCAGCCTGATAGTGCAATCACATACACGTCTGCTCAGAAGTACATCCCACTGGCTTCATTCCCAGATAAGTGTGTACAAAATTGTAGTCTTAGTCAAAAAGAATATGCATAAATGAAAGAAGAAATGCATAGGGGGAAAGGGAAAACATAATCTTTCTAATACTTCATCAACCTGGTTCCCATGTAACGCTAAGCCAAACCATGATGTATCTTACGTAAGCAAACCTTGGTTCCCAAAGAGAACATGGTGGCTACTCTGGTCCTGCTCTGGTCCTATCGCTACCATACTGTGAGATAAGCCATGCTTTGGGTCAGGGTTACATTTGACAGTGGGCTGATGGTTTATCTCCCCCAGACAAACCATGATTGCTGAATCATAGGAAACAAACTTGCTACAGCTCATGGTTTGTCTTGAGCCACAAACTCTGGTTCAAATGTAATGCTAGGCCAAACCATGGCATAGCTCACAGTAGTGCAGCTTCAGCAGCGAGACAGGTGGAGGAGCAAAGCAACCATGATCTTTTCTTTAGGAACCCACACATTTGCTCGTTTGCACTACTAAACCATGGTTTGGCTTAGTGTTGCGTGCAAACTGAACGAGTATAAAATATATCAATCCAGCCCTTTCAAACTCACATTTTTTAGTTCCGCTACATATAAAGTTTCCATTCCTCTACCCATCCTAATCTCACCCCCTGCCAATCTCACTTTGCGTTCAAAAGGTCAGTTTCCCCTATTACATCATCACGCTTCCGAATGAGATTGCATTTTAAATGTACTCTTTCTCCTCTAACATTCTCCTTTCCTCCTTAGACTCTTGTAATTGTCTTGTACTGTGCTGGAAAATAGGTTTGTCTGCAAGGGCAGTACTTAACTTGGCAGGGTCCCAAAGGTACCATTTCAGTTCAGGGTCTTGGATGACAAAGCATGTGCAACCCAGAAATAAAAAAGAGATGGCAGAATCCTGATTGCTTGGGGTTTGTTTTAACTCCTTATCTGCAGCTGCTTATTTTATAGAGTGCCCTTAATGTACAGAGTAACATAAGCAAAAAGAAAAAGTACAAGTCTCTACCCTAAGCAGCTTATAACCTCCTTTTGATGAAGGAGAAGGAAAGGAGAAGCTAGATAAGCAAAGGGTGAATGTGCAAATACAATTATGCATAATTAAGGTTTGTATCGGCTGGGGATGCAAATACAGGGTTAGGCCAAAGGTTTCACAGAAGAACTAGGTCAGAGGATGAAGTGGGAGATAGAGTAGGCATTCTGGGACCTTGACTTTGCATTTTTGCTCTTTTCCAGTTATCTCTTGAATCCATATACTGTGATGTCTTGCGTTGCAAAGTCCACTTGTGCCATCAACAATACCGTAATTGCATTCTTCATTTTGGCAACGATTAAAGGTAATTGATGTGGGGGAAATGGGCATACCTCTCAGTTTTTCTTTTTATAACATTTGAAAAATGTGCCACTTTAAATGAGGAAAATAAGTGTGTGGTTGTGTTTGAGCTGTCAGGCAAACCAGATCGCAGATAGGTTTGTGGTTCTGCAGTCTTTGATGTCACAACTGAAAACCTTTTCGGTCTGAAGGCCACATTCACTTCTGGGCAGCTTTCTGAGAGCCACATTGCCAGTTGTGGGCGGGGCCAGAGGCAAAAATGGACTTCCGCTTGTGCAGTGGGTCTTCATCCCCCCCCCCCCATGCCCTACATGCCCCCTGAAATTGGCTTGGGGGGTGTAGTATTGTCAGGTTAACAGCACACAGAGGGAGGAGAGGGAAGACCATTCCATCTGGCGATCTGCAATGTTTACATGGAGGGAATGTTTTTCTTAGCACCCTTCAATCTCCTTTTTTGACCAAATGCTTCCATTTTAGAAGCCCGTTTGAGTATGGAAATTCTAGTGATTATCAGCTGTCGCAATTATTTTGTTTTCCTGTTTTGCAGGTAGTGCCTTGCTCAGTGCTGTATTTCTGGCCTTAGCAACATACCAGTCCCTGTACCCTCTCACCTTGTTTGCACCAGCCGTTCTGTATTTATTGCAGGTAAACATTCTACAGGAGCAAAAACTATGTTTTTAATACAGCTTCTGCTATCAACCATCAGCAAACAGAAAGAGCAGCAAGCACAAACCAATAGGTACCACAATGGCACCAGTTGCCAACAGTTTGCAAGACTTCCTTGGGGGCAGATGGCTCAAACTGGAAAGCAACCTGCAAGTTGTTTTCAGCTCGCCATGGCTGGGACAGATCACTCTTCCATTCTCTTGTGGCCAATGTTACTGAGCAAATTGTGAAACGCCAGGCATTTGCCTGTGCTGATCTAGCTAAAGTGGGGAGAGTTTTGATGACTGTCTTTTCTTCTGAATCAACTAAGTCTAGGAAGGCCCTGCAGTTGGCAACAATTCTCTTTCCTGCCCTTCTGTAGAAGATGACAAGCATCTGACTTCTCTTTTTCTGAATGTTGATCTGAGTCCCTGAGGGAGTCAGATGCATTTGCAATCTTTAATTGTTCATGTATCTACACAGCCCTGTAAAACAGATTAAATGAGGTTCTCAGTCAGAGGGCACAGGATATTTCCCCAAGATTTGGGGATTGATAATAAAATTTTGCAAACCATTTTTTAGTGGTTTTTAGCCCATTGTTACCCTACCATTCCCAGATATTTAGGATTTTGCACTATTATTAAAATACAAGTGCCTTCTGTATTACAGGCGCTCTTCCATAAATATGCAAACCCTGATCTGGAAAAGGTGGGGTTTTTTCATATTATATGTTTCCATTTCAAAAAACTTACTTTGTGATGTTTCTCCCCCAATAGCGTCAGTTCATACCAGTGAAAATGAAAAGCAAAGGCTTCTGGCTTTACACCATGCAGTATGCAGCTCTGTATTTGGGAAGCCTGGTGGTGATTATCTGTCTCTCATTCTTCCTCCTCAACTCTTGGGATTTTATTCCGTCTGTGTATGGTTTCATGTAAGTAGAACTTTCACTGGATCTGTCCATCTGTAAAACCACTGTCCCCCTTAAGAGCTTCTTATTATACTTGTGAGTTCAGAACACAAAACAGTAGAACAGTTAAAATATTGAATTAAGCCCCCTGTTGTTAAAAGATACGTATGTTTGTTCAATGTCGTGTTAATTAGGGGTGATTCATTGCTGGGTGAATAGTGCAACTTCATTTATCTGAATTGTTTGGAAGATAAACAGTTTGGAAGATGGTTTGGAAGATACTTGATAAACAGGAGCTCAAGTAAATTAGTGTACAGGACTAATTATGTAGCGCTGTTTAACTAAAGAGCATTCAATGATGTTTGGATAACAAGCATTCATAAGGCTGAGTTTTGTTATAATGGAGATCCTGTAAATTAAGAGAAGCTGTGTTCAAAGGCTCTTTAAGAGCAGTTGTGTGCTTCCCATAGACATCTGATTGGCCACAGAGAGAACAGAATAGTGGACTAGATCCAGAAGGATCATCTTATATTCTTAATTCAAGTAGTCACAATTCCTGGAGAAAGCCAATGTCTAAGAGGAGTTTAGATTATGTGTGGGTTAAACATGGCTCAATGTATTAAATGCTAACAAGAAAGGAAAAGCAATAAACAATACCCGATGTTGCTCTGCTTGTTACATCCTTTAGGTAAGCATAGCTTCTGATACATAGCACAGTCAGTAGGGCATGAGACACTTAGTATCAGGGTCGTGGGTTTGAAGCCCACATAAGCAAAAGGTTCCTGCATTGCAGGGAGTTAAACTACATGACCCACGTGATCCCTTCCAACTCTGCAATTCTGTTATTCTATAAGGAGCACTGCCTCAAAGGCACCAGTTCTTTGGACAGGTTATACAGAATGTGCTTGCACACAGTGGAAAGATGAGAAGCCCCACAGCCTCCAGATATTTCAATTTGAAACGTTAGAAATGGAAAGATGTGGAACTAAATGTTTGTCCCCAGTGCATTGTGTTGTTGTTGTTGTTGTTCCTCAGAGTCATTGTTGTTTACCTAATACAGGACAATGGTGTTCCTTGAATAAGCTGTTATGACCAATAGGTGTCACTGTTTTCCCACAGAAATAAATTTTCGATTGAAATGGAACTGCAGGTGTCATAGTGACGATAATGGGGGAAAGCCTAGCTTTGGGTGGGTGGGGGAGGCAATGCTTTGTTTATTTTTTTAAAAAATATATAGATTGCTTTTCAAACCAAATTGTTCCCAAAACAGTTTGCAAATATATATACAAAAAGCTAAACCACAGTGCAGTGTTATAACTAGATGAAAAACCAGACCTTTTAAATAGTCCAAAGTACTGCTAAACCCAGCAGAAACTGACATGAGTGTGGCAAAGAGAGAGAGAGATACAGACTAGCTGCTAAAAGCAGCAGTAAAAAGATTGATCTTTAAGGCCTGTTTGAAAAGGATGGAGCAAAAGGATGGAGGTTTCCTAACTTCATATAGAATTGAGTTCTAAATTGTGAGACCACGGCCAAGAAGTCCCTGTTCCATGTGCACAACAGCCTATCTTTATAGGTGGGCACCTAAGTGGGGCATCTGAAGCAGATTTTAAGGCGGGGAACGAGGTCCTTTAAATATAAGCTGGGTCTCAAACTATTTAGGGCCTTAAATGTCATCACGAGCACTTTCAGTCAGGCTCAGACACTGGTATAATATGGGTGTAATATGCTCCAGCTTCCCAGCCACAACCTGTGGGTGGGCAGTTATATTTTGCACCAGTAGAAGTTTCTGAACCATTTTTAAAGGTAGTCCCAGGTCTTTGTAATGTCTTTGTCGTTAACGTGCCGTTTTTACTCTTAATTGTTCGTTGATCTACTGTTCTACTAAGCTGCATTTATACTCCCTGATTGTGACATTGTGCCATCCATTCCAGCCTTTCCGTTCCAGACCTGACACCCAACGTCGGCCTCTTCTGGTACTTCTTTGCTGAAATGTTTGAGCACTTCAGCCTCTTTTTCGTGTGCGTCTTTCAGATCAACGTCTTCTTTTATACTATTCCCTTGTCGGTGAAACTAAAGTAAGTAGACTCTTTTACTCTTGCCTCTCTCTTTGCTGCTGCTGCTGCTTCCTCAGTTTCTGCTGGCCAGGAGTGTTAATTTTTAATGCTGCTGACAAAAGCTTTTGCTGCGCAAGGTAGTGTAAAACCATCACCAGGAATGATCAGTGTTCTCTTCTGGAGGGGGTCTTATTGCTCACTTTAGCTTGGCTAATCCTTGTTGAACATCACTATTATTCTTTTAGCTGAAGCTTGGTTTAACATAATGCTGTGCATGTAAGAGAAAAATGTGCTGCATTCCGCATAGCTGGCTTCATGTTTCAGCCAGAACCTTTAACTGCTATCCATGGTGTTCACCTGGACCATGAAGCCATAGCATGCTTACACAGCACATGCAATCCAATTCAAATGAGATGGAGCAAACACACGTAAGTTTTTCTTACATGTCTGATGCCATGCTTACAATTGAGCCTTATTTGTTGTATAAAAGAGACTCTGCATATAACAGCAGAATTATTCAGTGTTGAGTTTGAGGTTTTAATTTAACTCTTTTATACGTCCTAAGGAATAATGGTGTAGTTAGGGTTGACAGTGCTGTGTAGCTCAAAATATGATCTGCCTCCCCTGGTGAATGCAAATTAAATAAAGTGACATAAACGTTGCTTTGTATGCATTATTTATTTATTAGAAATGTTGTGTCTTTCAAATAATTTGGAGCTACAGAGGACGGAAAAGATACGAAAGTATGAATGAGGTTTCATGTGTCGCAACCTGTTGCTACAAAACTATACACAGACTGTTTCATCATTTAACCTCATCTATTGTTATTATTTAGGTATCTGTATGCCTTTCAGGGCTACACAGCCCCTCTCAAGTGGGTGGTTTGCAATAAAAAAAATTAAGATATTAAAATAAGACTTTCATAATAACAGTTCAATCTAAAAATCCGAGTAGTTATATTATGCTTAAGAACCTAGACTGTTCAGAGTTGTTCATGAATGTGCCACTTTGTCAATCTGTTTCATGCATCTTATGAAAGTATCTTGCTCGCAAAATAAGTAAGCTGTCTCTGAGGTGCTATCAAAGCATTGCCATGTTGTGTATTGATATGTTGACCGTGGGTGACGGATGTTTTGTATTTGCAAACTAGATGGAACAATCCCCCTCTCCTCTTCCCACACACTTTTCCAGGGGTTCTCTCAACCCCCAGAGCCAACTTGGTGGGACAGAGGGTGCATGTGGGGACAGAAGGTGGAAATCCCACTGCGCAGGTGGAAGTCCTTATGCAGGGCTTCCGCTGATGGGACTCAGGTGAATGCTTCCCTTTGCAGCTATATTTTGGCTGTATAAACTCTGAAAATGAAAGCTATGAGATAAAACTTAAGAAATCACTATACATAGTTCTGCAAATCAGAACTTAAAGTCACTGTGTTTTTTTTACTTGTCCTTGGAAGACCTGGGTTAAAATACCCTGGCCTCAGCTGTGAAATTAGCTTGGTAGCCTTGTTATCTCACAGGGTGGTTGTGAAGATAAAATGCAAGGATGCCTAGGAAAGGCCTAGAGGCCTAGAAACCTCCATTATTAAGTTGCAGACTTGGGAGATCCATTTTGTCCTTCTTGGTTGGAGTCATGCCACACTCTGCCTGTCCCATGTGCTTGCAAAGCTAAGAATAGCATGGAAGGGATTCATATGACCCCATGTTGTGACTGCAGTGTGATGGCACCGTAGTCTCTCTCAGTTTGAAGGCACCGTCGTCTGTCCCTTTCACACCATGTTTTCACTTCCCAGCAACTGTGATCAGTCTGATTTTGCCCAGATATTTCAATCTAGTTTAATATCTCCTTTCCTCGTCAACTATAGCCACAACACATACTATAGGCCCAGTCTCGTGTGACGTTATTTTGAAAAGGGATGTGATTGCCATTCAGTTTGTAGGCATCATCTTTGCCTTGTCGAAGTCAGAAGGCAGCCATGTTTCTGCGTGCTTCTTGCACAAGGACTCCCAGCGTGATGCATGGGAGATGGAGCAATGGAGCTGAGCCATGAATCTTAGCGGGTGGCCTTGGGCAAGTCTCTCGGCCTAAGTTAGCTCACAGGTCACCCAGCTTGCAATTTATTGTAAGGATAAATTGGGACAGCTACATTCACGCCACTCCTGAGTTCCTTGGTGGAAGGGTAGGAGATTTATTTTATTTTTCCATTTCCTCCAGAGAGCTCAAGGTGACATACGTGGCTCTCTTCCTCCCCATTTTATTCTCCCGACAACCCTGTAAAGTAGATAAGACTGTGAGAGTGGCTTTCAGTCAAAGTAGGGATAAGAAAATGTTCTGTCAGGGCAAGGATTGCTCATTGTTCTATAAAATGTTCTCCTTCCTCTCTGTGCCTGGATAGCTCACTTGGTTAGACCATGGTGCCGATAATGCCAAGGTTGCAGGTTCGATCCCTGTATGGGCCAGCTGCATATTCCTGCATTGCAGGGGGTTGGACTAGATGATCCTCAGGGTCCCTTCCAACTCTACAGTGCTATGATTCTGTGCTATCCTATGCTAAATACGTTCCAGGGGTTCCTTCAATCCTCTGGAGAAGATTTGGGGATGGCACATGGCGCTCATTGGTGGAGGAAAGGGAGGGGATCTGCCTTTGCACAAGCAGAAATCCTTGTGCAAATATGTGGAATACTGTCCAATGGCTAACCCAAGGTCACCCAGTGAGCTTCATGGCTGATAAGGGATTTGAACCCTCATCTCCCAGGTCCTACTTGAAGACTTTAGCTGCTACACCACACTGGTGCAGCAGTCAGAGCTTCGTGCATTGGAAGGGTACAGCATAAGAGTTTGCCCCTCTCTCAGACTGTATTGCTAGACTCTCAAGTTGTGGTGTAGGTCTTTCTGCACACATGCACTCTGCTGCCTCTGTCGTTGTCTACACCCAATTCTGTCCACCATGCTTCCTTATGCTACCAAACCTGTACTCATGTTGAGTGCATATGATGTCATCTAATGAAATAATGGTGGCAATACGACAAAAACTCATAGCTAGAGTGTATATATCACAGGTGAGGCTAAACTATGTCTGAATGCTGGAAGAAGGAGGGGGGCAGATTTTGTATTTTAAATACTCTTGGTGGCAGGGAGCACAAACCACAGAAGGCTAGGCTCCATCCTGACATGGCAGATTTCCCCAGGCAAAGAGCTTTGATGCAGGGAGTGTTCAAACATTTGTTTTCCGCCCCAGTGTGAAATGGTGCTATCCCTGCCTAAGGGTTTTAATTTTGCTGTTAGAAGGCCAGCTGGTTACACTGATAGTACAGCAGCCTCTACCATTCCTGCAGCATCTACACCATCCAGTTATTTACAGCCTTTTCTGTTTCCCCCCTCTAGGGAGCACCCCATCTTCTTCATGTTTGTTCAACTTGCCATAATTTCCATCTTCAAGTCCTACCCAACTGTGGGAGACATTGCCCTTTACATGGCCTTCCTTCCACTCTGGAGCCACCTGTATCAGTGTAAGTTATTTTGCATTTTATTCTTTCCCCTCCTCCATCCCTAATCCGGTTGTTTTTGCCCACCTTGGAAAAGTCGTTAGTGACTGCCGTTCCTTGTTGGAAAGTGAGTGGAAAGCGTTTAAAAGTAGCATTTAAAACGACAGAGGAATGATTCAGCCAAAGTTCTAAGACCTTTTGATTTCAGTAGGAGAGAACCAAGCACATGCTTATCTTTCCCAGTGAGATCAATGGAATTCAAAAGTGATTCGTTTGTGCTGATCTAAAATTGGACCGGAGTGTGTATGTGTGTGTGTTGCAGCTCAGAGCTCTGGCATTTCATCATTCTGGCTGTTCAGCTGCAGCTTTGCAATTGACACTTGCTCTTCTTCTTTCTCCCTCCCTGTATGTATGCAGACTGAGAATAAATCATTCTTCAAGATGGCTTTAATTGCCTGCTGTGATGACGTTGACAAATTCTAGTGATCCAGCCTCCTTTCACAACAGGAAGCATTTGTTTTTCTTCCTGGAGTGACTTGCTTGGGGGCAGGTGTTGTAATCTCAATCGTTCAGCTGTGGCTGACTGTGTTTTGGATTAAGAATTTAACCTGTTTCTTTTTTAGTTCACTTTTGAGTTCAGCCCGGCTACTCAAGCAATTTTGGTAGGATCAAGTATCATGAAATCTACTGATAATTAGTTTCATCAGAATGCATACAAAGAATTTTCAAAACCTCCCCCCCCCCCCCAGTTTTACTTTAAAAGTGTTTAAACTGGTTTTGTCAGTGAATCGCCTTGGGAACATTTTTTTGTTAAAAGGCGCTATATCAATACCAGAAGCAAGTAAGTAAATTGAAACGCTTAACCAACAACCAACATTAGTTATGGGAATTGTCTTGTGCTGGCATGACTAGTGTGTCTGAAAAGTAAAAAAGGAAATGCTCTGCAAAAGCTATACAAAATGTTTCATTGTATTTTAAGACGGGAAAAGTTTGGTCCAAATTTAGCTTTCCATTCAATCCCCATCTTTATTTATCTTCCAGGGTTATTGCTTAGACTTTTTGTATGTTGCACCTGCTCAAATAAAAAACGTGGAAGCGATGGGGTGGTGGCATTGGGAAATGAGTGCAGAATAAGCCTGTCAACGCTTTCATGTGACACAGGAATTGCAGTTAATTATTTATTCTAACTAGAGGGATTTCTATAGCAGCTGTCTCTGGAACAACCCTCTAAATTAGTATCTGCCACCCCATTGTAGTTGGTGTGGTACAATGCCAAGGACTCATTAGTATACCAGCTAACCACTTTTAATGACGCCTCTGCTTTTTGTTGCAGTCCTCCGGAATGTCTTCATCCTTTCCTGTGTGCTCATTGTTTGCTCCCTGCTCTTCCCGGTTTTATGGCATCTCTGGATTTACGCAGGAAGTGCCAACTCAAATTTTTATTACGCCATCACTTTGACGTTCAACGTAGGACAGGTTAGTAAAACAAGGTGGTGGGTGAGGTTTAAGTAGCCCTCTTTTAAGTTCCTTGTAATAGATTTTGTACTGGACACAGAAATAAAATATCATAGGAATCTTGGCATTACAGCAATAGGCTAGAAAGTGTGTGTGCATGCATGTGTGTGTGCGCATGCGCATGTGTAATATCTAGTGAAATCTCCAGAGTCGGAGGGGGATTGTTAAGTTGCCTCACACAGTTCCATGCCTGTCCCATGGGCCGGAGCTTAGTTGGAGAATATCTCCTTTGTATACAGAAGGTCCCAGATTCAAACCTCGGCATCTCCAGGTAAAGTCTGGAGGGGCACTTGTCTTAAATCCTCAAGAGTTGCTGCCTGTGCCAGTTTTGACAATACTAAGTGGACCGATGGTCTGTCTCAGCATGAAGCTACTTCCTAAATTCCTATATAATGCCTGGAATAAATTTAATAATAATATAGTCAGGTATGCTCAGTTTGCATAATTTATTCATGTTTTCTTGGCGCATATTTTATGTTTAATGAAGACAGGGCTGCCTAGCTAGCATCTTACCTTTGAAAAGTGATTTGTCAAAATGTGTTCATGTTGTGTGTTTTGTCCTGCATCTCCTGTCTCTCTTTTGGTCCCAGATCTATATGGCATAAGAACAAAAATGGGGAAGTGTAACTGCAGGATCTTGTTATCTGAATGCTCTTCTTGTACATTCTGATTTGGGGCATGGCAGCTTAGAAAAGCAGTTGTTTCCCTTGTTATAGGTGGATTTTTCGATTTGGCTTGCTAGCTCCCTGGACCCATCTGCTCTTATCTGGCTCACCACATTTCACTGTGCAGCCAGGAGTGCTCCACTATTACTAAATGTTGGGTCACCAGGAATGGGAAGGGGCACCGCAGCAATCTTGCAATTGCTTTAGATCTCCTTCTTAGCTGTATTGCTCACTGTGCTGGAGTGTTCTGTATCAGAGATTCCGAATTTCCTTTGCATTAAGCAGATTTTGCTATGAACTAGTAGGGAGCGGAGTATTACAGATGTGACTGTGGGCCTCCCATGATTTGTGCATCCTTGCATGGTATGTAAGCTAATGCCAAAGGGGTGTCACATAGTCATCTTTTGTTCTCCTTGTGCTCAGTACGTCAAGGTAATAATCCACTTCAGTGGAGATTTTGGCTTCTAGACTAGGTCTCCTGTTACTCCATCTGTCTACTTTAATTGTATATTTCATCATTTGAAGCAACGCCCCTCTCCAAATTTCATCGTTGCATCTATTTCTGTTCCAACAAAAACAATTAAATTTCTCCCTGTTGCTGATCTCCTGTTAGCTTCAAGATAATTTCTTGCAAAACAGTTTGGTTTGATTTTTCTCCTGAAAGGTATTAAATGTTCATTTTAATCTTAAAAGGGACATATAGTTGCTTTGCCAGTCTCTGGGGTTGGCAAATTGGTCATTTGCACTGAGCATTCTTCTAACTTGGGCCTGCTTAGGGGGGAAAAAGCTGATATATTAAAGAAATTAGAATAAAAACTGTTGTGAGTGTTTGGTACAAAGGCAGAGGAGATCGTTAGAAATTCATCACTTTCAGGAACCTCACTGGAGAGCAATAGGCCCTGAGATACTTATCCAAACTGCAGCTTTAAAGATATGGGGTAATTAGTGAAACAACAATTTTTCTGCAGTCCCTAACTGATATGTTATATACATACCACAGATTGTTATATACATACTCTGATCAACCTAGTTAAATTTAATTGAACTGCATATTGTGTGCATGAATCTTGTCAATACCAGTATTTAGTGAATGTGTGGGACTTACTGTCTGATAACTTTTACACTAGAATTTCTAACTTGAAAAGACAAAAATGACTGTGTTCCTCCATCCCTAAACTGCCTATGACATAGGCTTAGAAATAGCAAGATTGCAACGCAGAGTGAATTCAGTGTATACTTGTCCACTTTTTATTAGCTTTGTGGTGTCTTTTTTAAAGCATTTACATTGGTGCCTCGCAAGACGAAATTAATCCGTTCCGTGAGTGTCTTCGTCTAGCGGTTTTTCGTCTTGCGAAGCAACCCTATTACCCGCTTAGCGGATTAGCGCTATTAGCGGTTTAGCGGCTATTAAAGGCTTAGCAGCTTAGCGGCTTAGCTGCTAAAAGGCTATTAGCGGCTTAGCGGCTTAGAAAAAGGGGGGGAAAGCGAAAAAAAAATCTCAAGACTCGCAAGACATTTTCGTCTTGCGAAGCAAGCCCATAGGGAAATTCGTCCTGCGAAGCAACTCAAAAACGGAAAACCCTTTCGTCTAGCGGGTTTTACGTCTTGCGAGGCATTCGTCTTGCGGGGCACCACTGTATTGTCTTTGTAACCAACTTGGTCTCCAGTGGTTCTTGCTTTAGATGCAAGAGGTTCTGGGTTTGAATCCCATATGGGACCTTGAATTGGAAAAAAAGAGGGTCTAAACTTCTAGAATTTGGGGAGGGGCCATAGAGCACATACATTGCACACTAAAGGATCCCTGGAATCTTCATTTGTGTTGCGAAAGGCTCCTACTTTAAACCCTGGAGAACTGTTGCCAGACAGTGCCTATGCTACTAAGCTACAAGACAGCGTCCCATGGTCATTGCAAATATAGCTAGCGGGTTTCTTAACAAATTAAAACAGAAGTGCTCTGAGGACCAGTATGAGCCTGCAGGCTGGACAGAAGTATTTGGGAAGCTGTGCATTCCAAATCCAATTGCAAGAGTCATAAGTTGTTTCTGCCACTATTCTTCATCTCCTCTAGCAGCCTGAGCCTAGATATGCTTCCGCAGTTCAGTGGGGATATTTTCCAAGGAGAGTGTACCTTGGATTTCAGCCTAAGCCGCAGTCCTTCACTTTGTCCAGTATGTCTAAGGCAGGGTTTCCCAAACTTGGGTCTCCAGCTGTTTTTGGACTACAATTCCCATCATCCCTGACCACTTGTACTGCTAACTATCAACCTCCCATCAACCTCTGGGGATCAATATTGACCACTTTGGGAAACCTTGATGTACACAGAAGGCTCCAGGTTTCCATGCAGAAGGTCCAGGTTCTCTAGGTAGCACTGGGAGAGTTTCCCAGCACAAATCCAGAAATGCTGCCATCAGTCTGTGGAAACAGCACTAAAGTAGATGCTCTGATTCGGGATAAGGTAGCTTCCTATGAAGACTTTTGTGAGCCTTCAGCTGCAGTCTGGAGTTGTGCAGTCCACACTGGTCTATCATCTCATCTGCTGTTTGTGTAAACTAGTTGAGAGTGTTAGGTTTTGAAGTTCAAATCCCCATTCAGAGTCACTCCATACTGTATGTGACTGATGACTACTTTATCCCTTCACCGCTTGTCCCTAAGGTTTCCGGGAATCCACATCTCCTCTTCATCTTTTGAGTTTAACCATGGAAGACCTGCAGTATATAAATATGGAGTGACTTACAGCTGGATATATTTAGGTCAGGGATGGGAACCTGTGGCTCCCATCAGCCCCAGCCAGCATGACCTCTGTTTGTGTTTAAAAGTGTACCTTGGAAATTGCAAGCTTTTTAGGTCCTCTTGGTTTCTTTTGCTTGAGTAGATGGTTTTCTGCACAGATGGTTACTTTCAGTCTCCTTCATGCAGAGTGACAGGTGTGCTGTCTTTTTGAATATTAATTGCAAGAGGAAGAATTGGGTCAAAATGAAATGCTCCAGGGGTCAGGTGCACAGCACACTGGAAGCCATTAAAACATTTGCTGCTGTGTTGGAGAAATATAAGGTGCCTATGTTCTGAACGCAAACAAGTGTGGGGGACACAATTCTGTCCTGTCCACTCCCCAAGCTCTCAGCCTTCATGCTTCTTTTGCTGGTGTGGACAGTAGCAGCCAACTGTAGCAGAAAGGGTTAGTGGAAAGGGTGCTGATAAATTTTTATATTTAAAAAAAATTGCTGGAATATGTTGGCTGAATGCATACGTGGTTTCTATTAGACCTTGCTCTCTCACAAACTATGATGCGACAATATATTTATTCATAGAATCATAGAGATGGAAGGGACCCAAAGTCATCTAGTCCATCTCCTTCAATGTAGGAATCTCAGCTAAAGCATCCATGACAGATGACCATCCAATCTCTGCTTAAAAACCTCCAAGGAAAGAGAGTCCACAACCTCTTTTGGGAGTCTGTTTCACTGTCACACAGCTCTTACTGTCAGAAAGTTTTTCCGAATGTTTAGTCGGAATCTCTTTTCTTGCAACTTGAAGCCATCGGTTCGAGTCCTACCCTCCAGAACAGGAGAAAACAAGCATGTGACAGCCTTTTAGATATTTGAAGATGTCTATCATATCTCCTCTCAGTCTCCTCTTTTCCAGGCTAAACATGCCCAACTCTTTCAAGTGCTCCTGGTAAGGCTTAGTTTCCAGACCCTTGATCATCTTGGTTGCCCTCTTCCACACATGTTCCAGCTTGTCAACATCCTTCTTAAACTGTGGTGCCCAGAATTGGATACAGTATTCCAGGTGTAGTCTGACCAAGGCAGAATAGAGTGGTACTATTACTTCCCTTGATCTGGACGCTATACTTCTGTTGATGCAGCCTAGAATAGCATTACCTTTTTTTGCTGCTGCATCACACTGTTGACTCTTGTTAAGCTTGTGGTCCACCAAGACCCCTAAATCCTTTTCACATGTACTGCTAGTAAGCCAGGTGTCCCCCATCCTATATTTGTGCATCTGGTTCTTCCTGCCTAAGTGCAGAATGTTACATTTCTCCCTATTGAAATTCATTTTGTTAGCTTGTGCCCAGTTCTCCAATCTGTTAAGGTCATTTTGAATTCCCCCAGCTACACTTTGATATGTCACTGAGTTCTAAAAAGAAAAGGCATTTAAGGAGGATTGTTTATAGTGCTTCTTCTGAAGAAATTAATCTTCCTAGGAAATCAGGACATTGGGTAGCCTTACAGGTCAGGAGTTGCTGGTCTCTTTCAGCCTGAGGGTTGCATTGGTTGTTAGCCACAGCATCTACGGCAGCTCTTCTCAGAACAGATTGAGCATTCCAGAATAAAATTGTTAAGATAATGCATCATTGTTGGGTTTTTCCTTACTGCTTCAACACACAATCTGGCTATTCTTGAGTAGCTTTAACACCCTTTTGTTACTGGTAATGTTTTTTATGGTTTAAAAGCCTTACTGCTATGCAGGTTGGCTTGTGTCTATAATAGTTCAGTAAATATAAACCAAATAAACATTGATAGTGTAAAGTACAGCATGTCTTGGTCTGGATGTGCAGCCATTTTGTTCCGAATGAATCAGGTGTCACTCCTGCCTGTGTTTTCTTCTCTTCCCCTGCAGATCTTGCTCATCTCAGACTATTTCTACGCCTTCCTGCAGAGGGAGTACTACCTCACTCACGGAATCTACTTAATTCGAAAAGACAGGACAGACCCCATGCTGGTTCTCAAATAAAGTTGGCATCTGATGCGACTATGGGAACAGACAACGGATGATACTTGGGGAGGGGTGGGGAGATACCTTTTTTTGCGTATGGTGAACGGGCTCCTGTTTGGGGAATAACCAATTCAGTGCTGGTACAAAGCGTGATGCAGAGAGCATGAGAACGGGTTGAACAGCCCACCTGGGTGGCCCACAGCCGCATCAGAATCTTCTTGTCACCGCTGCGAATGTCACTCATCAGTTCTGGATAATTCCTCAGGACTTGATGAAATGCATTTGAACTGACACCAAGGAGGGGTCTTGCATCCAGGCAAGTGACAAGGCCATGGGTGGTGATTTTTTTTATTATTATTATTATTTCTTGGGGAAACTCCTGGGAATTTTCTCCTTGAGGAAAGGAATAACTTCAGCAAGCATTTATTTGGTTCCTCTTGCTGCTCTGCTTCCATTGCTTGAATTGGCAGCTCGTCTGCCTGATGTACAGGGATCCTTGCGCCCTCGGGAGAGAATGGGCAGCTACTCTTGGACACTTATTCTCCTTGCACTGATACTGGAGACTGGGAGGCCCCAAGTATTCTGTGTGCAGTTTGGTGCTCTGGACAAATGGTCAGTTTGATGTGCGTCAGAGTGGAGCTGCCCAGTGGAAGCAGCCTGGGAGTCATGGAGATTTGCATTCCGCTGCTTGTAACCCAGGTATTCGGAGGACGTTTGGTGGAATCACCAGGTGGATCAAACTTGTTCACTTTTCTTTAATGGGGAAACACTATGGACATGCAAATGAATCATTCATGTGCAGTCTTACGAAAATGAAAATTAAGAGTTACAGAAAACCCAAAGTGAATGCATATTGACCAGAGAGGTCATGGCTGGGCTACATAATCCATTCAGCTTTTAAGATTCATAGGAAAATTATTCTTCCAAGCTCTTCCCAACCTAAGATTTGAGGCCAGAAAGCACAAAAGTGGGAGCGCTGTTAATGGAATGTTTGGGCCCAACAGTAGTTATAACCATTACATATTCTACCCAAAGTGTTACTGTTTTAGTAGGAGAAGCAGTAAATTGTGACTGTATTAGAAAAGCAGCTATGCAAAAATGGCTACCCCATCCCACCCGCTTTTAATGCTTGTGTGTTCAGTTGGTTCACTTCCCTTCAGTAACCAAGAGACAGGTATTTTTGTTTGGAGATGGCTGCTATTTTTAACTCTTCTAGCCCAGCACAGCTACGGCTAGTTTCTTTCTCTGACATTTTAATTTTACCAATGGTGTGGTTCCCTCACCGGGTAGCCAAACGAGACCCAGCCAAACTCCTAAAGCCCAGAAGAGGCCCAGTGACAAAACCACTCCACCTTTATAACTATAAGCAGAAGAGATTAATTTCAGACCCACTGAATCTGCAATTTAATGTGCCCTCTGTCTTTTTTCTTTCTTTCTTTTTTTTTGCAAAGTTGCTCCACAGGCTATAGCTTCCTTTCTCTTACAGTGTATTAAAGCAATCTTTCAGAAGGGATTTTTTAAAAATAAAAATAAAAAAGCTTGCCTTATTAAATTGCACTTTTAGTGATTTTCTAGAACAGGGGTGGGGAAGTTCAGACCCAGGGGCCTTCTTGGAATGCGCCTTTGAATTCTGATGAGCAAGAGGTATTGTCTGGATGGAAGAGAGAGGTGTGTGAAACTAGCCTGCCTTACAAAGGCAAAATTTATATTCATTGCTCTGTCCACTTTTTGCCTGTGGCCCCACCCACCATAAGATGTGGACCCCGAAGGTTGCCAAGAAAGGAATGTGACCTGAAAAGGGTCCTCCACCCCTAATCTAGAAGACCTCCATAACGGGCTGGCTTTTACCTAGGCAGGGCTTCCAGGACATAACCTTGTCTGAAAGAAGTGCATGGAGACTACGGTACTTGATTCTGAGTTTTGAAGGGCTTTCCGAGGAAGACTCTCTTTCAGCTCAACTGTACAGGTGGGTTGGGGGCACAGTGTAACTCAAGCAATATTCTGACAACATTTCCACTCCTGACTTGTGTGTGCTCCCTGTCTTGTTCTCTCCCTCTTTCAAGGTTCATCTGAATTTAGGGCAGATAATATTTTGGGTTTGTCCGTCAGATGGCAGGGGGTGTCAGCACAAAGTGATTCCTGATGCTTTCGAGAAGAGCTTTACAGTGGCAGCAGGGAAGGCTTGTTACCTTTATTTCCCCCTTTTTGTCTCCCCCTACACACCTTAAAATAAAATTAAAAAGCCACCAACTCTCAGTAGCTTGGACAGGATGACAGGAGAGCTCTGAGCTTCCTTCCTGAAAAGATGCAAGCAGAGATGGATTTAGGGGACCATGACTGGTGCGGTCGCACTGGGTGCAGATTGCCACCAGGGGCACCACAACTATGATTTACAACGGAGTGTGAGAGGTGAAGGGGCGCCAAATTTTGGCATCGCACAGGCTGCCGCTGAAATTTGAGACCCCAAGATCCGCCATTGATACAAGCGTGTATGATGAGCACTTCTAAATTTGAAAGCGGTCAGAAGCTCCCTCACCCCACCACTGCCCTTGTGCCTCCTAAATGACCACCTCCCAACATGCCGCCAGTAAACAAGGTGATGAATTGAAGGTTGGCTGTTTCAGGGCCCCGCCACCCTTACGTTCATCCTAACTACATGTGTATAGACTCAGTGCATGCACCCAGGTTGGGGTGCAGGACCCTGTACCAGGATCCAGCTCATCCACCGCCTTCTTGCATGCACCTCCACTCCACGAGCATTTGGTTCACTTCTGTTGCAGGTAAAACGTCTGGCTTTTCCAACACTCTTGTCGCCATTGAAGAACCTGCCAGGGGTACGCAACCTGACCAAGGTTCAGAAAATTCTGATGAAAAACGGCAGTCATAGCGGTTTAAGCACTGTGCATTGTGAGGCAGGCATCTTATATTTACAACCATTTTTGTGTCTTACCAAGGCATTTTATAAATGTATGGTATTGGCTGCTCGTGTGAAAAAATTCAAGGGTATTGCAAGGATGTAGCTTTTTCTGGTTTGGATAAAATTGGGGGATTTCGGGTTCCTATTTTAATCAGCCATTTACTGAGGGTATGTTTTGCAACACAACACTCTTGGGTGGATTGATGCCTCCCTGGTTGAGCCTGTTTCCCAAAAGAAATATATCAGTTTTCAGCGCTCAACAGCAGTGGAAGACAATAAACGGGGGAGGGAGCCTCTGTGAATGTTGCATGTGTTTATGAAGTACTGCTGCATCTGTTTGATGTGCTACTGTGTGTGTGTGTGTGTGTGTGTGTGTGTGTGTGTGTAAGAGAGGCTGAGAGGCCACATTCAAACCATGCATTTATCATAGTCTCTGGTTTTGTAGTCTCTGGCTTGGCTCACCGTAGTGCTCTTCTCAAGGCATGATCACCTGACTGCGAGAACAGTGGACTACATTACAGGGTTGTCGTAAGCCAGGCATGACTAAACTTGGCCCTCCAGCTGTTTTGGGACTACAGTTCCCATCATCCCTAACCACTGGTCCTGTTAGCTAGGGATGATGGGAGTTGTAGTCCCAAAACAGCTGGAGGGCCAAGTTTGGCCATGCCTGTGTAAGCCATTCTGCCTCAGCATTGCCATCACCCTTTGGGAGCAGTATGGGAATCGCAAGAACAAATGACACTGTATGCCTAGTCTACTTTTTGAACCAAAGGTCAAAAATAATAAAAGATGGCCTACCTTACAGGGTTTGGCATAAAGGTTGCTAGGATATGTGACATGCTTTAACCAACGTAAAAGTGAAGCATAAATACTATTATAGAGTTGTGGTTAAATGCTGTCGTTTGTTAAAAACATCTGGTTCTGCCCAGCTGTTGAACATCCCCGATTGTCACTGATGCTTCAGAATGTTGCAGTCCACCGAACAAAATGGATGTCCTTCATTTGAGTCCAAATGTATCACTTATTTAGGGAAAGCATAAGCCGGCAGAGCAGTCTGAGCCATGTGTCAGCATTACCTGATAGCTTTTGGCTTTCAAAATGGCTGCCTTGTCAGAAGACTTAAGCCCTTGGTTGTGAACGGGAAAACTGATCAATTGACAGAAAGATTACCGTGGTCTGCAATACAGTTCATTTCCCTCTCAGCTGGTCTGCCCCTTTCACTTATGGGCGTTTCAAGGATTCATGCTGTCTTTGTAAACTGGAGAATGACCACTGCCTCAGGTGCATTATTCTATTTAGGACTGAGAGTGGAATGATGGTCTAATGGTATTTATATTATTTGCAGTACATAAGAGGTAATTGGAAGCTGACATTGGAAGTGTGCACGTGTAATGGTTAGTCGAGAGCGTCTCTAGTCCGTCCTTACCCAAGGGCTATTAAAACCTTTTAGCTAAATGTAATTAATGTAACATAATATTTCCCCCTGCTTTAGCTCAGCGGTGTCCTGATTCTAGAGTTTCTCTCCCCATCCCCCTCGTTTTCATCCTCTTAAATCCTAATCTGGGCTGGCATGCAGAAGCCCTGGAGCTGCAGCATCTTGGCACTGAGCGGTTGCCATGGCATCAGCCATTTTGTTTCCCATGTGAACCGTGTAGAATGATTTGAGGCTTGCACTTGTCCTTCTCCAATGCAGGTGGCCATTTTTGCAGAGGGTCAATAACTTGCTAGGCTGTGACAGGGAAATAAAAAAGCAAAGGCTGCACACATACCCCCCAAGAAGTGAAAAAGGAGGTTGTTTAGGGGGAGAGGAAAAGAGAAAGAGAACCAGGTATGTTAGAACGAGAGGAAGAGGCAAGTCAAGAAGCAGGAGAATGTTTGGTATGGATTTGGTACAGAATTATAGGGCAAGTTTTAGACTCAACCTACGTCGTCGGACCTGTTGCTTACCAACGTGGATCATAGCCAAAACATGCAATGAAAGATGGATGGCAAGCAGCTGGCAATCTTCCTTTTAGAGCATCTTACTATTGCTGATCTCATGGAGGGATCTTTGATGAGCTTCCAAAAAACCCTAGGGTTTCTCACAGCGCAGTTTGTGAATGGCAGGAGTTGAATCTGGACCTGGATTCCCAATGACTGTACTAGCACGCCATCCCAAATTAGTTTGGGTCCATAAGCTCAGGACAGGTCAAACTCAGGCTTCCCAAGGGCTATGAGGAGCAGCAATGTACTGAATTGGGATGACTTTTAACAGGGAAGGGTTTGTTCTAATAACGAGATTGCTTTCCTACACATGGAAGGATCTGTACAGCAGGCTGTCAAGCTGGCAGGCTATAAAAGCTATACGGCATGAATAAATTGGTGCCAGCAGCCATGGGGAAGTGGCTTCTGCCTGCACCGAGGAGGATGAAAGTGTTGCTGAGCTATTTTCTCACAGAACGGAAGGCATGGTTGCACAAAGCGGGGGGGGGGGGGGAGCTGGTGTGTTCAGAGGCTCCCATCCAGATAGGAACTACATTGCTTCACTGTACGACTGGTACTATCCAATTCTGTTCCAAGATTTTAATTCTAAACCTCTTGCTGGTCGACATGCTGCTCTCAGCAGTTTTTCTTGTGGGCGTGATGTATTTTGTGAATCTGCTCAAGGAAAGAAGTTGGCATTTGGCAGCAAATTCAGTCTTCACTTTTGTAAGCATATTTCTAACCCTTATGGCTGCCAACGTAGGCTTTAAAGGGTGTTTGCAATCGCGGGTGAATTCTAAAAAGCCAGGAGGAGTTCCGGGGTGGGGGCTCTCCGCATTACTCAATGGTCCTATGAGAAGCAAAAGTAGAATAAATGGTGCAAATTGACAATTTGCATCACTTATACTAATAATAATTTATTAATTATACCCTGCCCATCTGGCTGGGTTTCCCCAGCCAATCTGGGCAGCTTCCAAGAAAATATTTAAAATACAATAAAACATCAAACATTTAAAACTTCCCTAAACGGCACTGCCTTCAGATGTTTTCTAAAAGTCAGGTAGTTGTTTATTTCCTTGACATCTAATGGGAGGGTGTTCCACAAGGTGGGTGCCACTACTGAGAAGGCCCTCATGGTGTTGAGACCTTTGAGCCTATGCAGAATGTACAGTTATGCTGTCAACATGAGTTAGAGCATGTAGCCTGGCTTCTCGTAGATCTCCCAATAGCAGCAACTGTGAACTTGAAGGCAAGTTTCAAAGATACAGGAAGCATATGTGACACAAGACCTCATAGGTCTCATGTATCACACTGCTCTCATGAGATCTCCTTTGGGAGCTTTCTGTATTTACAGGAGCAATGCCTAACTTAGCACAACCAAGTCTGTTGCTGCATTTTTCTTCCTTTAAGAGACCTAAAGTTCAGCTTTTCCCCTTTGCCTCTTCTGTGTGGTCTTACAGACATCTGAAGGCAGCCCTTTTTAGGGAAGCTTTTAATGTTTAATAGGTTGTTGTATTTTAATATTCTGTTGGAAGCCGCCCAGAGTGGCTGGAGAAACCCAGCCAGATGGGCAGGGTATAAATAAAATAATAATAATTATTAATAATAATAATAATAATAATAATAATAATAATAATAAAGGTACCTGTGCAGAATGGCACGGTTCTTCCCACTTTCTGCTTTGTTCATGTGGCAAAGGGAATGAAATTACTAGTGGCACCAAACGGCTCAATTTCATTTTTTTTTTGTGTGGCCCTTTCTGAGCACCTGAAAGGGCTAATAGTCGAAGAGGTTTACAGTAGTCAGTGAGCCTCATGCCAGTCACAGAGGTTCCCAATCCCTCTGTGTAACAAGGGAACAGGCCTAATAGGCCCAGAAGCCATCTTCTGGTTTACTAAAAAAAACCCAGTGGTTCCATTAGCCAAATACATTCTCTAGGGCTGCAGTGTGTAGATGTGTAATTCTCTTCCCGGGGCTAGTTTAATCTCCCACTTGCTAATAAAACTGAATTACTGTGTCATGAGATGATGCACATCTAAACACTGTGTCACTGACATGAAAAGTTTGGAAAGCTCTACTCCAGGGCTACAAAATTGCACAGAGGTTTGTGCACATGTTCCATTTACAGCTCCATTTACACTGCACAACTAGGTTCAGCATTTCCGTGGAAGTTTGTGGCACAAGGACACAAGCAGAGAACAGGCTCCTCGTCACCAGCTCCTTTCAGTCTGACTGTATGGTATGTCTGAGATTGGAGCAGATGAAATCTACTGCTCTGACAACAAGACACAATTTTAACTTATCTTTATTTATATAGTTATTTGTATAGATTCAACTGGGTGGGGAGTTTTTCCTGTCATACACACACGTTTTTGGTATCATAAATTTAAAAAAAGAGAGGAAAAAAGCAATATAAATCAGTACATTCCTTGAGTGAATGGTCTGCTTGCCACAATGGGACAAAGAAAATTAGAAAAAAAAGGAAAATAAACTCGTGCATGCAAGAAAGGAGAGGGGCTGGCTTTAAAAAACGAAACAAAAACAATCCTAAAAAGGCAAGTATAAATATTGACAGAGACACAGCACAGGGTACGGCAGATCTGTGAAAATTAAGCTAATTCCACACTCACCTCTACTACGTTTTAAAGTGCAAAGAAGCTTGGGCTTGGTTTGTTTGTTTTTCAAAATCTACATAATACAAGCAAATTATATTCCCCCGTCGTGCTTACAAAATAAAATAAATCTAAGAGATATACATTATACACAGTCCTGTAGAAGACGCCTACATCTACTCTGTAGCACCAAGAATTGATATGCAAGTAATTAAAAACGCAAGAGCAGTGGTAGTTATTTTGTTTGTTTGTTTGTTTGCCTTCAGATTTCTGGCCCTTTAATAAAAGTTCAGCGGATAAGCCCCTCCCCTTGCTGTAACGGTGGCGTTTTGCTTCCTCCGCCTGCCACAAGCTCCATCAATTTGGCATTGGACTAAGAAAAAAGGACATGATGACAATAGAGACAGAAAAGGAGACAGAGAAAGCACACGCAGCAGGGAAGGAAGGGGGATGCAACAAGTGTTCCAAACGGGGGGGTCAAGGGCAAGGAAGTAGAGACTTGTGGGTCACGCAATCATACACACACGGAACTAGCTTGGTCTGTTGCACTGCAAAGGTGGAGGCACACCAGTTGCTTTTTGTGCTGCTCCCGAGCCACAGGCCTCTGTCTGCACTGGTGTGCCAAGGGGGGGACAGGGGGAGTGTTGGGGAGGCAGGGATGTCAACGCAACAGTTTGTGGAGTCAGTCCTCTGGTGCAGACAGGCGCTCAGTAGCCAAAGGTCTCCTGCGAGGCGTAGACCATGTAGAGGAAGCCGTCTTCGTCCTTCTCTTGCTCATAGATCTCAGAGATAGGGGTGGAAACGCTCACCATGCTGTGCTGGTTCACCAACAGGAAGAAGGCCTGGGTGGGATTCAGCTGCAGCCGGCGACTGGTGGAGAGGGAAGTTCAGGATTAATCAATTTATTCAATTTCTGTGCCGCCCTTCGTCCGAGGGTCACAGGGCGGTTTACAGTAGAAAAACACTCAAACCATAATAATAACATACCCAAGCACATCAAACACACAGTTTAAAGGGTCATAGGTCGTTTAATTAGCCAAAGGCTTGGGAGAAGAGGAATGTTTTGGTCTGGTACCCAAGGATATGTAATGAAGGCATCTGGCAGGCCTCCCTGGGGAGAGCATTCCACAAGTGCAGGGCCACTGCAGAAAAGGCCTGCTCTTGTGTTGCTGTCCTTTGTGTCCCTCATAAAGAGGGCACATGAAGAAGGGCCTCAGATGATGATCGCAGGGTCCAGGTCAGTTCATGTGAGAAGAGGTGGTCCTTGAGGTATTGCAGTCCTGAGCTGTTTAAGCTTATATAGGTCAAAACTTGCAATTTGAATTGGGCCCGGAAACTAAATTGGATGCCAGTGCAATTGGGCCAGGGTTGGCATTAAATGCTCAAACTGTCTTCCACCGGTGACCATCTCAGCTTCTGAATTCTATATCGGCTAAACTTTCTGAACCATCTTCAGTGGCAGCCCCATTTATAATACGCTGCAGTAATCTAACCTAGAAGCAGTTACTTCAGCAGAGCTAGCAGGCGGACATGCACAGTGGAATCCAATTCACTTATTTGCTCAGACCCAAAGATGCCACAAATAGCTCAAAAGCTGGCATCTTTTGGTGGCAAACCTGGTTGGCATCTGGAGTGCCTGCAGATCTGATGATGGTATAGATTCAGGGAAATATCCTTTCTGCTCCCCCCAAGCAGCAGCACTACCTGCTGTTCCTTCAGCTCATTAAGTCAGTGAATGATGAGAAGCCAGGCTGCACCCTTTGCAGCTGCCTCATCACCCTTCTAATTCATAGAAGAGGACTGCCCTATCCCCATGTCCTACTTTAGGAAGCTAGTTAGAAGGACAAGGAAGGGCAAGCTGTTCCCATGCCAAAAAAATAACCCTTGATTTGCACTGTCAGGAGCAGATCATAGCTGGCTGCTCTGAGGCCTTTCACTTACCGGATTATTTTTACCAATTCACTCATGTTGACATGGTCAGGGACTAGGAATTTGGTCTTATCCAGCACAGGCAGCTGCTTCTCCCCCTTGTATCTTTCAATAATGACCTGATGAGAGAGAAATGGGCGCAGTCAGGTTTCTTCTTATCCAAATCTATCACGGCAGCCCTTAAGGAGACAGCCTTTCAAACAGCAAACAAACCCAAGGATGTGAAGATAATTAAAAATCAAGAACCAAACCACATCAAAGGTTTTCCCAATTGGCACCTTGAAGTCAGGAGTGGCTTCTGTCTGGTTTTACAAGAACCCCTTTTGAAAGGTGTACTGTAATCAACAAATTGAATGCTGACTCCACATTTGGTCTTGCTCCTCTCTCCTTCAGATTGCTTGCACCCACCTTCTTAAAACTTATTTTAAACAATAGCCTGAACATTCAGTCATTAGCATGTTTGTTCCATATCTTATTTGTAAAAGCAGACAAATGAAAAGTTAAAAAGAAAATGATTTCCATGATCTTGAACGAAAGCCAGCATTTTTTTAAAAAAGTGTTTTATTGGCTCGTTCACTGCTCAGATTATATGTGCCTGTCCACAGCCTTAGCATCAGTGAGAATTCAGTAGGCCCACGTCCCCTTTGGTGTTGTGTACAACACAAAATGTATGCCACTGCTCACAAAAAGGAGAATCTTCTGAATCAATAAAGACAACAAGATGGTGTGACAGCCACTCGGCAGTGAAACACAGAGATGCCACAGCTCTGTGGCATGATGGTGATGATGATGATTGTATGCATGTATGTATGTATGTATGTATGTATTCATTCATTCATTCCCCCGCCCATCTATCTGGGTTTCCCAAGCCACTCTGGGGGCTTCCAACAAAATATTAAAATATAATAGTTCTTCAGATATTAAAAGCTTCCCTAAAGCTTTTGATCATGACATGGAAAGACCACCAAGTTGATATTTAAAAGGCAAATGTGAAGGCGCTGGCAGTAAGCAGCCACCTCAGATCTGCTGAGTCTCCATCTTTTCCCCTCCCACTATCTCAGATTTTGAAATGTGACCACTGGTTCAACCGCTGGACAGAAGCAATCCTTTTAAGCATCCATATTCGCTAGTGCCACAAACTCAAAGCCACACAACTGCCTTTTTTGTTTAAATACTGTACTATGAAATAAAAGGTATCCCTGATGGGGCTTTACAGAGGGGCAGGGCTGCTTCATTCACAGACCTGCTATGCATGGAAGCCAAAGCAAAAGATGGAGGGGCAAGCAGACCACAATGCCGGCCTGGAGCTGGCACAGCAATTTGGCACAGATTGGGCTCAATACCGTTAAACAGGAGCAGTGGGGCTGGCTTCAGAACTAACAGATCCTGCCCTTTCTCTGGAAAGCCCTGATTTGGAGGGTTTTGCTGGCTGCCACTGACATGGATCCCACCAGCTGCCCTTCTGCTCACTCTGCAGGTGAGGGACGGATGCCGCTCACTCCATCACCACCCCAGTGCAACGGAGTTTGGATTGCCCTTGGAGGGAAAAACCAGATAGCTGGGAAAGATGAAGTTAACAGTGGACACTTAGGTGCCCTTGGCATGCTCATAATAAAAGCAGGCCTGAGTGCCCATCTTTCAAGGGCCATTTCTAGCTACTGGCAATAGCGGTAGACTGCCTTTGTAGTCCTGTTAATAGCCACTGAAAGACTTTTCTCTGTGAATCGATCTAATCTGCTCCTTTGCAGGGTAAAGCCATCTGTACGAACAGCCACCACAACACCCTGGAGCTGCGCAACCATGTTAATTTCATGCAATTTTGAAAAGAAAAGTTTTCTTTTATCTGCCCTGAACCTGCTGCCAATCAGTTTTGCTGGATAATTCTACGCCACGAGACCGGTTTTAGTGTCCAGAGTGACATTTTCGTCTAGTCAGCTCTAGACAAAAGCAATTGTGGGAACAACTGCCAGGTAATGTGGGAATCACATCTGCTCTGCGTATCTTGGGATATGAATTATTCAACCACTGTGCCCGTACATAAAGTGTGTCTCTTATTAGATAGGAAGCAGCCAGAGAATAGGCCAAAGAGTAAATGCAAGCGGGCAGTGTGCACTGTACCCAGCACAGAGTGGTAGTCACAAACAGAGGCTTTAGCAGACATGCAGTAGTGGTTGTAATATCGGCTTCCTACTGAATCAGTTGTAGAGCACATGCACTGCATGCAGAACATGCCATGTTCCATGGCAATTTCCAGGCAAGACAGGGAAAGACGAAACCCACTGGCAGTCAGAGTGGGCAACAGTGACAATGCTAAATGGGTCAGTGGTCTGACTCTATATGAAGCAGCTTCTGACCCAGAGGCATCTACTCACTGAAGGTACCAGTTTCAGTCTGCTTATCTAGGAAGGCACATGGCTGCAGACTTGCCCCAGAAGTAGAAAAGCATGGCATCTGCACTCAACTCGTGGACATCAGGGCAAGAGTGGTGTCACTCTGCGTTGCCCTGCTCCTGCTCCCGTGTATGTGTGAGAGTCCTCTATGTGAATAACACGTGAAGAGGAGAAGAATGTGAAACAAAGGGTGATAACCATGTCAGAATGATGGTGGGGTTGTGGAGTCAACATGTTCTATTTATCTTATGTTAAGAAAAAGCTCGGTGCTCCAATTGACAGCTAGAGTATCAGAGAAAAGGGGTTAAGCCTAACTGTTCCTTGGATATACTAGCTTTTCCCATGCAGGCGAGTACCCAATATATATAATTTGATTTAGTTGAGCTTTATAGTTGGGGGGGAGCACTTTGGGTTACATATTGGGCAGAAACCTAAAAAGCTTTTATCCAAACTGAAGGCATAGTTCAGCTCTAAGCACTAAGTGGATTTTGTTTTTCACCTACATGTATATGCCAGTGTATTGGAAGAAGCAAAGATCACAAGTGTCAAAGCAATGATTCTTCAACATCAACTTCAATTGACTGCTCAAGTTGTGCAGATCCCTGATTACCGTCTTCCAAAGCAACTACTCTATTCCAAACTTAAAAATGGAAAGCGTAATGCTGGTAGTCAACAAAAGAGGTTTAGAGACTCTCTCAAGGCAAATCTTTAAAAATGTAGTATAAATACCAACTGGCCTGCGAGCACTCCAGTTGCAGAACAGCCTTTACCAAAGGGGGCATGGACTTTGAAGACGCTCGGACTCAGGATGAAAGGGAGAAGAGGAAGGCATGTTTGGCAAACCCTCACCGTGATCACCTCCCTCCCGGAAACCTACCTCCCCACTGTGGAAGGACATGTGGATCCAGAATTGGCCTCCACAGTCACTTACGGACTCAACTGTTAAAGACCGTGTTCATGGAAGACAATCTTCCTCAGCTACGAGTGATCACCAAAGAAGATTATGCATCCATCATGCATATACAGTCATACCTTGGGTTGAAGTAGCTTGGGGATGAATATTTTCAGGTTGCGCTCCGCGGCGACCCGGAAGTAATGGAGCACGTTACTTCTGGGTTTCGCCGCTCGCACATGCGCAGACACTCAAAATGACATCACGCACATGCGTGGAAGTGGTGAATTGCAACCCGCGCACGCACAGACGCGGGTTGTGTTTGCTTCAGGATGCGAACGGGGCTCTGGAACAGATGCCGTTCGCATCCAGAGGTACCATTGTACATATATGTGCATTTGTATGTATGTGAGATACATATGTGTATATCCTCCTGCCTCTCATAAACAAATAAACTGTTCGCTAATCTTGTTATTCTCACAGTCCTTACTTGCATAGTCTTGTGATCACTGAAATCTAATGTGCCAACCCTGCATTTATCTATTTACAAACTGAGCTGAGCAGAACCTGCTGTTTAACCATGAGTATCCCCCCCCCCAAAAAAAGAAATGTCTTCTGAGGTTTCTGACAATCCTCTGGAGCAGATTTGGAAGGGGTTCACGTGGAGAGAAAGTACCACTGTGCAGGCAGCAGCCCTTGTGCTAAATACAACCCAGTATGCATCTGAATGAATACCAGTTATTGGGGGACATAAATGACACAGGGCGGGTGTTGCTGCATTCATGTGGGCTTCCCAGAGGCATCTGGTTTCTGTTTCATCAACCCCTTTTGGGGAATTAATTTGATTCAGTGTTGGCCATATGTTCTGTATTTTATGATGTTTTGATGCTTGTATAGTACACTTCCATGGTATTTTTCTCAGGCGTTGGCAGCTTACAAATACTCATATAAATAAATAAAAATCTGGCTGGTTAATATGAGAGAAGAATGCTAGATTGGATGGGCCTCTGGTCTGCTCCAGCTTCTTAACATCATTTCATTTACAGACCCGAGAAACTATATAGGTACGTAATGGGGAAGGCCCTGCTCCCCAATTACTGGTGTGTGGGAATGGTTTGGTTTGCTCGCTAGTTAGGAAAAGGAACTCTGCACATCCTCAGTAGTTCTGCTGCTTCACTAGATGGTCCTCAGGGTGCCTTCCAACTCTACGATTCTATATATGCTCAAGGACTGGGCCCCAAAACTGAAAACAGGTTCTGGGGCTGAGTTCCAGCTGAATGCTGATCCTCCCTCACTCCCCACTTTCAGTCCAGATTTTATTTTTATCTCTCCTTCTAGGAACAGAAGTGCTATTTCAAAAGAAAATGTCTGAAACCTTTTTTTACAGATAATAAATGCAGTTATTGTGCAAATGCATGATTGTTTGCAAAAAGAGGGGGGTGTCCTAGTGTAAGAATTGGCCTTAAAAGATCAGGCCAAGGTCCATCTGGCCCAGACGTCCATCTGAACCACTGCCAACCAGCTGCCTTTGGGAAGAGCCAAGAAGCAAGGCATTCAAATACATGTTCAGGGCATTGAATCACGTCTGTTCAATGTCTCCTTGCCATGCGGTTATTAAAAAGCATAGTGAATAATCGCCTTCAATCAGAGCCTTTTAGGATACAATGGATGTTGCCCCTCTGCCCCTTGCCAAGGGTCCTTCCAGATGGGAGCTTATTGTAGATTTGGTGCGGCTCATGCCTGCAAAGTATTTTTTTCCAGCATCCACACAATGATCCCACTGTCAAAATGCCAAGCCATACTTTTAAAGATTTTCTTTCACTGCAGAAAAATCTATTAAGTAAAAGCTACCCATTCCATCTGCAGTATGGAAGCTCACTGTTTCCTTCTCTCTCTCTCTCTCTCTCTCTCTCCCGTATATATATATATTGGTAGCTAATTTGGGGTGTGTGTATGTGTTGCCAGTCTGATAGGTGGCCTCTACTGCCACAGCCCTACTTACATTTGCTCCCTGAGTGAGTACAATCCAGCCATTTTATTTCCAGCAGCCCAAAAGATACTAGAATGCCTAATTCCATCAACTGTTGCATAATGAGAGCATGTTTGAATTTCAATGACCCATTCTCTCAAGATCTCAACATGTGGGGGATAATTTTGGGGACTGTAATTGTGGTATATAAACCAGGCTTTTAGAATAATAAATAATAAAATAATAATGATAATAGTAATAATAATGATAATGATAATGATAATAATAATAATAATAATATAGTGCCTTTGCACAAGGCTTCTTAATCACTCTTGCACAAACCTTAACCAGGAAACTATCGGTTCTCGAACTTAATCCATTCTGGGAGTCTGTTCGACTCCCGAAACGGTTCGAAACCCAAGGCACAGCTTCCAATTGGCTGCAAGAGCTTTCTGCACTGAAGCGGACTCCACGCCGAACATTCGGCTTTCGAAAAATGTTTGCAAACTGGAACACTTACTTCCGGGTTTGCGGCATTTGGGAGGCGATTTGTTCGGCAACTAAGTTGTTCGGGAACCAAGATGCCACTGTATTGTGAAACGTGATAACTAAGGCTGGTAACATTTGCTTTTGCACTTGGGTGCACTACGTAGGATTTTTCATTTTAAAGGTGTGCATATACACAGAGAGATACAGAAACACCTACGTGCGTGTCCCCAGACTGAAAAGGGGTAGTGAAGAATAGTGTGAGAGTGAATGAAGGGGTGGCACACATCTGCCTGCACAGATGGTGCTCAAGTGCCTAGCTACTGTCAACCTTCTGAGTTTAGGAAATCCTTATGTTCTACTATTAGACAAATGGAAGATGACAAGAGCACAGCATAAGCGTTGCTGGCTTCAATAGCTTCCTCCCTGGATCCTCACCATTCATTTTCCTCTCTGCTAAAGTCCTTACCGGTGTCTAATGGCAACAGTAGGAGCTAAGAGGCATCCTTTTAATTACCAATCCCACCCACCACTCTCACAGGAGGAAATCATTCCTACTGCAATGAGAGTAGGCAGAGTAGGAGCCCTTGCTGTTTCTGCTGCTGTCTACAGCTTGGAGATTATAGTGACAGCTGATGACATTCAGAGATTTATGGCAAGACTCTGTTTCTGCACCCGTGGGCTGAGAGGCACCCAGGAGAAGTGAATGGGAGACTGCTTACTACAGCAAATGTGCTACTCGCTTAGCTCTAACAGCATCCTGGGTGCCCTAAGGGATACAGAGGTGACACAACTCCAGGCTTATTTATCTACAATCTAAGCAGTGAAGGCAGGACAAAAAATGAAGGATGGAGAGGACTTTGGTGGGGGAACAGAGAATAAGGAGATGTTGCTTTCTATCTCAAAATTCTAGAGCCCAGGGTCATGCAATGAAACTGAGCAGAGGGAGAATCAAGACAGACTATTAGGCTGAGGGTGGCGTGATATTAAGGTAGGAAAGGGAGTTTTTTATATACAGTGGTACCTCGGGTTACAGACGCTTCAGGTTACAGACGCCGCTAACCCAGAAATACCATAGTACCTTGGGTTAAGAACTTTGCTTCAGGATGAGTACAGAAATCGCATGGCAGCATCGCAGCAGCAGCAGGAGACCCCATTAGCTAAAGTGGTACTTTAGAACAGTTTCAGGTTAAGAACGGACCTCCAGAACTAATTAAGTTCTTAACCCGAGGTACCACTGTATATAGAGAAGGCGGTTGCCTGCATTCTTAAGGAAGAGCATGGATTAAGACGGGAGTGGGGAAAAGGGAGACAATAATTTACCTGCAACAATTGCATGTTGATTGCCCTCTCAGAAGACAAAGTCCAGCAACTGGAGGAACGTGTAGCTACGCTCCAAAGAATTAGAGAGGGAAAAATAGTGGAAGTGAACAGCTGGCTTCGCAAAAGGTGTAAACAGGAACGGTTGGGATTCTTAGATCACGGACTGCAGTTTCTTGAAGATGGACTTCTGGCGAGCAATGGGCTGCACCTCACAACGGTTGGGAGGAATGTTTTTGCCAAAAATCTCAGAAACCTCATCAGGAGGGCTTTAAACTGACTAATGTGGGGAGGGAGACAGTGCTCCTGAAGGTAGGAGTCTATCAATTGATGAAGATGATCATCCAAATGTCATAGACCAAATGGAGCAAACAGCATGCAGACCTAGTGGTGGGAGGAAAAAATCCTTAAATAAGAGACACGGGGGAATGATTAATGGACTTCAACGTCTGTACACTAATGCGCAAAGCATGGGAAATAAACAAGATGAGCTTGAGTTCTTGGTACAGCAAACTAAATATGACATAATAGGCATCACTGAAACCTGGTGGGATAAGTCCCACGATTGGAATGTAATAATGGAGGGATACAATCTATTTCAGAGAAACAGACCAGACAAGAAAGGAGGAGGAGTGGCGTTATATGTCAGGGATGTGTATACCTGTGAAGAGATCCAAGATTTAGAACCTCAAAGCCAAAGTGAGAGCATTTGGGTCAAAATTAAGGGAGAGAAGAATAACAGTGACCTCATTGTGGGAGTTTACTATAGATCCCCAAGCCAAACGGAGGACATAGATGATGCCTTCCTGGAACAGATGGCCAAGCATGCAAAAGGAAGGGAGATAGTAGTAATGGGGGACTTCAATTACCCGGATATTTGTTGGATGTCAAACTCAGCCAAGAGCATAAGGTCAAACAGATTCCTCACTGGCCTTGCAGACAACTTCGTTGTCCAGAAAGTGGGAGAAGCAACAAGAGGAACAGCCATTTTAGATCTGGTCCTAACCAATGTTGATGACCTGGTTAGTGGGGTAGAAGTGGAAGGATCATTAGGCGCGAGTGATCATGCTCTTCTGAAGTTTACTATACAGCGGAAAGGAGCAGCCAAGCATACTAGGACTCAATTTCTTGACTTTAAGAAAGCCGACTTCATAAAACTTAGGGAAGTGCTGGGTGAGATCCCATGGACAGTAATACTAAAAGGAAAGGGAGTTCATGATGGCTGGGAGTTTGTTAAGAGGGAGATAGTAAAAGCACAACGTCAGGCAATACCAATGAGACGGAAACATGGAAGGTGCCTAAAGAAGCCAGGGTGGCTATCTAAAGAACTTTTAACTGAGTTAAGATTAAAAAGGATGTGTACAAAAATGGAGAAGGGGGAAACCACCAAAGAGGAATTCAAACAAATAGCCAGCACGTGTAGACACAAAGTCAGAAAAGCTAAAGCACAGAATGAACTCAGGCTTGCTAGAGAGGTTAAAAGCAACAAAAAGGCTTTTATGGGTATGTTCAGTAGCAAAAGGAAGAACAAAGAAACAGTGGGGTCACTCAGAGGAGAAGATGGTGAAATGCAAACAGGGGACACAGAAAGGGCTGAACTCCTCAATGCCTTCTTTGCCTCAGTCTTCTCCGATAAAGAAAACAATGCCCGACCTGAAGAATTTGAAGCAAAACACAGCCCAGAATAACTAAGGAGATAGTACAAGAATACTTGGCTAGTTTAGATGTATTCAAGTCTCCAGGGCCAGATGAACTGCATCCAAGAGTATTAAAAGAACTGGCAGATGTGATCTCAGAACCACTGGCAGTCATCTTTGAGAATTCCTGGAGAACAGGCGAAGTCCCGGCAGACTGGAGGAGGGCAAATGTTGTCCCTATTTTCAAAAAGGGGAAAAGAGAGGACCCAAATAATTACCGCCCAGTCAGTCTGACATCAATACCAGGGAAGATTCTGGAGCAGATCATTAAGCAAACAGTCTGTGAGCACCTAGAAAGGAATGCTGTGATCACCAATAGTCAGCATGGATTTCTGAAAAATAAGTCATGTCAGACTAACCTGATCTCGTTTTTGACAGAATTACAAGCCTGGTAGATGAAGGGAACGCAGTGGATGTAGCCTACCTTGATCTCAGCAAGGCATTTGACAAGGTGCCCCATGATATTCTTGTAAAGAAGCTGGTAAAATGCGGTCTTGACTATGCTACCACTCAGTGGATTTGTAACTGGCTGACTGACCGAACTCAAAGAGTGCTCATCAATGGTTCCTCTTCATCCTGGAGAAGAGTGACTAGTGGGGTGCCACAGGGTTCTGTCTTGGGCCCGGTCTTATTCAACATCTTTATCAATGACTTGGATGATGGACTCAAGGGCATCCTGATCAAATTTGCAGATGACACCATACTGGGAGGGGTGGCTAACACCCCAGAGGACAGGATCACACTTCAAAACAACCTTGACAGATTAGAGAACTGGGCCAAAACAAACAAGATGAATTTTAACAGGGAGAAATGTAAAGTATTGCACTTGGGCAAAAAAAATGAGAGGCACAAATACAAAATGGGTGACACCTGGCTTGAGAGCAGTACATGTGAAAAGGATCTAGGAGTCTTGGTTGACCACAAACTTGACATGAGCCAACAGTGTGACGCGGCAGCTCAAAAAGCCAATGCAATTCTGGGCTGCATCAATAGGAGTATAGCATCTAGATCAAGGGAAGTAATAGTGCCACTGTATTCTGCTCTGGTCAGACCTCACCTGGAGTACTGTGTCCAGTTCTGGGCACCACAGTTCAAGAAGGACACTGACAAACTGGAACGTGTCCAGAGGAGGGCAACCAAAATGGTCAAAGGCCTGGAAACGATGCCTTATGAGGAACGGCTAAGGGAGCTGGGCATGTTTAGCCTGGAGAAGAGGAGGTTAAGGGGTGATATGATAGCCATGTTCAAATATATAAAAGGATGTCACATAGAGGAGGGAGAAAGGTTGTTTTCTGCTGCTCCAGAGAAGCGGACACGGAGCAATGGATCCAAACTACAAGAAAGAAGATTCCACCTAAACATTAGGAAGAACTTCCTGACAGTAAGAGCTGTTCGACAGTGGAATTTGCTGCCAAGGAGTGTGGTGGAGTCTCCTTCTATGGAGGTCTTTAAGCAGAGGCTTGACAACCATATGTCAGGAGTGCTCTGATGGTGTTTCCTGCTTGGCAGGGGGTTGGACTCGATGGCCCTTGTGGTCTCTTCCAGCTCTCTGATTCTATGATTCTAAATGAGGTATAGAGAAAGAAAGAATGTGAACCTTATGCAAAAGCTCCAGAAAAAAAATAGTTTAGGGTCTCTGAGTCTTCATGCATGTACACGTGAAACGTGCTAACATCACAGTGCAGCAACAGAGCAGCACTGACGACATGCACACACAGACTGAGTGTGGACCTATGGAAAGTTGTCAGTTGAAAGCAACCTTAGGAATAAGTGCAGAAAAAAAGAAGCTGAAGGTGAGAGAGAGAGAGAAGCAGAACTGAACAATGACACAGAAGTGTGGAATAGCAGGCGATGGGCAATAGATAAGGATTATGCGTTCTGCTTTCAAACACATTCAGGTTAAGAGTATGGCATGACTGAGATGGCTAGGATGAAATTTCAGAGCTAGCTAGAGATACTGTATTGAGCAGAGGAGGTGGGGGAAATGTCAGGAGCAGAAAGTTAAGTCTGGGAGTCATCTGTATAAAAATTTGTGGTTGGAAATTATCTAATGTTTTTTTCTCAAGCGGCACTTAAATCTCTTTCTTTGTGTGCTTCCCCATGTTTGCAAAGTAGATGAAGATCTTGACAGTGACCAGAACAGTGGTGTTGTTTTTTCTTCAAACTATGTTGCTTGGATCCCTGGGGTTTCCTGGAAAGTAACAGGGGGTTCCTCAAGGAAAATATCAGTAATGGCAGATACATCTTCTTGAAAGGCAGCTTGCCCCCCACTGATTTTTCCTCTGCAATGTGCAGCTACAGAAGAATGCTGTACATGTTCTTGGCTGCATTTGTAGTTCTGGCAAGGGCGATGGCAAGACCCAACATGCCTTGCTAGCACCATGCATCAGATGAGTGTGCGCCCTAGAACACATACCCAAATTCTTTGCAGAGTGCATGAGATCCTTGAAAAACTCTAGAAACAGATCCCTCAAGGTTGAAAGACTGCAAAACTGCTCAGCTAAAACACTGATTTGCAAAGGGCGCTCTTTTCCTTTTTTAAAAAAACATCCATATTAACAAACAACACATTCTGCAGTAATAGGCATTCTTCACACCTTGCAACATTATTTTTCTAAATTATTTCCCCTTGCCCATATTCCATCTAATTTGAAGGTGGGAGGGACTTAAGGCTGTTCACCTACAAAGCTCCAAAAATACTGTCCACAATGACTTTGAGCCACATTTATTTGTTGGTTGGTGCTGCTGTGATCATTGCAATCTGCTGTCAAAGGCTGCCTCGTTTTGTAACTTCCCATAGGGCATTTGGAGAGAATGTGGCAGATAGCAGCCACGACACTGATGGCATCCAGGACTGTGGGGAGGAATGCAGAGACGATAGCACTGCTGGCACTGGAGAGAGAACCATCACTCTTTCCACAGCAAGTATCATCATGAGCTGCTCTTGTGTGATGCTGCTGGGAAAGAGCCATAGCTCAGTGGCAGAGCATCCTCATGATGCGCATAGTTAAACTATGGAACTTGCTTCCTCAAGAGGCTGTAATGGCCACCAACTTGGATGGCTTTCAAAGAGGATTAGACAATTTCATGGAGGATGAGCCTATCAAAGGCTACTAGCCCTGATGGCTATGCTCTCCCTCCACGCTTAGAGGCAGCAGTGCTTCTGAATACCAATTGTTGGAAGAGTGTACTTGTGCTCAAGTCCTGCTTGTGAGTTTCGCACAAGCACCTGGTTGGCCACTATGAGAACAGGGTGCTGGACTGGATGAGCCACTGGCCTGATTCAGCAGGCTCTTATGTGGAAGGATCCAGTTTCAATTCCCAGCATCTCCAGGCAGGCCTAGCAAGCATCCGGTTCTGAATCTCTAGAGAGCTACTGCCAGTCAGGCATTGACAATATTCAGCTAGACGTACCAACGGACTGAGCTAAACAGCTTCCCATGTAGCTATGTAAACCAAACCAAACAGTTATTCAAGTATCAGTAGCAGAGAACAGATGGGTATACATACAAGCACACCAGATATCATGCTTGTGGCATTTTAGAGTCCAATAGCTAAAGAGCTGTTGGCTAGGGAGCTGTGTACTTTGCAATACTGCATGAACACTATGCAAGTTACAGGATTTGGTACCGACCACAAAGTTCAGAATCTTAGCGTTGTAGGAATGCCTTTCCATTTTGAAGATATGTGGTCAATGCCTAGTGAAATCAAAGGATCTAGAGGGGATGCTTAATAAGATGCCTACTTGTCAGCACTGCTGATTGGATTTCAAAATCCTGCATAGCCTCCCTTCAGTTTCCTCACCGACCAGCAGCGGTGGAATTATGCAAAATATCACGAACCAACTCATTTTCCAAGTGGCGATTCTTATGTAGCCTAAACAGCACCACACATGCACAAGGAAGAATTACCAGGATGCCTGGATAATCTAGATTTATAGAGCTACAAATAAAATGTTAAGGGGAGCAAATCTAAAGGAGTCCAAAATACCCCAATGAGGACTGAACATGTTGATAGTTGAGAAGATGAAGAACATATATTTTTTACAAATCTAGAGAGGAAGGGAATGGAGTATCCTGAGAGAGCGCATGGTTAGCTGCCTTGAACCCCAAAAGGAGCAATCCACACGCTGCAATGTTTTGCTGCTGGTCCCACTTGTAAGAAAATACAATGCAGACTGGGTTAATTTGCATAGATAGAAGAATGCAGCTCAGTAGCGGCAAATAGTTAAGCTATGAAACTCATTCCTACAGGATGCAGTGATGGCCACCGAGTTGGTTGGCTTTAAAGGAGATTTAGACAAGTTCATGAAGGACAAGTCTATTAGCGGCTACTCGCCATGATGCCTATATTCCACCTCCACTGTCAGTAGCAGTTGGCCTCTGAACATCAGTTGCCAGAAACTGCAGGAGGGAAGAGAGCTGTTTTTGCTCATGTACTGCTTACAGACTTTCCACAGGCATCTGGTTGGCCACGGTGAGAACACGATGCTGGACTCGATTTGCCTTTGACTTGATCCAGCAGGGTTCTTCTTACTTTAAAAAGAGTTTGGCTCCCTCTAGCCAGGAGAACCTGTCCCCGTTCCTTCTCAAATCAAGCAGCTGACAGCAGAGATTATAAACAGGCAACCACTGTGTGGTCACAAGATTAGCGCTGACCCAGCATAGACTCTCAAGCAGGAGAGGCTAGTGAGGGACAGGTGGAGAAGAAAGACGGACAAGGAGACAGCTGGGGAGAGAAGAACGATTCTGGCCAGTCATTGCAGGAGCAAAATAAGACAGGATTGTCATATCCCATCTCTCCATTTAAAAAGGAAAGAAGCAAGAAGACTTCAAGGCCATCTTACAATATGAAAGAAGAAAATAAAGGTATTACAGCAAAGATCTGAAATACCATTTAAAAACCTTGGGCAAACAAGACAGGCTTGGCCTAGTGCCCAGAAGAAGTAACAACTACAGCGTCCAGGGACAGTGTTTCTTCCATAGCTAGGGATTTAAAGAGTTGCTCCTGAATAAACATTTCCAGCTTTGCATTGGGGCAGAGCATCCATCTGAAACTATCACCCTTTGTTTTTATTTTATTTTAAATTCTTACATATACAGTATATCTCACTTTTCTTCCATCATGGAATCCATAAGGACATAGGGTCAGGTCAAAGGTCAGTCTAGTAGCCCAGCATCCTGTTCTCACAGTAGCCAGCCTATGGGAAGCCTGAAAAATACACCTGAGTGCAACACAACACTGTTCTCCTCACTGAATTCCTAGTCCCCATAATTTACTGAAGGAATGATCCTGGAAGTATGTCTGGTGAAGTTTGGAGGAGCATTATAAATTTCCCTATTCCCAACCACCCCTCTCCAAATAAATTTCCTTTTATAGCTGAGCATTTGGCTTCTTCAGCTTAAACATGAAATTCTCACTAAAATTTCCCCCATGACTGCCCCTTGTGTTATAACACTATCCATTGTACTATAATGATATTTCACAACGTTTCATTAAGTTCAGTGTCCTGTGGACTCTGGCAAAGTAAAGTTCCTCTTGTTTATTTCCTCCCCAGAGGTGGACTGAAGGGATTGGGGCTCAGAAACTCCACAAGCAGCTAGTTAGACTAGGGAGTGGCAAGTGTTTCATTCTGTCTGGTGGTAGCCTAATTTTCTGGATGGGGAGCAGGGACATATAAAAATGGGGTCTGCTAGTAAATGTGTCACAACCCCTTTGGATTCTAGAATGGTATGGTTTTATTTTTATTTTCACTCGCAGCAGTTTGTCTGCATGATCCCTAAACTATAAACAGTTTGTCTGCATGATCCCTAAACTATAAGCAGAAAATATTTTCCACCCTTTTCTTTTGTCTAGTCATCCACCATTCACATTTTGCCCAGATTAAGTGACAAGTTGATTGGATTCAGCTTCTGATTTTGGCCACATTTCCTCAAGCACGGCACCTGGCACTTAAGAGAATGTAAAGTAGACATACAAAATTGTGCTGGGGCAGCTGCTAAAAATGGCAAAATTGTGATCGGCTGTCTCCTTTCTCCCCATAATGCATAGATTAGTTTTGCCTGCTCTTGCGCCATTTTCATAGACAGGCAGCAATGGTTCCATTGACCTTTGTGCAATTGCTACCCAGCGACAATGGCTAAGTATTTATGAAGGAAGTTAAGTTTCGCAGTATTTGGAGACTGGATGAGAGAACAGCGCAAGTCTAGAGCCAACCGTGTTATTTTTCAAGAACTCATATTTCAATGGAACAATATGCTCATAACAAAAGAGCTAGTATACATTTCTCTGAGCCACGGCAGAAGGAATCTGACATTGCTGGAGCTGTCAACAGAACAAAGCAGCAAAGCAGAGGCCCTGAATGCTCATAAAAAGGAAATATAGTTCTTTTGAGAGCAGTGACTCTCATGCCAATATATACCGTAACTCACAATCCAGTAATTCACCAACCAGCCATTCTGACAGACTCCCTCTGTTCTTTCCCTACCTGCTAGCCATGCCTATTGCCCATGTGAACTGTTGCCCTGTTCCAACCCAAGGTTTGGCAAGTTTCAGTAGACAATTTGGGTATCCCTGCTGACTAAATTTTAGATCTTCTGGAAAGAGTTTTTCTTTTAGAATTTCCAAAACTTACCGACTCCTCCTTGACTGGACAGTCAAGGAGGAGGAGGTAACAGTGGCAATGGTGAAGTGGTCCCAGGATTTTGGCCACTCAATAACCATAGCCCAATGGGAAAATTTATGGAAGATCAATTGGAAATTCACAAATTGTTACACGATTAGAGAGAACTTTCAAAAAATGCAACATCGATGGTATCTAACACCATGGAAGCTTTCAAAAATGTATAAAAATGTATCAAGTAATTGTTGGAGATGCGGAGACTCAGGAACATTCTACCATATGTGGTGGATATGTAGGAAAATACAGGTATTCTGGGAGAGTATACATGCAGAACTGCAAAAAAATGCTAAAGATCTCTTTCAATAAAAACCAGAGGCCTACCTCCTGGGAATAACAGATTTGGATATTCCACAAAAGAGGAAGGGTATCTTTTTATATGCGACGGCGGCAGCAAGAGTTTTGATCGCAACAAAATGGAAGAGTAATGAAATCCCCTCTATTCAAGATTGGATCCAAAAGCTGACAGAATATGCTGAATTAGATGGTTTATCAGAAAAAATAAAAAATAAATCAAAACAGGAATTTGTTTCTAAATGGGAGGTTTTTAAAGAATATCTGAAAAATAAATATAGTAGTTTAAATTCTGTTGCAGCATTCGAGGAACTTCAGTAATAGTTGCAAGGTAGATATAAGAAATTAGATTTAATGAGAATAAGTTTAATTATGAAAAAAAGTGTATTGGCAATAAGTAATATGAATTTGAAGTATGGAATAGACGGGAGGTTGGGTCTTTAGTGTTAAGACCAATAGATGTTTTATTGTTTGCTAAGAATATTAAGTGTCTATGGTTATTTTTGTAATTTGTGTGTAATTCAGTATTTGTGTTTTTTTGTTTGTTTGTTTTTCTTGTTGTATAAATAAAAAACTTTTTTAAAAAAATTTAGATCTTCTATCAGAATTTATTCTGTTGCTCTTGACACATTCTTCCTCAAGTTGTTGCCTCAAACAAACCCATGCCCAACATGATGGAAATCTATAAGTAGTGGCAGAGGACGTTAGTGGCCCACAATTATTAAAAGCATTCACGGAAATCTGATTTAACAATGAGAATAGCTCCACACGGCAAGATTCTTCTGTGTTAAATTCTTCTGCCACTTCAGGCAAAAATTACGATTTGGGCACTCTCCCGCTCTCCTCATGTTCATCCAAGAGCAAGAGAACTGCTGCATTCAACCTTCAAGGGGATGCTCAGCTGCGGCCCCCTCCTCTTCCTCTGCTCCATGCAAGTGAATGGAACAAGGAAGAAAGGGCTGCAATCCAGAGAATAGGGAGCTTCTAAGGAGGTCAAATACCCCTTCCCAGAGACCCTGCTCTTCCACGGGCCAACACTGCAAATGAGTTAATTGCAACAGGTTTCTTTGATTTCTCAGATTAAAAGATTAACTTCAGATTAATGTGGGGTGGGGAGTAAATGTGGGGTGGGGAGGTAGAGGAAACATAGGCTAACATCTTGATGGCAATATCTTTGTGCAGATGCAAATAAAGAAAAGGAAGCTTGCGCACCCATCCAGAAGCACCCATAGATATCCAGATGACAGTTTAGCCCGGACACTGAAGTCCAGTGCTAAGGGCCTTCTGGAGGTTCCTCACTGCAAGAAGTGAGGTTATAGGGAACCAGGCAGAGGACCTTCTCAGTAGTGGCGCCTGCCCTGTGGAACGCCCTCCCATCAGATATCAAGGAAATAAACAATTATCTGACTTTTAGAAGACATCTGAAGGCAGCCCTATTTAGGGAAGTTTTAAATGTCTGTTATTTTATTGTATTTTAAAGATTTTGTTGGAAGCCGCCCAGAGTGGTTGGGGAAACCCAGCCAGATGGGTGGGGTATAAATAATAAATTATTAATATTATTTAATTTACATTATTCTTTCAGTTGGGGACAAAAAAAGAGGAGGAGGAATAAGTATATGATCACAACCAAAAAACAGTTCAGAGGCTAATTTCCTGGAAAGTCTCTCCCATGCAAAAATTACTGCTTTCTAGTTTAGACTCTCCAATTCGTCCTTTGATAAGGCTGGAGTACCCCAGGTACGCTTTTGCTTTGGCACAAGTGAAAGAGATTGCAGTAATGTTTGTGCCTTGAGGCAACTACCTCCCCAGAGAAACTTGAATTTCTCTTTGGCATTCACTTGATTATTTCAAGGTTAATGCCAGGAGGATAGAATCAATCGAGGAGATAAATGTTTGATAATGTTGTAATTAGAATCCCGAGCCCAAAGAAGTGTTTGGGAAGGAAAGTTCGAAATAGGATGGGTTGGTGAGCAAAAGAGAGCCACAAACCATGTAGGAAGGAAACGGAGCATGCTCGGCCCTTGTAATTAAAAGGACTGCTGTTTCTTTTTGCTGCTCCCTTTGGTTAGGAAATAATAAATGTTGCCAGCAGCTGGCAGAGCTAGTCACTTACAAGGGCCTAGTTATATTTCCCAGAGATCCCTGGGAAGAGGGACTGACTATTAAACCACTCTGGCAATTGTAGCTCTGTGAGGGGAAGAAGGGTTTTCTAAGAACTCTCAGCATCCTTAAACTGCAGTTTGCATGATTCTTTGGAGGAAAGCCATGACAGATTGATGTGGTATAATACTGCTTTAAATGTATAGTGCAGATAAGGCCTAAACCAGGCAGCTGAGGCTCCCTGGAGTAAATAAGACCTGTGCCAGCAGTTTGTTTATTGTCAAATTTCTTTTTGCTTTGTACTTACGTATTTCATTTAAGATTGCTTCTTTTGCAACACTGAATTTATTGCATGTTTGCTAAATTGTTGGTTTTTGTCTTCTTTGAACTTACTGGCATGCCTTGTAAACTGCTTTCTCCCTCAACATCCATCTCCACCTTTAACCTGCAGAGTGCATATCCTTGCCCTCAAATATTGGCTATAATTTTTATAAGGGGCCAGGCCCCATTTTATTATTTTCTGCTTTCAAAATGTTGAGTGTTAACAATACAGCGATTCCACCTCGGCCCACGTAAGAGGAAAATGAGCAACTTTAGCAGGCTGGCACTGAGAGCCAAAACCGAAGCATGGAACACAGGAACACAGAAGTTCAAACAAAAGCACACACACACACACACACACACACACACACCACACAACCATCCATTCTATACTCACTGGAATTTTGTTTGGATGCTGTTCTCGGATCTGCTGTACTTCTTTACAACGATCCGCTGTAAAAGGGGAAAAATAGCAGATTTAGGAATTCGGAAGACTTTCCTGGCTATTTTTTTCAATAAAAAATTGGGGAGGGGGGGGACACCTTGCAAATGTTTGCAAGCAGGATTATACAACTCATACCAAACTGGGACAGTGGTCAGAATGTAGCAGTTACAGCAATAAATAAGAATATTTGCTATTTATATAGCAATCCCCCCCATCTATGGGAAGTCTTGTATATCACCTGACATCCACCCACACCCAAAGTCGGGTACCATGCAGATTAGCTAGCTAGATAACACAAAGGATGCTTCCAGACAAGTACTTATTATGGAATTGGTGCTGCTCATGCACACGTTGTTGTTTATTTGCCACATCCACATGAGGCCATTGGCATCAAAATGCCACCCTGAATCTTCCATCCCTGCCCCATTTAATCCCAATTTCCCCCTTTCCATGGAAAATCAGAAAACCTGCTGCCAATGACTGGCTTGCAACATTAAGTCCTTGTCTGGAAACACCAAAGTACAGAGCTGCTACAGCAATGAGATGGTAATTTACATTGACCTACATGTAACTAAGCTGGACATTATCCACATTGTGAAAGGCTTATGCCAGCTCATCAGGAAAGCATTCAGGAAGGAAGCCAAACTTCTGATGTAAAAGGATGCCTTAGCCTACGCAGATTACAGTGGTACCTCGGGTTAAGAACTTAATTCGTTCTGGAGGTCCGTTCTTAACCTGAAACTGTTCTTAACCTGAGGTACCACTTTAGCTAATGGTGCCTCCTGCTGCCGCCGCCGCCCAATTTCTGTTCTCATCCTGAAGCAAAGTTCTTAACCCGAGGTACTATTTCTGGGTTAGCGGAGTCTGTAACCTGAAGCGTCTGTAACCTGAGGTACCACTGTATTATTTACAGGATGTCTATGCTACTTCTCTGTCACTCAGCACCCTCAAAGCAGCTTACAAAACACACGCTCCATCTCCTTATAACTAGGACAATCAGGAAGACTACTTTATACATTTGCTTTTTAAGGCATATCCATGAAGTCTCAGTAATACATCTACAAACATGTGGATGGGACATGCATTTGAAAACAAGCAGATCATACACCTGCCCTCATCAAGAATAGTTGTAGCTCTCTGCTGAGTACACACTGCGGCAAATCCAGGTTTGTCCCTATAGAACACGTGAAACAGCCCACATAAATTAGTAGACACAAAAAATGCAGAATGAAACACTCTATGTCAGGCATCCCCAAACTTGGCCCTCCAGCTGTTTTGGGACTACAATTCCCATCATCCCTGGCCACTGGTCCTGTTACCTAGGGATGATGGGAGTTGTAGTCCCAAAACAGCTGGAGGGCCGAGTTTTGGGATGCTTGCTCTATGCACATTCATTAGGAGGGAAAGAAAAGTCTTCTTAGTTCCGTTCAGGCATGGTTTCCACATTGTTACAGAGATTTCACTGCTCATGTCTCCTGATGCCAGATATATTTCCGATACAGTGGTACCTCTGGTTACATACGCTTCAGGTTACAGACTCCACTAACCCAGAAATATTACCTCGAGTTAAGAACTTTGCTTCAGGATAAGAACAGAAATCGTGCTCCGACGACGCGGCGGCAGCAGGAGGCCTCATAAGCTAAAGTGGTGCTTCAGGTTAAGAACAGTTTCAGGTTAAGAACGGACCTCCAGAACGAATTAAGTAGTTAACCCGAGGTACCACTGTAAACTGAAGTGGTAGTGACTGGAGACAGAGGGGAAGACACAAGAGGAAATAAATTCCACTCCCACCCTGCCTCAAGCCCAACTGCTGCTTCATCCCAATAGAATAGGGGTGGAAAACCTGTGGCCCTACAGTTGCTGTTGGATGACAATGACCATCAGTCACAGTCATCATGTCCAAGAGATGATGGGAGTTGTAGTCCAGCATAACTTTTGGGGGGACCACAGGTTCCCCATCCTTGCCACAGAATCTCAGTGGACTGCAGATTAGAGAAAGGGTGGAAAGTTTGAGTACAAAAAAAAGAAAGGAGTACACTAGCCTGAAAGGGTACACATGAAATGTGTATTTCAGAGGGTTGAAAAAAAATATTATTTTTCACAATGAGCAATAGATATAGGACACAATATAAATTTTAACCTCTGGGGAAAACTCTGGAAAAAGTGACTTGAAGTTAACAACATGTTATTCTATGAAGGAGAACTACTTGAAAATGGTTCACAAATGGTATTTAACTCCAAGTTGGCTTGCTAAGATGTATAAGACTGAATCATATAAGTGCTGGAGATGCAAAGAGGTGGTGAAAATGTTCTTTCATATGTGGTGGACTTGTAAAAGGGTAAAAGAGTATTGGGAAATGATCCATAATGAATTGGGGGGAAATGTTTAAAAGTACTTTCCCAAAAAAACAGAGTCCTTTCTGTTGGGGATAATTCAGACTGAAATTCCCAGGTGTCAAAAAAGGTTATTTATGTATGCTACTACTGCGGCCCATATTTTCTTAGCCCCCAAATGGAAAATGAGTGAGGTCCCAACCAAAGAAGAATGGCGACTTAAGTAGATAGAATATGCACAACTTGCAAACTTAACATATAGAATAAGAGAACAAGAAGAATGAATGTTTAAAGAAGATTGAAGTTAATTGTGTACAGCTGAAAACGCTGACAACATTAAGATAAATTCAACAGTGTAAATAAGTTTTGATGGATGCAATAATGAAATACTGATTGGTATAGTTTTTGTAAAATATGCAGGGATTTATGATATGTAAAATGAACCATGGAAAAAGAAGGGAAGTCGCTGATACCTTAAGGATGTAAAATGAGTATTTTAAATTGTAAAACAGAAGATTCAATTAAAAATATATAAAATTAAGGCCAGTATTATTATTATTATTATCATGATCATCCCTGTATAACAGATGGGAGGCTGAGAACAGAGACAAGTCCAAGACCATCAGGTGATTTTATGATGACCCAAAATAACCCAAACTAGGGAGTTCCAGCACCCAACTGGTACCCTTAACTACCACAGTAGCTCACATACACCTATAGTTCTGCGCATTAGCTGCAACCCTCTTGCTCCTGGTGCATTTCCAATATCTAGGAGAAGTTGTCTCCTTCAGGCTTGGGACTTAGAATATAGTTAAGCCAGCCTTTTTCATGCAAACTCAGCATGACATGTTATTCTGTGGTGACACAAGAATTTAAATGAGATAGAACTGGAAGGGTCCGTCCAATGTATCTGTGAGAAATGAGCCAGCCCAAGTGTACAGCTCAGCACTACTGCACCATCAAAGATCATTCAAATTTAGTATAATCTATATGTCACCCATTTGTGCACTACAAATGCATATGCTGTCAGCTGCTCACAGTATGTCACGGGTGAACCAGACACACGCACACACACCAGTAATTTATATGCATGAATATTTTTCATATAAAAGCATTGAAGTGAGGATAGAAATAATAGAGCCAGTAAAGCCCAAAAGCACTTTTGGATCCACTGAGATTACAGGGATTGAAGAAATGTGCAAATATTTCTAGTTTCAACATACCAACCCCCCTCCCCAATAAGCAGACCATTTCTCTGCATTCACCCTCATGGTTCCATCACAGCTAATGGCTACCCAGCATCTGATACAAGTGAAGATGAGAGTTGACTGTTCTGTGTCAGATCCACTGTGGAAAAGTCAGCCAAGCTAAAATTGCCAACAAGCACCCAGATCACTGGGAGGAGGCGGAGGAAAGCAATCTGCAAGCCATTATCCTACAGATCAAGCAAGTTTAAACTGGAATGAGGAATAAAAGGGAGGAATTTAGTACAGAGAGGCATTAAATCTATTGCCATCTTCAGAACACATTTTTTTTATGTAGGAAGAAACTGAAAGGCAAAGGACTATGGAAAACTGATAAGAAGAAGAAGAATTTGGATTTGATATCCCGCTTTATCACTACCCGAAGGAGTCTCAAAGCGGCTAACATTCTCCTTTCCCTTCCTCCCCCACAACAAACACTCTGTGAGGTGAGTGGGGCTGAGAGACTTCAAAGAAGTGTGACCAGCCCAAGGTCACCCAGCAGCTGCATGTGGAGGAGTGGAGACATGAACCCGGTTCCCCAGATTACGAGACTACCGCTCTTAACCACTACACCACTAAGAGAAAGCACAATACATGAATAGCCTCATTCTCCCACCCAAGGGAGCTGCATCCAGGGCTGGCTCCAGATTTGAGGGGATCCTTGGTAGTTCAGTCCATTTCCTATACTGGTGGGTTTTCCTGGCTGTGGAAGCTGCAGGTGGCGATCTATGTTTCCCACAATGCCCTGGAGCCATCAAGGGTACTATGAGAAGTTGAGTATGGCTTGTATCCAATGCGGCACTAACTAAGAATCTCATCAGTGCAAGTATTCATGCTTGCACAGCAATATAGATACTCCCTCTTTACCAAAGTGTTAGAAGCCATAGTCTTCAAACATCCAGAGCATCAGAAAGGAAGTGATAGCCAGGACAGAAGGACTGGGAGAAAAGGAGTAGGAGTCCTTTCTTGAACATCTGAGACCAACATTCTACATCTCTGCTTGGAATGGACCAGGAGTCAACATGGATAACTAATACTGTATAGCCTCTCTCTTAAGGAACATTCCAAAGCTAAAATACCCCTCTCAGCTCCTTGGAGGAAGACTGGGATACAAGTGGTACCAATAGATGCTCTATCAAAAGACAGCTACTCTATTTATTGGTAGCAGCAGAAGGAAGTTTAGGTCAAATGAGAAGACGTGTGTGAGGCATGTATGGCCCTAGATTCAGTTATGTTGAACGCTTGCAATTAATTTCAGTGGAAAGAACAATCAAGAGGAGTGAGTGAATGTGGGTGGCAATCCTGGCTCCAGTGCATGATCAGCAGTGCTGATATGGCTGGATAAGCAGGGTCTCCTCCTCCCTCTTTGCTCCATGCACATCCCTACAGAAGCTGTGCACTTGGTGGACGAAAGTGACCTCCCCAGAGTGAAAAATGCTACACCAGCAACATTATGTTTATAAGCTGCACTGCCTCACAGTAACTTCTGCCTCAACTGGGAAGTGAGGGATGTTACACTTGACAAAACAAAACAGTAAAAATAAAATAAAAAAATACTTCCACTTACGGTACTTACAAAAGTAGCTGGAGGTGATTTTGTATTGGTAAACAGGAATCCGCCAGGTGTAAACGAAGCCTGCCACTAGTATAATATCCCATCAGTCACTGTTGAAAATGGGGTGCTGGACTTAATGTTGCACAAAGATAAATCCAAAAGAAAGAACAAGACTAAAATCAAATTATCACATGCAAACTATCTCAGGTAACCTCCAGCCCCAGCAAAGCTGACAGTAAGCAGAGAGGTCGGAGCTTTGTTTGCAAGGGGATTTCATTATTAGCAGCAAGGTAGATAAGAACACTAACACTGTGCAATATCTGTTATCATTCCACTTGCTGTCAAGCAGGAACAGCAAGTTCTTGGGGAAACAGGGCACAAGGTTGCCTCACTGCAATCAACAAACCAAGGCAATGTTATTGAGGGGGTCTTGCAAGTGTTTTCTAAACTCGCAAAGAATCTAATTAATCAACCATGTCCTCAAATGGGTAACCTTAATAAGGGGGCACACAAATCAGATCCTAGCCTTTTAGTTGGCTAGGTTTATTTATGTTTCTGCAGGCTCGTCACTTCTGTGGGTTTACAAGAGTAGGACCATCCAGATATTGTGGAACTTCAATTTCCTATATAACCAATGGTTATATAATCCAGCAACATATGGAGGGCCACAAACACTTGTTTGCAAGGTTACTGTAAGGATTACTCTCTAGCCACCAACCTCCCAGAAACCTATATAAGGAGGATTCTCCCCTAACTATCACAAACAATTTTTCCTTTCCCACTTGGCTCCCTTCCACAACATACCAGAAACAGGAAGTATTCTTTGTTGGTGTCCCTTGCTGTATTCTTGTCAGTGCAATCCAGTGCTATGCCTGAGCCTCTCCCTTTCCAACCCCATTTTGGATAGCAGGGAAGCAGGGAGCAGCTGCTGGTCTTTCCCCAACCAACTCTCACTTTTAGCAATGGCTCACTGCTAAATTATCACAGCAAGGCAGTGTCACAGAAATGAGAGGGTTGGTAAGCTGCATAGGGTCATTAGTTCTATGCTTGCTGCTGCTACAGAGTAAAATTCTACATCCCAATCTCCTTATGTGAATGAATAGAGGTCCAGCATGCCGCAATCAGAGAGCAATGATGAACCTAGAGAGCTACAAGAAAACCAAGTCACGCAAGATCAAAACACCCTCCTGGAGTGGTTGATGCATCCTGGAGGAAAAATGCTATCTGAACACCAAAAGAAAATGGTAAGCAAGACTTTGAGTGTGAAGCAAAACAGACCCTTCCACTAAGTGAAACCCAAGGAGCACTGCTTTGCTGCAGACAAAAGCACCAAGCACTGCTTGGCTAACCATCAGAATTTGTCCCTGTGCATCCAGTTTTGGTTTTCATATGCAGGCACATATGCACAAAAAAGGGGGACAGAAAAGTACTTCTAAACTGAAGCATCTTGTCGGCCCAAGAGGCAGAACTGGGACAAAATATTTGGAGACATAACACAAATGGAAAACACCAGGCCCAGCAACATCTATCCACCCTCCCACCCGCCAGCACCCAATCTAAAAGTCTTTTGTGGCTTGAAAACTGTCACCCAAACTTTCAACTGTAAGTTGGTCCACATAAATTCATTATTGCAACTTGCTAAGTTTGTAGAGCTCGGGAAGGGATTTGCGAATCATTGACGGCAAACACTGGCAAGAAATCTGCTCCTTGGGGCTATCATTTCATTTGCCCTGTGCTTTATCATTGGATAATTTCCAGAGGGGTATCCATGTAAGTCTGCTGCAACAAAAGACAAAGATGACTCTTGTGGCACAGTCAGGGTTAACACGTTTATTGTGGTAGCAGATGGCATACACACCTGATTAAGTAGACAGGGCTTAGTTCATGAAAGCTTATGCCATAATAAATTTGTTAGTCTTGATAGAGGTGCCGCAAGTCTGAGTTGTTATTGTTGGATAGTTACACCCACTACATGTTAATCTTTTAAATGGGTGCCAATGCACCAAGCCAAATTACCTCTGAGTTCGAGGACACCAAACATGCCAGTTCCATTGCCAGCCAGAACCTCCCCACTTCTGTTAATACATTACACGTCACATTGCAATCAAGCAAGTCAGGACATTTCATAAGTGGCTGGCGTTTTCTCAAAACAGGTCAGCCATAAGTTAGGCAGCTTCAGCTTCATTGTAGCCCCAGTAATGGTAGAGAGAGGTTTGGTCCCAATAAGGGGAAACGGATAAATATTAAAACACAAGCCTGACAGATGGATATTTTTGCACAGAGGCTGTTAATTACACACGCTACAAAGAGATTTATGTCACAATCCTGGAGAGTCATGTACTGTATTATAATTGTACCAGAAGCACAAACAAAAGCCAATCAGGCCTAGCTGATTAAGTACTTGCAGTTCTGTCCTATGCGCTTTCTGGGAAGGAGCCCTGATCAAGGACAGTTTAAAGACCTTGATTTCATGGTCACTGATGGAGGGACAACCAACCCTTGGTCACATGTTCAGGGGAGAAGAGAAGCTGGAGTGTCAACAGCACAGTCAAACTCAGAGTCTCTCTTTCTTTCCAAGATAAATAATAATGGAAATAGCAGGAGGCTGTTTATATCTGATGTTAACAGTTCCAGTGAGAACACAGTGACCTGTGAATAAACCCAAGATAATAAGGGGATGCGTCTAGGACATCTTAGAAGCACAAGTTCCCATCGATAATCTCCGAAACCTGATTGCTTAAGTCCTAAAGCCAAAAGATGAAGAAGAGAGAGAGAGTGGCAATGTACAAGAAAACAAAATCCACAAGGAGTCCTGTGCAGATATTCGATAGTGTAAACAACTGAACTTGTGAAGAGTGCCTAGGGAGACACCTGCTCATTAACGGTTCCTCATCATCCTGGGAAAATGATAAACAAAACTGGGGGAGTGGGGGTTGATTTTGAGGAAGGATAACTGTAATGAGTGTTTTCCTCACACTCTGTGACATCTGGTAGGGAGAAACCTCTTGGCTTTCCCACCATCCAACAGGCTGGTGGCCACTCCATAATGTTCTTTCAGGGGTGGCTGGCTAGAACCAGTTACCAAATTCAGTCGCAGATCTGGGAAAACTGGTCCTTTTACATGAGCCGCCAAGACCACTCTCTTTAGGCAAAGCTCTTAAAAGGAAGATGTTGCTTTAATGCCATCCCTCTGATTTAATTTGTATTAACAATGTTTTGTTGTGATGGCTGCTAATTTTTATGAAGGCATTTTATGGGATGGGGTTTGGGGCTAAATGACATCTCAGGGGTCCCAGTGAGAAGATTTTGGAAAAGATTCAGGATTAAAAGGTGCAGAGAGTATATAGGAAACCAGTTGGGCCATGTTTGGGCCTTTGCCTGGTCATGATGCAGGTTTAACAAAACTATTATTGGTCTGGAGGGATCTGGAAAGATGACACATCGGGATTCCCCTTCCCTCCTCAAAACTATGGAATGTGTTCATGCAGTTCTCTGCGAATGGAAAGGACAAGGCACACAGCTTGTACTTTGGAACACAGAATCAGAAAGCAAAACCAGAGGTCTGAGATTTTTTTGGGGGGAGGGGATCTGTGGGGAGTGCTAAGCTGTGATCCACCTGTACTCAGCTTGTTAAATAAACACAAATATTACAAAACACCTAAGACCTCATTCCTAGTGCTGTACCCCTGAAACCTCATAGCTTGGAGGACTGGGCTAAGCACACAACTATATTCTTCTTTGCTTGTTAACACATTTTGAGAACAATAAGTAGGGTATAATTTTTTTGCCAAGAAACAAATAAAGTAGCCGTTTTCTTGGATGTTAATGAAAGGCACTTGCGCTTTGAGTTCCTTACTGCTATAGGAAAGAGAAGACCAAGTAATTCTGGAAAAGCCACCAATGACATACAGTGGTACCTCTGGTTACGGACTTAATTCGTTCCGGAGGTCCACTCTTAACCTGAAACCTTTCTTAACCTGAGGTAACACTTTAGCTAATGGGGCCTCCTGCTGCCCCGCCGCACGATTTCTGTCTCATCCTGAGGCAAAGTTCTTAACCTGAGGTACTACTTCCGGGTTAGCGGAGTCTGTAACCCGAAGTGTTTGTAACCCAATTTGTTTGTAACCCAAGGTACCACTGTACTTCTCTTGCAGCTTGTGACTTGGGGTCACTTCCACACCATGTTTAGAGCATATGACTTCCCCCAAATAATAATAGGAACAATAATTTACCCCTTGCAGAACTACAATTCCCAGCATTCTTAACATACTACGTTTCCCAGGATTCTTTGGAAGAAGCTATGTGCTTTAAATATATGGCATGGATGCAATTCAAGAAATGGGGAGAGGGGTATCAACAGCTTATAGCCATGGCAATATGAAGCTTGGCGAGAGAATAAGCAAGCAATGTTCCAGTAACACCACTGAATGACCGTAACTCTAAAACTATCCAGTAAGCAGCTGAATCCTCTCTTACCACTACATGTTTATTTCCCTCCTTCTTTTCAGAGTGGAAATATTACAGGTAGATAGTTTAAGAGGGTGTATTACCTGCCCACTCCCAAAAGTCTTCAAACAAAACCTCTCTGCAGCATAAAATTATTATCAGTTGTTACTGCTGTTTTTAAAAAGTTCTCTTCTTGAAGATCAAGTGTCCCAATGTTAGAGAAGAATGAAGAGGATACTTATGCCTGATCAGAGCCTTTAGGTTGTCATTTTTCAAAATTAACCTCTCTTGCCCCAGTCGTAAAGTTTAACAGACACTTTTGAACGCGGCATTAAGAGGGAGGAGGTGTCTCGATCCGCTTTCATACATGCATGCAGTCTGTTTATGGGAGAACAACAGTTTTGTTGAATGAGGACCTTCTGATCGGGGCCGTAGCATTGTTAAAGCTCTTAAATGTATGGAAGAATAGGTCCTGCAAAGGAAGAATAAGCTTGGCTTTTGCAAAGGGAAGTTTGGCACGACTCACCCTATTAGAGTTATTCGAAGCATTATTAAGTATGGAGTTGGAACAGGGCCCATGGGCACATTCAGAAACCTAAGAAACAATTGTGGGCCCTCACCCACCGCACGCACCCCTCAATGCAAGGAAGTGTTTTAGCTTTCCCCAAACCTAAAGAGGGGAGGGAGCGATATTCCTGGACAGCACAGCCTACAGGGAACCCACCCTTGCTTACTGAAGTCTCCAAAAGAGCAACAGGTTTAGAAAAAAAGCCTTCTCTTGGAGCCAAAAGACTTCTTTTGAGCCTAACTGCAATTGCGGGGGGGGGGGGCTCTTTTTTGTGGGATGGGTGGGATTGCTGCTAGAAAGAAAGCATTAACCCTTCCCCAGTGGTGACTCCAAAATGTCCAACACACAGCAACTAGCCTTCTATTGGCTACAACAGATGGCTTTTTTCAACCCTAATTTCAGCAAAAGAAGGGGCAGGATGAAGGGTCCTCACAGTGGGGGGGGCAGCCAGGAATGCTTTGGTAGGTTAATTCCATGCACTGGGCTGTTGAACCCTGTCAAGAAAATGGTGCCATCACTTGCACCTTGGGGTAAAAACTGGTCTCTGGAAGAGACGTTACTTCCTAACAATTGGAATGATCTCAGCAAGTTGAGACACCTGTGTTATCCGGACATATTATGCTTTAAGGCCAGAGGGCATGCTATCTGGGAACTAGTTTCAGCTATGAGAAAACACATACACCGAAGTGCTAGAAGATTCTAGCTTTTAAGACTTGTGGTTGGCTCACGGGGTTCCCCTGAGTTTTTATACATTTGCATTTTCCTCTGGCTCCTGTTTTCTGTCACCTGTTACAGCCTTTAAGATCAATACTCAATGGGATGGAAAGAGTTAGGATCAGTTAACTTTTGTCATTATATTCTGGTTCGTAATTCCCAACCACTCTTTCCAATCAGATTCTGGAACTATAACTTTTATGGGCCTTTGATTAATCTCAAATGCTGCACTTTAATGCTGCTCTCTTTTCTTTTAGTTTTTAAAATGAAATCTACATCATTTAAATCTGGCGTTCTGTCTCTCTGGGGAACTGAATCCAGTTCCTAACTTCTTGTTTACTTGCTTTTATCATCATTTTAACCAGTCCTTCACCTTTAGGTTCCAGGGACAGTCACATTAAAACTCAATGTTAAAAACAGTTTAAAACAACATACTGAGTAAGTTGGCAGCCTGAGGCTCAGGAAGCAGAAAGCCCTGTTCATACTTGCTTCTCTGGAATCTTAGGGATAGCTGGTAAAGTATGGGCCCAGGCAGGTTGGACAAAAAGAGTGTTCTGGTGTATTATATAATAGTTGGACTTAATTATTGGATTCTCATTCCTATTTTCAATTCAAAGCATCTCACAGTATTAACAAAGTACACTAAATACATTTAGAATAGCTATAGCTCTGAATAGCAAAGAGTAGAAGATAAACAACTCAGAAGGGATTTTGCTGCCACACCCTGCTTTTGTTTTCCCCAACGTCATCTGGTTGGCCATTGTGTGAAATAAGGTGCTGGACTAGATGGACCCTGGGTCTGATCCAGTCAAGCTCCTCTTCAGGTAACCAGAGATTCTAGAAGACAGGTGAGCAAACAGTGACCTTCAGACCCCTTTCAGGTGGCCCTTAAAGCTAATATCAGGTGGGTAGCAAGGAAGGTGAAATTGAGAAAATGGGGTGGAAGAGTGAGGGAAAAGAAATAATGGAACAGGAATGAGATCCCATTCACCTTTGGTTTCACCACTACAATTGTAGATCTGCAATTGCTGATAGATCAATCACCTCTAAGGAAATGCAGGCCTAGACAGAAAAAAAGGTTGTCCACCCTGGCCAATAACTTTTACTGTATGTTAGGATCAAATGAGTTGCAGAAGAAATTGTTTTTAGCAAGAGAGACAGACAGAGAGACCTAGATTTCTGGCCAAATATTTTGTAGACGAGTGCCACTTTGGTATAAAGCAACAACCGCCCTCCTTTATCCAGCAACTCTGCTAGAACTTAAGTTTTGAAAGTGTTTCAGAGCACCACAAATTTCACTGAATGTTTTCTTTTAGAAAAATATTTACTTAACCTACAATGCTCGGCACAGCTGTGTGTGCAGAAGTCCTATTGCAACCAGATTGCATGCCAGTGGTTATGTGCCAGATCACAATCTTATACTGGAAGAAAGGAACTCAAGAGAAAGAAAAATATACAGTCAAGCTTCTACAAGGATTATGAGGATAAATTATTTTGGTCGTTAAAAATTATCGTTAAACCCACTGAAACTCTTATTCAAAAACGGGCTACAAACATTACTATTTAGAGGTCCCAGTTCAGAACTTTAACCTAGCTATGAATTCACTGGATGGTCTTAAGCAAGTCATGATCTAGCCACCTCGGCTTGTAATTCTATACCCATTTATCAGGGAGTAAGCCCCATTTGACTCAATGGAACTTAATTATGAGGAGAAACGTGTAAGACTGCACTGCCCAGTGTCCCATTTATTTATCTGCAAATTTATAATTTGCCCTTTCTTAAAATATAAAAAGGCTTACAACATGTAAAATAAAGTATTTTGTTTGGGAAATGCACTACATAAATAATAAACCTTGTTTAGTATTACTTTGATAAGTTCTGCACATACAGCATCATGGAACTGTGTATCCTGGGGAGGAATTGTTGTCAGAAATATACCGTATACAGCTATATGAAAGGCATCATTGTGCCATGGCCACACCTAAGCAATAAAGTTAGAATGCAGCAAGGCAGGAGTGGACAATTAAAGGAGGCAAGGCTAGGACTGGCATGATCAGCATTCCAACTCAGGCCTCATATTCCTGTAACAATAGCCCAATTTCAACTTGCAACATACAGCGGTGCCCCGCAAGACGAATGCCTCGCAAGACGAAAAACTCGCTAGACGAAAGGGTTTTGCGTTTTTTGAGCTGCTTCGCAAGACGAATTTCCCTATGAGCTTGCTTCGCAAGACGAAAACGTCTTGCAAGTTTGTTTCTTTTTATTTAAACCGTTACAGTAATACAGGGTGCATTGCTTGAAGAGGTGCAGTTGCGACTTGACTTCGAGGAGCAACTCATAGCACGCGGTGTGGTAGCCTTTTTTGAGGTTTTTGAAGACTTTGGTGATTTTTGAAGCTTTTCCAAAACTTCTTTTGCAGCCATTTGGTAAGTTAAACTTTTAAAACTTTTTGGGGGGTTTTTGGATTTTGGGTTGGGGTGTTTGGAATTCAAGGACTTGGTGTTGGGGAGGGGTTTGCAAGAATCTGGAAGCTTGTGTATGTTTTTTCTGCATTTTTATGATTTTTTGTGACCATTGGGCCACTCTACTGTTTTTTTTTAAAAAAAATTCTGGGTTTGAATTTCTGTGTGGTGGGTGGCTGGGGGAACAGTTGAGGAGGGGTTTGCAAGAATCTGGAAGCTTGTGTGGTTTTTTTCTGAATTTTTATGATTTTTATTGTTCCTTCAATTTTTGAATTTATTGTTCCTTCAATTTTTGAAATGCTCTTTACAGTATTTGTGACTTTAAAGAGCACTTAATAAACTCTTGTTGTACCAAATTTGGCTTTGTTTGGACTTTTTTGACCATAGGAACGCATTAATTGAATTTCAATGCATTCCTATGGGATTTCGTGCTTCGCAAGACGAAAAATTCGCTAGACGAAAAAACTCGCGGAACGAATTAATTTCGTCTTGCGAGGCACCACTGTATGGGTTGTATTTTAAGAATTGGCTCATGCCTTGAACTAGAATTGTTATTTATACATTATATGACAACATGCTTCTACTATAAACAGTGGTACCTTGGGTTACATACGCTTCAGGTTACATACGTTTCAGGTTACAGACTCCACTAACCCAGAAATATTACCTCGGGTTAAGAACTCTGCTTCAGGATGAGAACAGAAATTATGTAGCGGCGGCAGCAGCAGGAGGCCCCATTAGCTGAAGTGGTGCTTCAGGTTAAGAACAGCTTCAGATTAAGAACAGACCTCCGGAACGAATTAAGTACGTAACCAGAGGTACCACTGTATTTGGGAAAGTTCTTTGTTCGTCCACTGTGTATTTGGACCTCTTAAAAACGGCTGAACTAAAATTTGCAGGAATGCTCCTGGGATCAAAGAGCAGGTTTGCAGTGAACAAACAGGGGACAGTTGAAAAGAGTAGCATGGCCTGAATGTGAGTAAACCCATTTATACATACATACAGAACAATCTTGTATGTGTCTACTCATAAGTAAATCCCCATAAAATTCAATGACACAGTGTATACAGGTTTGCAGCCTTTCATTATAGTGCAATGAGAGATGGATATTTTAATTGGGGGAGGGGGGCTAAGCAATGGCTTCCTACTCCCAGCTACAAAAGTGTTTGAACTGAAAACAGATGCCTTTCTTAAAATAGTTGTGGGGCGAACACAGCAATGTGTTTTCATTTTAGATGTGATGCACCCAGAGTTTTAGTACAGTATTGTTTTTACATTTTTAACTTTTAATTAACTTTTGCCTTGAGACAGTGTTTTACAAGGAGATGAATAAATTAATTGATGGTGATGATGACATGTTTTACTGCTTGTTTCTGCCTCATCTACATGTAACTACTCATCCTTTTAAGTTTCCATCAAGTTTGGTTCAGCTTTTCCCCATCAGGTTGTCACTACAAGGGAACAACTCGGTCAACAACCTTGGAGACTCTTATCCCAGAAGGCAAAGACAAATAAATAGGATCAAGGCTTTTCAAAGCATGAAAACAAAGAAAACCTAGAACTACATCCAAAAATCAGCCATAAAAGAAAAGGGGGGAAAAAGGGGAGGAAATACATCTAAACAGGAGCACCTGAAGTTTTTCAAAAGGGAAAGACTCTGGCCCCTCACAGAGCTACAACTTCCAATAATTCCCAGGAAAAAGAAGAGTCATTGTTAAACTACTCTGGAAGTTTTAGCTTGGTGAGGGGACTGGGTGTCGCCTAACAACTCTCAACACCCTTAACAAACTACATTTCCCAGGATTCTTAGAGGGAAGCCATGGCTGCTTTAAATAGTACGGGTGGGGCCTATGAAAACAGTGTACAGGATACAAGGAGGTCTTGTAAAATTTCAGGAGATTCTCCCTAGGAACTCCTCCGAAAAGGGCAGCAGCTTCAAACACTTTGTAAACAGATGTTCTTGTGACGACTGTTTGCCTTGCAGGCCCAGCCCACGAATGTAAACTTTGCAAGGCCTGAAAGGGCAGAGAAGCCAGAAGAGCACTTGACCCTGAGGCATTTTCCTTAACACACTCTCTGCTGTGCTTCTTAATCCCATCCTGGAGGAGGTAGAGAAGGAAAACAGGACTACTTTTTTTTTTTTTTTACTTTCTCCATAGAAGCAACAACATCTTTGGCTCAATGCAGATGGCTGGCTGGCTGACAACATCCCCCCTCTACCCTTTCTTCCCAGAAAGTATTTAGCAAACCAGTCAGCTGAGAGAGCCAAAAGGGCATGTGGAAAATAAGCTGAAAGGAACACGTAACAAACAGTCAGTCGCAGCTGCCTTGCCTGACCTCGCCATTCCAGCCCCCTGTGCCTCCTAGGCTATTTTAATCCTGTTTGCTTTCAAATGGGATGGCTGGGATTGGGAGAGGGGGGTGGGAAGGAAGGAGAGAAGAGGGCATCTGGAAAGAAGCCAAGCTCGTTGCTCTCCTCCTACTTGGCCCACCCCCTGGCATCTAAAGCAGCTGTCCCCCCCCCCACAAGCTCACAGCAGGCGGTTGGGAGGAAGAAACCAAACTTCAGCCATTGCCCTTCGCCAGCCAGGACCTCAGCAGCTTTAGATAGGTGATGGCATATACACTGCAGCAGTCAAATACCTGGTAGTCAGAAAAGCCTCGTGATATTTTTGTTTTTGTTACTCCCTTCTCGACTGGGGCGGGTGGTTGGGCAAAGGGCGGGTGAGTAAGCGGTTTGTGAGGACAACAAGCAGCTCAAGAGGTATTCAAGTCTCCGGCATGTGGGAGAGTCAGCTACAGTGTTATGAAAAACACAGCAGTGCAACACGTGATGAAGTCATTTCCATAGTGGCTTTTAAGGCGCCAAGCGCTCTTTGTAATTTCTCTCATTTCTCTTCATTATAATTATGTGCCTTTGCAACTTTGGTCCAGGGTTAAACCCTCCACCTTTTCCTGACAGGGCTCCTGTACCTTTATGAGCTGCTGCAAGCAGAAATTTGAGGGGATAAAGCTTTCCTCAACAGGAACAGTGTGGTGCCTGCCCATTATAATCTGTTAAAAACACAAGAAACTGTTCAGGGGGAAAGGTTGCATCCCAGGACAAGTAGTGTCCCCACAGTCCCTACTTGCTTAAGGGCTCTTCAATTTGTTGCTAAGTTAATATTTTAGCCCGGGCCAAGCTGCTGCACAGGTTCAAAGCAGGAGTGTGACCTCAAATGTGCTTGCACAATACTTAAGAGTTGCTCACTGACAAGGCAGCGTTGTCACAGCATGACAACACTTGAAAACCATTCCATGAGCTATCTTATAAATTACTGGACAAGGGTTCCAAGAATAATTCAAACTTTCCACAGCTCTCACCAACATACCACATAACCCCAGAATGAGGTAGATTTCAAGCATCAAGCAAGAGACATTCTCTATGGCTTCCTTTGCTAACCTGTTTCGCCTTCCAGATGTTTCAGACTACAACTCCCATCAGCCCAACAAACGTGTAATGGCTAGCGCAGATGGGAGTTGCACTCCAATACATCTGAAGATAAACAGGATATCGAAAGCTGATCTGTGGTGCGGCCTGTTGGGTGAAATCTGAATTTGGTGCAAAATAATACACACACAACAAAAGAGAACAGTTTGGAGAAAACATTTGCTTCCAGAAGGGCATACAAAACCTTCAGGAATGCCAGTTCAGCAAGGCTTCAATGACAGAAGAAAGGAGCCTACACAAGACACATCTATCGGACCAAAACAGATGCGGCACAGAAAATCACATAACCATAAGAGTTAGAAGGTACCTCTAGAGGTCATCCAGTCCAACCCCTTGCTCAGGACAGAATTTGCAATGCAGAGTGCCATGTAGAAGAATCTGTGATCAGATTTCCCAATTAATTTAAAAAGAAATAGTAGAAGAACCCACATCTTTACAATGACATGCCCAATGTAATATTCATTCCAGCACCCCATTCTCAACTGCAAATATTTTGTCTGGGGGCTTGCCTTTAGCTATACAAAATTCCTGTTTGCCTCACTAGGGAAAATTACAGATACCCATGCTGTGGCTTCCCCCCACCTTCCAAAAAAGCCCAGGATTAAATAGCAGCTTTGAGGAGGGACAGTATGGCCAAGGACAGGTTTGTATTTTTACAGCCTCCACCAGAGTTGCTGCTCTGCACAAAACTGAAACACCACCCCAGCTGTTTTAAACAAAAAACAAAAACCCAAAACAAAATATTCAGGGAATCTGATCACAGATCTGCAATATCACATCTGTTTCAGTCTCTGGATAAACAGTACTCAGATGACAGAATACTAACGTACTTGCATTCCTGGGTGCTTTTTCTTTACTGAGTTTCTGGTTACATTGCATGAGGTGATTAGGAAACCTATCCAACCCCAGTCATCAGCTCCCTGGATGCCCTTAGTCAAGTCATTCCTCTCACCCTCAAATTCTCCACCAATCAAATAGGGGTGACAGAGAACTCACACACATAATGGATGTGGAGCTGAAAAAAATGGTAAAGTAGGCTTGTACAAGGTCAATTGCCTGGCTCTTTCTGATAAGAACTACTGTATCCCCAAAGGAATCAGACAGGGAAGTTTTTCTAAATTTAGGAAAATGGTTAACAAGCGAAGTACTGAGGTGGGAAAATAAAAAATGAGGTGCACAATAGAGATTTGTTATTGAACATCATCATCATCATTATTGTCATCAACTGTTTTTAAATAGGATTCTCCAATAATATTGTTCTCTTGGTGGCTCAAACATGAATGAAAGTTAAAGACAAGTATGATACAAGGGTCATTAAACACACAGTCTAAACATTACCAGCACAGATAGGAATAAAACCAGAGGACACCACCCATCCCCTGAAAAGTCTGGGAAACATGGTCTAGTTTCAGGGAACACAAGTGGGTAGAGAGATGTTGCACCCTGGTTCTATGTTTGGGCTACCCACATTCCTCTGGTTGGCCACTGTGAGAAGAGGACACTGGACTAGATGGACTATTGGCCTGATCCAGCGGGCTCTTTTTATGTTCTTCTGAAAATAAGAGGTCTTCACCTAGTGCCTGCACAACCTTAAAGAAGGCACCAGGCGAGTCTCTCTGAGAAGGGCATTGGGGTGCCACCAATGAGCAGGCCATCTTGCTTGTAGTCGCTTTCCTCACTGCACTGGGCACAGGGACTCAGGGCAGGGCTTACAAATAGGATCAAAGTTCAGGTATATATGTATGTGATATTTCAGATATCCTGGTTGCAAGCCATTAACGGGCTTGAAATATAAAACCAGCACTTCATGCTGGGTCCAGAGATGGACCAAAGGTCAGAGCAGTAGTTTATAAGATTGTGCACAATGTGAAACAAATAGACAGCTGCACAGAGTGGCCAGGACAACCTAGTCCATTGGGTGTTGTACAATTATTGTTATTGTTATTACAGATATCCCCCTTAACATCATTAGAATTCACACAACAACACTGAAAAGTGGTAGAGATTCAGGACAGATAAAAGGGAGTACTTCTTCACACAATGCAAATTTAACTTATGGAATTCCCTGCCGTTTTGAATGTCTTTTAAGGATTAGATACGTAAATTCATGTAAATTCATGGAGGATCCTCAGTGGCTGCTAATTATGACAGCTAATTGAAAACCTCCATGTACAAAAAAGGTTGTATCTCTCTCTGGATGCTTGAGACAAAGGGGAAGACTGTTTTCTTCAAGCTAGCCACTGCAGAAAATAAGATTCTGGACTAGATATAACTTTGCTCTGATCCAGCTGGACTCTTCCCATGTTATTTTGTGGGTGTGCACTAAAAAGGCATTCTGGATCGCCAAGAGAATAATGATTAACCACTGTTGCCATCAATAGTCTTTCCCAGCTCTCTCTCTCTCGCTATATATTACAAAACAGTTTAAGGGAACGCACTATTTTAGGAGTTGAATGGATACATAACAATATAACAATGCTTCTTCTAAAAAGAATAAATCTACATTTGAAAACAGTCATTCTTTCTAGCTAACAACACTCTCCAAGCTGGCATATGAAATAAGAGATCTTGTTTATATGACAAAAGTGTTTTTAACTAAGGTGTAATCCTTTAAAATAAAAGAAAATAATGCAGTAGTATTTCAGCAAACTTAACACAGCAATCCTAGATACATATAAGCCTAACTGAATGCCAAAATAGGGAGGGGGTGGATGACTAGAAAATACTTGATAATCTGATAAGCATCTATTCACTTGCAGACATAGCCATTAAGGGGACACAAGGGCCTTGACAGCTGCTTTGAGTCAAAAATGAATAATGGAAAATGAACAGGGTCAATATTTATGATAGGAGAAAACTATTGATGAGTCACTGGCATTGTCTTGGAGGAAACACAAACCTGTCTGGTAAACATTCTTAAAGAGTATCATTCTGAAGCAGCAGGACCTGCTTATGGTGAAAAACTCCAAAAGCATTCAACTGATCTTCACTCAGCAAGCTGTCATTTTAATGCCCAGGCTGCCATAGATGAAGAGCAGTGCTCTTGCACAACTGCAATTCATCACAATAGGGATGTGCTGGAGAACTTCCCTGTGGACTCACTTCAGTGCTCTGAACTAGTTTTTTAAGTTATGCATGTGTTCATAAAATATTTTGTTTTCCTACCACCCAGTGGCCAAATTGGAATGTACTGGAAGAGGCAAAGAAACAGAATGAAAATAGATGAATCACAGAGATTAGGGATGGGAATTTTGGGGAGAAATGAGATCCTGTGCATCACACTCATCCCCTGATGACTACAGATCCTGCTCATCCTTCCATGCTTCTGAATTGCTTTATCTTACACAATTCATGACTAGAAACTTTCCTTATTTTTTTAATGAACTATTATGCCCAAGAGAGGAATAAGTGTCCAGCGCTGTACTTATTTATCCTCTCTGAAAGACAGTGGCAGAATACAACAACTAACAACAAAGTCCAACTGTTGGAGAAGTATAAACATCAACAACATACAGATCTAAATCTAATCCTTAATTAAGGATTAATGACTGTCAGTCTGAAGACAATTTAACAAGTGAGAAGGTAGTTATTTGAACACAGATTCTGGAATGTATTTTACATTTTCTGAAAGTACTTTTAGGGCAGCAGATGTGTGAAAAACAGGAGCTTAATATTTCTCAGGAGCCCTTTAGCTGCCCTTGATCAGATCAGGATGCTGGTTTCACATGGAAGACCAACGAAATATACATTGCGCCTATTCCAAACCATGGCTCACTAAAGGCAGCTGCTCAGTTCTAACCATAGGGGAAGAAAGTCATAGACTTTTGTCCCTCCTTTCAGCTTCTACAGTGGGTTTTTGATGTTTGTGTGTGTATTCTTAGATATTTTCAGCAAAAGGGGGAAATAATATGGAGACCCTAGAAATCTACAGACACAGCAGATTACCCAAAGCCACACTCTCTGCTCCATTAATCAAAACAGAAGAATGACAAGTGGGAATACTGTGGGCATAACAAGCGCTTCGAATCTCGGGGGCGGGACCCCGCTGAATGCCTCGGATCCCATTGGAGGCAGCAAATATTTCCACCCGAGTGGGAGTGAAATGGCTCTCTTCCAGCGGAGCTCCTCTTTCAACCGCACATTTGGCTCTTTCGAGGGCTGGGGGTTTCTCTGGCACAGGGACTTCGCTTTCCAGCTCCGCGTTCCAAGCCCCCATCATTGCAGAGGCTGGACCACATCAACGTTCCCCCCCCACCCCGTTTTCTTATTTGTAGGCATTACATCACCGCTAGGGTTCGGCTGGGCTGCTGCAGCTGCTAATTACCTCGGGCTTCCTTCCTGCCTCCTTGCCCTGCCTGGCTCAGCAGCAGGAAACTTGAACGATCAAGCAAAACAAAGAGAGTCACCTGGCTGCCTACAGCTCCCAGAGTCGCCCAAAGCGCATTTATCTCCAGGTCTGGGTCGAACATACACCAAGACAAGGAGGGATTTTTTTTTTCCAAGGTGCGGAACCTGCAGCAATTTGGGCACCGAGTTTCAAGTTGCTTTTAGAAGGTGGGGGGGGGGGCAAGGAAGGTTTTAGAGGGGGGCAGGAGGAGCTGCCCCTGCCATTAGGAGGATTGCTCAGTTCTTTCACTCACCATGAAAAAGAGCCCCACAAAACGGGTGGGGAAAGTGGGAAGATGCCAGAAGCAAAGCAGTCTGTCCCAGTAAAGGGTGTTGAGTCACCCAGCACACCCCACCAAAGTTTCCTTAACGTGTGTGGGGGGGGAATCTTTATGAAAATGCCTTAGGTTTGGATGACCGAAGGGCACATTTTGGAGAGGAGGTGATCACCTGCGCTTGGGCTTTTAGGCACTTCTCATTCGCACACCCCAAACAGGTACGAGTTAAAAGTCTTGCCCTAGATTGAGAGACGCAGGTGAGCTGAAGAGAGCCGAAATCTAAATAATCTTGGGGAGGAGGCACCCCAAGGGGGTGTGAGTATGGCTCCCTCCAGCTCTTAGCCCACTGCGCCCTCTCCAACAGCATAAGGAACCCTGGAGGCGGAGAAAAGGGAAGCACCCTGGGTGGAAAAAACAAGAGCGAAGAAAACAAGGACATTAAGCTCCTCCGCTTAATTCCGCGGCAGCGTTAATGCAGAGCAGCAAAAAGGGCTCCTTTGACGGCCAGCCCCCCCAAAACATTTGCGCCCTCCAAACCTCCGCGCGCCCCTCCCCGCTTGTGCTCCCCGAAAGGTCAGGGTAGGAGGGACGGCGTCGATAAGCTCCCTCTCTCCCCACCAAAAAAAACCCCCGTTGTCCCAACCTGCTGGGCCTGGGAGCCGAGCGTTTTACCGACGTAGGAACTTACAGAAGCTCCGCCGCTGCTTGAAAGGCCGGTCCGAAGGCATCTCGGCCGGGGATGGAAGGGGTGTGAGCCAAGAGCGCCGCGACTCAGCAGGGACAGCGGGATCTTCCCCGGGCTCCAAAGACCCCGCGGCTGGAGAGGGACGCGGCCGAGCTCCCCACAGCCGCCTCTGGCTGCCGGAGGACGCCGCCTATTTAAGTCCTCGAAGGGCAGCAGGTGCCTCACGGGCGGCAAGAGCCAGCCGACTGTCGCTGCTGCTACTGCTGCTGCTGCTTCGTCGTCGCTGCCGCCGGCTGGGCAATCCTCCGCGCTTCCCGGAGCTGGCAAAGCAGCGGTGACTTCACCAGCAGCCTCCTTAAAGGGGAGGTGCGCGGCCCCGCCCCTTCTGCAGTGCGGCCTCCTTGCCAGGGACGCACCGCGGCCGGAGCCGGCAGCCCTCCGCGCTCTTTCCGCTCCAGACGCCCTGGCGAGGAGGCTGGGCTTCGCGGGGAAGGGAACAATGCAGGCGCGGGGAAGGGCGAGGAGCATGCACAGAGTGCTCCGTCCTCGGGCTCGTGTTTTTAGCTGGCGCAGGCCTCGCTACGGAGGGAGCCTCGCGTCTCTCTTTTAAACTAAGGTTCATCGAAGACTTAACCTCGGATTCCCCCTCCCCGCCAATCCTTCCTTTCAGGCTCTGATAAACCAGAGGAATAAATTGAAGCAGAAAGCCTCAAATCGCCTTCAGAGCAATCCATAAGGCCTTTCCCCTTCTCTTGATGATATAGCCATAGTGATGCCATGAACCCAGTAAAAAGCCACTGAACATGCACAGAGTGCCCTCCTCCTACTGCATGCAGAATAACCTAATTATGTGAACAGGAATTCTGGGTCAGAAGGAGCTTTGAGGTTGAGCAGGGTCTCATATGCTTATTTATATTTTTATGAGCAGGTACCCAAAGGTGGTGTTCTACCCTCACCCCACCATTTTATTCTCCCTACAACTCTCTGATGTAGGTTAGACGGTCCAGAGGGATCATGACTACTTGGCCAAGGTCACTCAAGCTTCATGGCTAAGAAATCCTTGTGGAATTTACAGCAGCACCAGCTCCCATTGCAGGATCTAAAAAACCTATAGGCCTCTCCACCTCTTTAACCGCAACTAGTCTCCTGCTTCTCTCTCTCTTTTAATTATAAGGGCCTGTTCTACTGCAGCAGGGGTTGGGACCTTAAGTCCCTAGCACCAAATCTATTTGGACCTCAGGAGTCTCCCCAGGCCACAACCTGCTTCACACCCTCTTTGAGTGGTTTTACCTGGTTGAAGTGCATCCTTGAACTCCGATAATGCCTGGCTATAGAAAAGAGCTGAGTGCACAAAGAAACCAGCATACTGTACAATTGTAAAATTTACATGCATTGCACCCAGTGGCCATCACTGCCTCCTGTGGAAGTGAGTTCCGTGGTTTATGTGCTGTGTGAAGAAGTACAGTGGTGCCTCGCAAGACGAAATTAATCCGTTCCGCGAGAGTCTTCGTCTAGCGGTTTTTTCGTCTTGCGAAGCAAGCCCATTGACGGATTAGCGCTATTAGCGCTATAGCGGCTATTAAAGGCTTAAAGGCTTAGGGGATTAGCTGCTAAAAGGCTATTAAAGGCTATTAAAGGCTTAGCAGATTAGATAAAGGGGGGGGAAAGCGAAAAAAAAATCTCAAGACTCGCAAGGTATTTTCGTCTTGCGAAGCAAGCCCATAGGGGAATTCGTCCTGCGAAGCAACTTCAGAACGGAAAACCCTTTCGTCTAGCGGTTTTTCCGTCTTGCGAGGCATTCGTCTTGCGGGGCACCACTGTACTTTCTTTTATCTGCCCTGATCTTCCAACATTCAGCTTCACAAGTTCTAGTATTATGTATTTAATATTATGAGAAAGGAAGGAAACTTTTTTTCTATCCGTTTTCTCCGTGTCATGCATAATTTTACAAACTTCTATCATGTATTCCTCGCCTTTTCTCTAAACTAAAAAGCCCCAAATGCAACCTTTCTGAGAGTCACTCCATCCACTTATTATTTTGGTTGCCCTTTTCTGAACCTTCTCCAACTCTCCCAATATCCTTTCTGAGGTGAGGCAACCAGAACCGTACACAATTTTCCAAATTCAGTCACTCAAAATGCTCAGGAATACCGTGACAGTGTGGGTGATTTCAAGATAAGTAAGACTTCCAATTTCTGTATTAAAAACTCAAGGCTACTGAAATCTTTAAAAATGAAACATCACAGTCCAGAATTCTTCCATTCTTTTAATCAGTTTCAGAAGAAACAGCATCTTCCAAATTTAAATAAATGTCAAAATAAAAAGGATGCAAAAGAAAAACTAATTTATGATTAGAAAGGTTTCAGACAACAGTCCTGTACAATTACATTTTCTGGAAAAAATCTTTGACACTTAAGTTAGCCTGATTTCCTTGCTTTTCTTCTTCATCTAGTTACATTTTAGTTATATGAAGATACTCCTTGAATCTACATTTAACAGTTAAAAACAGAATCTCTCTCAGACATTAATGTGGCACAAACAATTATTTACTAACAGCTTTTTGGACGTTAAATAAAAATACATTTAAGTATAAGGAACTGAAGGTCATTTTGAGAGGATTTCACTCCGTTGGATTCTGAACGACAATCAGGAAATAGTCCTTATCTGCAAGGAAATAAAAGAGGGATTTTTTAAATAAAAAGTATTTTATTGTTGGTGCTAATTTAATCACATGCATTCTAGGCTCAGTTACAGATAGAACACTGTAGGAGTGGAAGTCTCACTTCAAGACCAAGCCCATCACAACCAGCCAGCAGCACCTAGACCATCTTATATACAAAGCACAAGAAGAAGTAGAAGAAGTTCAAGAGTTGTTCAGAAGACTTTGGAGTAAAATATAAATAGGACCAAGTTGCAAGATTGTGAAGGATATGTAAAAACCCCATCAGTGATAAAGTTCTTCAATGTTATTTGAATCTGGATAGGAAACCCATCTAAAACTCTTTCACCACTATTTAGAACCCACACTTTTCTGTATTTCCTATATAGGAGTACAGATTAAAGAGTGTATCCCATATAAAAGTTTAGATTTAGAGATAATGAAATTCCACTTTGGCATCCGAATGTTCCAAGAAGAGCTTTCCCTGTTTATTTTACCTGGCGCAACCATGATTTCGTTTTTCTTGGAGCGAATCCGCAAGAACGTGAGGTCATTCTGGGGGTCAATATCTCGCACGGTCCCCCTTGCCTTCATTATTAAGTTGTGCATTAAGCCTGCATACTGCACTGTGGTGGGGTTATCCATGGTGCTTTTGATGGGAATGCCTGCAGGGTGCAAAATGATTCTGTTAGGCTACGTTAGGCTAAGACATGGTATGATATGAGAAACTTAAGGGCCTAACCAGCCCTGTCTGCAGAAGGCCTGTACAAGGACTTCCGCTTGTGCCTACCAAGTGAAGAAAGCTTACTTCTTTGCCACCACTGCACCCGCAAGTAGCCGTATGGCAAAGCTTTTCTGAGTGGCGAATGAGCTTTTGTCATCTGGCCAAGACAGTATTGCTCTGACACCCTCCTTTGCAATTCACTTTAGGGGGGGAAATCACTCGTATTCAAACAAAATTGGATGCCACAGTTACCCCAAGTCCAATGGAAGTGCCTAGAACACTGCATCTTCCATCTAAACTGAATCAGTTTAGATTATTGCAGCTTGAGGATGTGGTCAAGCTGTTTGAAGAAGTGCAGCTGATCACCTGCCCACTTGATGCTGCCCATATTGGTTTCTTAGAGCTAGCTACAGGGAGTTGACATGGTGGGTACAGGAAGCGACTGATGCTTCAGTGGAGAAAGGGTAAGTACCATCTGCCTTGAAGAAGGTGGTGGTGTGGTGTGTCACCTCCTTAAGAAGTCCTCCCCTTGGCCAAGAAGTGTTAAACAACTATCACCCAATGGCAGATATCCCCTTTTGGGACAAAGCTCTCAAGAAGGTGGCAGCGGTCCAGCTTCAGGCATGCTTGGAGGAAGCTGATTACTAGGAACCATTCCAGTCAGGCTTCAGGCCTGGTCATGGCACTGAAACTGCCTTGGTCGCCCCAGTTGCTGATGTTTGGTGGGAGAAAGAAGAGGGCAATGTAACCCTGCTCATTCTCCTCCATTTCTCGGCCACTTTCGATACTGTTGATCACAGTATCCTTCTGGAGTTTCTCAAGGTAGTAAGGGTTGGGGGAACCGTGCTTCAGAAATCTGACGACACACCTATTTACCCTGGCCTTTTGACACCTGAGATGTATATTTTCAGGACCCACCTTATTTTTTGGAGATTGTAAGTTGTTTTTAATGTTGTGTTTTCATTGTTGTAACCTGTAATCTTACAGTAAAGGGCAGGTAATTACAGCGAAGTTCTCCACCACTGTTAATAGGGCCTTGCAGATCACAAGTAACATTTTAGGAACAGGCACACAGGCAGACATTCAGCAGTATTACACCATCCCAATTTGTAGAGGAAGATGCAAAATTAATTGGCCACAAGCACTGCTAAATTCATTATCAAAGGTACAGCACATCCTTAAAGATATGTACTATGCCTTTTGATTTCACTGGGACTTACTCCCATATAAACATGCATAGGATTGTAGCCTTAGCATCACAGCAGACATTTCTAACATGCAAGTGGGTTTCTCTAACCCAAGTGTGTTATGTAGCCCATGGAAAACTCTGTCTGGCTCCTGGAATTCTCCCCAGACTGTACAACCTTTTCCCAAGCCACACCCCTCACTGGCTCCATTCCACACCTTGAATATTTCTGCCTGGCGAGAAGGTATCCCTGAGTTCTGATAATGCATCTTCCTTGCCTGGATGAAGGCTAAAGAAACCAATATACTGTGCAAAGGTGAAATCTACATTCATTGCTCCACCCACTTTTCCCTCTGGCCCCATTCATCACAGCATGTGACGGTTCACATATACTTAATAAAACAAAAACAAACTAATAACCCCCTCCCACACAAGAACATTTATTATTAAATTTATTGCACAATCAGGATAAATTTAGTATGTCAATAGAGCATCAGGGCCTAAAAGAGTGGCTTTCACCAACAACAACCGTAATTGCACAATACCTTCTGAATTAACAATAATGATTCCTTGGACCCCCTTTTGACTCTGAATTCGCTTAAGGGTTTCTTCTACCTCAGCCTGGAAGAAAAAGAAAATATGCAAGCGTATCTTGAAAGATGCAATTTGTTTTCCAATAATGCTGTGTAATAAGACATCTGGAAAGACTGGAGGGGTAAGAGGATTCGGAGAGGTACGTCTTGTGCTCCAAGCACAAAAGCACAGCTCTCTCCAGCACCACCATATCATCAAAGTCTGCTTAAGCTTTTCTTAAGGCCACAATTTTCCTCCCATCATCTGGCAATAAGTCCTGGGAAGCCAGAAACTGGTTCCGCTTATCTGTTTCAGTGGCTTTGCTTATCAGGCTCAGACGTTACACAAGGCAGTGCAATGATAGGGGTGAAATCCTGGCGCATATTGCACAGAAGTCTCCCCCTCTCATGTTACAACAAAGGCCTCTTCACACATCACTTCCTATATGGAAATCATTTTTATGCTGGAAAATATCTTGCAGAATGCAACCTGGGAAGCACAGTGCAAATATTTAAATGCTGCTATGGCAAGCCAAGAGGTGTCATTTAAAAGGTTTCATGGTTCAGCAGCAATGGCATGTAGATGATCCTAAGAGGTAGGTTAGGGTTAGAAACGGACTGGCTCAAGGTCACCCATCGAACTTCGTAACTAAGTGGGGAATTGAACTTTGGTTTCCCAGCATAGGTGTCAACTTTTCCCTTTTCTTGCGAGGAATCCTATTCAGAATAAGGGAAATTCCCTTTAAAAAAGGGAAACGTTGACAGCTATGTTTCCCAGGCCCTGGTCGTACAAACAAACATCCCCACATATATATTTAAATGCTCTTTTTTGTTTTGTTTAGGCATGTCGACCTAGATAAGGATTTTTATTACACATAAAAGTGCTGAATTTGCCCAAATTTTAATAAGTCTTCTGTCTTCTTGATTTTAAAGTTTGATTTTGCTTTTTTTAAATATGCATGCTTTATTGTTTTGTCTAAATTACTTAGAGAGTTATATTAATTATGTTAAACACACACACACACACACACACACACACATATATATGTATAAATATCTATATATACATATATATATATATACACACACACACACACCTGCAACTCAGGATAATGCAATGCATCTGATAATGTGGACTTATACTATAATAAATTAGTTAGGTCTTTCAGGTGCCATGATATACTTTTGTTATTTTGACAAAACTGTGTCAAAGGTACCCACCAGAGGTTTCTGCCTGCAGATCATTTTGCCTAGACAAGGCCAGACCTGTTATTAGGGAGACTACTTCATCTCTGCAGCCAGGAGGGCCATGACCACAACCACATGGAGAGGCACCAGTGATTAAGGAAACAAGTAAAGTGGCCTGGAGCAATCAAAATCCACAGCAGAAAATCCAAACTAGACAAGTCCTGACCATGATCAAGTAAAAAATGTTTAGTTCTACAGTATATGCAATCTGAATATGTGGTAACAGGCCCATTGCCCCATGCTCAACCATAAAATGAGGTTATATATTTTTCAAACTTCTGCAAACCTGGCAGGGAAGGGGGAGGGGGTTCCCTGCAGAGGCTGATGCTTCCCCTCTTCATTGTCAGTTTTGGCTACAATGCTAGCAGCATTCAGCTCATGAGTTTGCTATTATAGTGGAAGTGATAGGGGAACACAAGGTTCAATATCATATTTCAAATGTATGGTGTGCCCACACTTGAAATACCGCATTTACTCGAATCTAATGGTCACCTTTTTTGGCCAAATTATGTTGCAGAAATTAAGGTGTGCATTAGATTTGATGGCATATTTACATTTGCCAGCATTTTGTTTTTGTTTCAAAGTTCTGAACATTGAGGTGTGCATTAGATTTGATGGCACATTAGACTCGAGTAAATATGGTACATGAGGCCACCACCATGCTGGAACTGTAAAGGTTTTGACCAGTGGCTGCTTGGGAAGGACATGTTGACAGTCTTGGGTTCCATGATGGAGAAAAGGTGGACTATAAATGCAAATATGTATGCACCATGGAACCACCTATGCATTGCCTTCTATGTACATGGCCAACAGGCAATAGTAATGCAATACTGTGTATTTCTGTATTTGGTGTGCTTATTCTATATGATTTATGCTGTATTTATGATGCTCTATTATGTTCTGTCACATTACTGTCGTTTGTAAGCCGCTTTGGGATTCATCTGAATGAAAAGCGGCACAGAAAAATAATCAATCAATCAATTCAAGAACATATGACAAGCTCTACTGGATCAGGAACCAATGGCCTATCTAGTTCAGCATCCTATTCTCACAGTGGTCAATGAGATGTCTCAACAGGAAGCCTGCAAATAAACCTGAGAACTCAGCACTCTCCACACTTGTGATTCCCAGGAACACTGCCTCTGACAGTACAGGAAGAACATACTTGCTGCTACTAGTAGGCCATTGATGGGGTCTTTTAAGCAACCCACATGCATCATCTTATAAATAGTTTTGGGTGCCAACAACATGCCTTGGAGAGACCTTTTGACGGAAAAGAGAGCTAAAATGATTTTAATAAAATAATATATACATGCAAGCAGTCCCGAATCTAGACATTTCGCAGAATTCTATACAAAGTACACTGAAGGGCCAAATGTTGTGCAGGGGCAAAAGTCGTGGGTTTGGACACTAGGAGCCACAAACGCAGACCCCACTCTGCCAACAAATACAATGCAACAGAAAGCCACTCTGTCAACAGACCCTGCCCCATTGTGATGTTGGGGGGAAATGAGCTCCTGGGAGTACAAAATGTATCAAGCAGGAATGCATGCAGGTGAGAGCGTTGCGCATCATGAGCAGTGCGCCTGTTCTTATATGGGACCAGAAAGATGGTCACATCACGGAGATGGGGATGATGCTGTAAACAATGCAAGAGGCCCCGGAACCCGCGTGCCAAGAGGACGGCCATGGAAAGGCGATCAGAGAGAAGCTGAACAGCAAAAGAAAAGAGCTGGTGAATGCAATGGGCCCCTCAGCCACATCCTTCGATCCCGGACCCCGGGGCGCGCAGAAGCCGGCCGGGTGTGGCACATCACAAGGCGGCAGCGGAGTCTGCTCTTGACTTTTCCAAAGAGCTGCCCAGGAAGTCTCCACTGGTCACCCGAAACCCACCCAGGAAGTCTCCTCTTTTCTGCGACGGGGAGAATTCGGCAGAAGCAGACCGCCCACCGCCCTTCACTCACCATCTTGCAGAGAGGGAGGGAGATCAATGCCTTCCCTGGGAGGTACCCACAAGCTGGCACCCGAGCCCCGTCACAGTGAGCGCGCGCGCCTGCGCCCCAGTCTCACCCCGCAGGGCGAGCCGCGTCCTTAGCCAATCGGTAGAGAGGGAAGGCGGGTTCCTAAGTTTAGGGACCGGGTGTCATTTCCTGACCGCCCTCTTGTAGGAAAACATTCTGTGGGGGTGGGAGGGAAGTGGGGGTGTCGGCTATGAATCGTTGCTTTGGAAGGCTCTCCATAAACACAGAATGGGTGTTTGCAACTTCGCGTATGGAGGAGGAAAATGCGTAATGCTGGACGGCTCAGCAGCTCAAACAGAGGCATCGGTGGCATAAGCTGTTCCCTCAAGGGGGAGAAAACTGAGCGTGATTTCAGAGCTGAGACCCAGGTTCAAATTCCTACTCGTTTGAAGCCCACGGGATGGTGCTTGGGGACACTCGCTCTCCCTCTCGCCGTGGCTAAAATAGGAATTGGATGGGGAAAGAGTTTGCTACCTGGGTTCTTATGGGGGAGGGTGTAGAAGTATGTAGAAAGAAAGAAAGCAATAAGTAATTTAGTGTTTGAACATAAGATTGGCTTAAAAGAGAACAAGCATTATGGGACATTTTCAAAGCACGCTTAAAAAGGAGGTGGGATGGAGAGGGCGCTGGACAAATTTCGCCTGGGAGAGAGTCTTGATGCCACTGCCAAAGGGTGGGGTGGGGGCTGCTTTCGGTATTCAAAACCATCCAAGTTTTAACAAACGCAGTCCTTGGGAAAACGAGACCCCAAATCGTTTAAGTGATCTGTGAATTTTCAGCTGTCATTCGGCTGCTGGGATTGAAGGGACACACGACTTTAGGGAAGGGTGCGGGTTACCCAACCCTGGATTAGGGCTTGAGAAAGATCAATACCAACCCCTTAAATTTATCCAGGAAACACACTGGCACCAGTGATTTTCTTAATTGAGAAAAGGCTGATAAAAGGTCTACAAACCACCCACCCTCATTCTCTCACTCAAATTCCTGCTTAGCTACAGGCCACAGAGTTAAGGGCAAGGTTGGGTGGCAGGGAATGGTAACACCCCCATGTACATGTTCTGTACCTAGAAATCCCCACGAAGCTTACTGGTATCACCAGCAGCAGCAGCAGGGGAGCCGCAGCAGAGCAGGTAAACTTTTGCCATCTCTCCCTGATCTGCGTTTGCTGCTGCTCTCTCTGCAAGGAAGTGGACAGCCACTGGATCATGGACGACAGGTTCCCACCCCACTGATTTGCAATAGCTGGCCTGGACACCAGGCTTCTAGCTGGGGTGGGGAGATCAAATATAAAACCAAACAAATCACAGGGTTGACATAGCTGACTTCTGGGTTAGGGTGTGTTGGTATTTGAGGTTTTGTTTTGTTTCATCTGCTGGTTAGGGGTGGAAGTATGATTTTTGTTTCACTTTTAGTGCATTGCCAAAGTTTTCTATCACAATTATAGGGGGTTGTGTGGTTTTTAACATGCCATATGAGATGTCTGTTTAGTATCAATTCTCCCCTATGATATAATGTATTTATGTGTATATCTTCCCATGTAGGTCATTTGAAAGCCTTTTAAAAAGCAAGTGACTATAACGTTTAATAAATAACCACGCTTAGCCTCATTCTGTAAATGTGTTGTTTCGCATGAGGCCTTGCTTCCTCATTAACTCCTCTCAGTTTTAATAGCACAACATGCTATTTTAGTGCATGGATGGCTAACCTGTGGACTTCTAGAAATGCCTTTGCTCCAGCTCCCATCATCCCTGGCAGTGCTGGATGGGGCTGCTGGGAGTTTGAGCCCAACAAAATCTAAAAGGCCCCAGGATAGTCACCCCTGATTTAGCAGAGGGCACACAATTGCTGGCTTTTTGACACTACTGTATTCAAGTGCTTTTCTGCCATCTAGTGACGTGGCCAGGAAATACATGTCTATACCAGTAACAGAAAAATTCCTAACGAATGTCACTAAAATGCAGTTACCTGAGGACTAGGACTTGCAGTAATGTAGAAGTTTTGGATATGGGAAGTCCATCAATGTAAATGGGTTTCCTCAGTTATAATTGGATGCAACACTTTGACCCATTTGTGATCAACGACAGTGAGAGCATAGCATACGCAAAAGCTTTAGTCATCAAAACAGGAAGCTTATGATTGATGTGCGACAATATTTCCTGGTACTGGTTTGTTACTGACAGTGACATTACAATATCTCCACCTCACAATGGCAACCTAGGCTAAGACTAGTTCACTAAGGAGTCAACAGGATAGGAGAGAATTACAATTATGCAGACAGCTACAAGGTGTGTGTTCAAAGTCCATGAAGCACATACATGTCAGTGTGAAATAAAAGGGAAACTTTAACCTAGATGAAGCGTATGTGATGTGGAATTCGCCCCTTTGGTAAAAACATAAATAAAAACAAACCCAACATTTCGTATAACATACACAATTCCATTTAAGTGACGATTAGAGTGAATGTACGTTGCTCAGTGACTGTTGTTGCATTGTTTAATGCTTTTAAGAGAAACATTTCACACCATACAAGGAATGACAACCACCACCAACTTTTCAGTACTTTTATAAAAGTTTGACTTGGTGAGAGACTTTTACAGTTACCTGAGTATTTGAAATTACAGTTCAAGGAAAATTTAACAATGGGATTCCAGTACAGTATTTTACAATCCAGTGCCTCTGATCCCAGTTCATAAACTAGTTAGCTAGGGCACATATACATAACAATGATTCCAAGGCGGCGAAGGGGGGGGGACGTGACAGACCATCACAAAAGGAGCTGGAGATACCAATGCACTGAATGGAGCTTCAATTCAAACCCTGCTGTAGTGTGTATTTATGATGAATATGAATCAAGAGCGCTACACAATGAAAATGGCTGATCATGAAACCTTACACACTAAAAACTGGAAATGTAAATTCCATACAACCTATCCTGAGCTTTCCAGAAAGATAAGGCTTAGAAAAAATTAAGATCTGTAGGTTGAAGTACGTACTTTCATAAGGCAAAAATTCAAATAATTGATTAATGTTTCCAGTCAGATTGTGATGTTATCACACGCATGCAGCAGAATGTGGTTGTTATTGCTGTCCACATGCTGTCGAAGCTGTTTGAAGCAGACAAGTCTTAATATTTGCAGAAAGGACTTGTTGCAATCCAATTCATTTCAATCCGTCGCCCATCAAACCAAACTGTGCTTCCACAAGTCTCCCAGGTTCCCACAATGAGAAGAGTGCGCCGACTGCTCAAATTACTTTTTATTATTGCAACATTACATGGCATAAAAATAACAGAATTTAGAATTTACAATGCAAAGGGACTTTAAAAGTAAGTTTTCATTCTGATCTTAGAAATATTGCAAGCATAATGCTTAACAACAAATCTCTTTTAACAATACTTCATGGTCAAGATTCCATTTCTTAAATATCCTCAGTTTTGAGTGTTCAAAATACTTTCTTGTGCTTGGGATATCCAGCCCCCATTACCCATGTAATACAGCAGTAAAGACAAATAAACATGCCATTTAAATTAAAATAAATTGAAGAAGCTAGACCCCCAGACTGCAAAAATATATACAAGCTTTTACTTTTTCCTGAACTAAACATCTGAGCCATAAAAATATTAAACAGCCTTGCGCCCTATAGAACTAGGGCTTCAGCTATTTCAATTAGAACTACTCTTTATTTTAAAAATATAGGGCAGAAAGCCTTTTGAATGATATTTATACATTAACAATATTCCTAGGTCCCTAAACAAATCATGAGCCATTATGGAGAACAGACTATTTTCCATAGCTTACTCTTGGTTACTTCATTTCATTTCTGTATTGTAAATGTTAGTTAACTAAGATGTATTAAAATCAATAAACGAAATATTTCTAAGGCTTTTTCTCCTCCGTAAGCTATATTTCTAATACACCCATCAGGTGTTCTGATAGGTGGCATAGGTAGACATATCTCCAGCATTCACACATGCGTCCTCTACCCACAGAAGCAGTAGGCCATTTGTGTAAGGGGAAAACTTCTACACATATATATTAGAAGACACACTGAAAGGGAGGAAAAGGAGAGCATGTTCTATTACCCTCTTCTTGTAAGCTCCAGCCGAGGGGAAATGGGCTGTTTATATTACTTCACAGAAGAGTCCTAAAGTCGGACAGTTGTAAAAATGGTTGAGCCCACTAGCTTTCAATAGCCCTGAATTAAGTCTCCCCCCTCCTTGCCCCCACCCCTCCAAGTCTGGATGGGGAAGATGATATTTGTTACCAAGACAAAAATGTTTGATCTTCAACTGTCACGGCAAGCTTTCAAACTTTGCTGCCTGCGCACAGCAGAACAATGCAAGTATATAGTTATCAACATGCACTACTGCCGGTTCAAATATCATCACTTCTCCCATTTCACAGCTGCATGCACACCATGGAATTATAACAACCTGGAGGAAAGGATACAAGGCAGCCAAGCTGGGGTAAAGAACAAAGTGCTTTCGTTCCAAAACTGGGAGTGTAGTTTAAGTACTGTTGTAAGCTATGATGGAAGTTTTGAAATTGTGATAATATAAATAACTGAAGCGCAAATCAGATTTAAAATCAAGGGCAGCACAAGCTGCCTGTAAGAAGCCGCTCAGAGTGCTAGCCTAGAAGATGCACAGTCTCCATCCTCTAAAGGGTTACTGGGTGGGTTTTCCAATGTAAAATTTGGATTCTTTCAAGAATTCCACTATTGCACATCTATTTCCTACAATACAATTCAATGCATGTTGACTCAGAAGTAAGTTTCACTGTGCTCAGTGAGGTTCACTTCCAAGCAAATGTGCACAGGATTGCAGCCCCAGAGAAATTAAAGTGGCGGTTTCATGGCAATGATTCAGCCACTACTTGGAAGTGATATTCCCTCATTCAGAGGAAAACAAGAGTTGTTCATTTCAGGCATTCGCCTACAAAGAGGACTGGAAATGAATTCCAGCTGCTGCCTTTTAAAGAGACCTTGTATTCTCTTTTAAATTCGCTACTAAAGTTGTCAAGAATAAGTTAAAATTCCTATGAATCTGAAGAAGCACATTCAAATGTAGGGATAAACCTGAGGAATGTGATCATCATGGTTAAATAAATAAAAGTGCTATGCTCTGTAAGTGTGCATTAGCTTTTCAGGTCCTACTCTGCAGCTTGAACTGAGGTGATGCGGGAATAAAGTTTGGAAGGCAAACACAGTTAGATCTCACTTGGGTAAGAAACAGTTAACATAAGCAATGGATCTGTTTACAGCACCTCCAGAGTCTGATTGCAAGGAAGCACTGTTAGCAGTAGGATGGGTAGTGCAGCAGCAAAAAGATGCTACTATAACAGAGTAACTTTTTTTAAAAAGTCAAGAACACATTCCAGTTAATGAACATGACCCAGGACAGAACCCCAGAAGTACAGGAAGCCTCTGGTTAGGGAAGATTTCATTTATAGTTGTATTATTCTTGGATTTCGCAAAGGGACTCAGGAGAAATCAATAATTAGTGGGAATAAAATGGCAGGATAACATCCATTTACTTACACACTAGCAATTGTTTAAATAAATCAAGGTCAAGTCCTGTTTACAGTAAGAAGTGCAACTAGCAGAGGCAGTGAAGAACTCACACCATATATGACTTAACATTCTTCAGGTGCAAATTCTCCCCAATTGTTATTCTTGCCCGAATCCTTCTGTTTCTTCTATTGCAAACAACAGCTTTTCCTTCAGTTGTTCATAACTCTTGTATGGCGGCAAGTCCAGGCGGTTGAAACTGAAAATAAGCAGCAAACCTCACTTTCATTTGAATAATTAACCCACAAACACAGGAACAAAAGTTCCCCACTATTTACACCATTGACAGTTTAAAACGTGAGAGGCATAATTATCTGACATTATTCCTCAACTTTGGTTCACAGCAGCAACCTAGGTACAATACTGTGAACTTCCAGGTTTCTATCTTGCGTGCTAATCTGTTCCATTCTATTAGGAACATACTGTCCACAGGGTTGAATCCAGACGCTGCCCTCAATGAACAGAAGGGCTCCTTCTGCACATACAAAACTTTTAATCAAGGAATCCTACTGGCAGAAGATGGGTGCCTCTTCCAATTTCTCCTTCCCCCTGCAGCTGGCAGTGTCATTTCCCACTGCAAAGGGAAGTGAGCAATGTCTCCTCCCCCACTTATATCAGCTGAAGTGAAAGGTTCAATTTCAGAGTAAGTTTATGTTTATATCCCAAGACCTTAGAGAACACTGATTTTAAAAGGACTGTGAATGAATCTGTTTTTCAATACTGGTTGTTGTTTTTAAAAAAAACGTTTTCACAACTTTTCATTCCTGGGCAGGCAAGAATATCTATATCTAAAACAGAGTGAAGGAGAGCCTCATCAAGGACTGTCATGTAGAATGGTATAGCAATGCTCTCAACATGCTTGAAATGTTTATTTTGGCATCTGACAATATGGTAAATTAAGAAGCAGCAAAGAACATCTTAAATACCAAATTATGTTTTGTATGAAGGCACACCATTTGCTAAAGGCAACACATGATTTTGTGTGTCTAGTGTTGAGGCTACAGGACCCTAATGATTCCTTGTGAAACGGATTTAAGCAACCAATTACACAAACCAAATTACTCACATTTCTTGTGAATTTGATCTAAAAAATACAGTACACCTGTCATTTGAGATGAAATCAACATAGGTTGAGCAAAAGTAAAGATAGCTATACAGCAGACTTACTTTAAGTGCTCATTTTTAAACCAGAAACTTTGGCTCTCTGGGCTACCACACACATTTTGTGGAGTCAAACATGAGTTTGCTATCAAGTGTACAGTTAATAAGAAGCTCCAGTTGATTATATTTTTATGATGCATATTGACAATGTTGTATGTCACATTCATATGTGTGCCATGTATTAAGGTGTAATTTTATACATATTATGTGTATAACTAAAAAACGTGATGTGGTGCTACATCTCTTATTTAAATGCCAAATAGGATCATCAACTGTAGAAAGAAGTATCAGAATCACAAATCTCATCTAATATATTTTACTCACCAGGTATGGCTTCTAGGTAACCAGTTTTCTTTGCCAACTTTCTCAATACAAAACTTCTGAGGTCCATTACTCCCTAAAATAAAATAATAATAATAATACAGGATATGGGAAAATAAAAATTGCAATTTTTTTTTCATAACTAAATACACATTGAAAATAAAATCAGTTTAGGCCCAGACATTTGCATTTGATAAGAAGTAACCCTAAGACGAGTTCTCAACGTTTTAAGAACTCAGATGTATTTTATGGCAATAGAAGACACTGGTCATACTATTGAATTCCTGTCAGCAAAATCTTCCCAGTAAGTGGCATTGCCACTACAGCATGGTAAAATATTGTCATGCAAAGCTCTTACATGGGTCAGAAATGACCAGGGAGTCATAAAGTGCTTTATGCCCCACGGAGGACCTTAAGGTCCATAAATAGCAACACCATAGAGGTCCCGGGCCCTAAGGAAGTTAGATTAGCTTCAACCAGGGCCTTCTCAACACTGGCTCCAGCCTGGTGGAACGCTCTGTCTCATGAGACCAGGGCCCTGCGGGATCTGATTTCTTTCCACAGGGCCTGTAAGACAGAGTTGTTCCACCTGGCCTTTGGCTTAGAATCAGTTTGATTCCCTCCCCCTCTTTCTTTTTCCTTTCTCCTCCTGTGAAGAGGCTGCATCCTAATGTTTTAACGTATTTTAATATTGTTTTTTAAATTGTATTTTAATCAACTTATTTTTATTATTGGTTGTTAGCCGCCCTGAGCCCGGTCTTGGCTGGGGAGGGCGGGGTATAAATAAAATTTATTATTATTATTATTATTATTATTATTATTATTATGCCTCTAGATGAAATTATTGCAATGCTTTATACATTGGGCTGCTTTTGAAGACAATTTGGAAACCATAAGTAGGGCAGAATTTGGCAGCCAGATATATGCTTTGACCACTCAGGCCACCAATTCTGGCCTGAGTAGAAAGTCAATTTGCTCCCAAGCCTAATTGGAAGTGCTGGTTTTGACCCTATATGCCTTGGGACCACCATACTTCAAAGAACACCTTTTCCCAAAATTTTGAACTGGCAACTCAAGCCAACATTCTGACACACAGTGTCATCCTGGCTCTTGCACACTTAGGAATAATTTTGCATACCCATGAGGTCAGAAAATCCTCCAACTGGTAATCGGCATGTTCCAGTAACAAACTGTAGTAGTCTCATCCTCTTCTCATTATCTATGTCCTTCACAAACTGAAAAAGAACACATTTAAAATACCTGTACAGACCCCATCCCTATTCTAGGCTTAAAAACAAATAACATTTATATAATCCATTCTCATATCCTTGTGTTTTGAGGTTCTATTTTTTGGTAAAAGGGTAGTGGAAGGAACAAGGATAGAGGCATAGGGAAAACAAAGACAGCTTCCATGGGGAATAGTAGTGGAAAAGCCTTTCAAGGAAGCTTATTTCACTAGAGTGCCTGGATAAGCTTCTGAAGTATTAGTGTGAGATATCACTGGTGTTAGCTGTATTCCACTGAAGATTTTGTATGGTTTAAAGACTGTAAAATGTCCTAAGAGGTAACTAAAAAAATAAATTTAAAAAAGCCTTTCCTCCTCATCCATGATTTCTTTTTCCAAGCCTGGAGATGCCCACATTCTTCAGTGTTTGTTATCTCATTCCCAGGTAAAGAAAGGATTTGAAAAAAAGAAACATTTTTGCACAGTTCTGAACATATAGATCCATAGAATAGTTTGTACGCAACCACAAAGTAGCAGCCACATAAGATCACTTTAAAAAGACTGCCAAAGGACACTGTACCTTAGTTTTTGTCAGCCATTATATACTATCATTTTTAATTTTGTCACCTAAGTCTGGCTTAACTATTGCCATATTTTTCATACATAGAACTTGTAGTATACGTGCAAAATGTTCCAGCTTCAATCCCTGGCATCTCCAGATAGGACTGGAAAAAGACTGCTGTCCTAAACCTTGAAAAGCCACTGCCCATCAATGTACTCTACAATTAAGGTAATACTGAGCAAGATGGACCCTGTTCTGACTAAGTGTAAGGCAACTTCCTATGCTTAAAGTATTTTTACTATCCCTCACATAATTCCAGTAGGAAAGCTGCTACTTTTCCCATTTTTAGATGAGCAAGAAAGGCTGAACAATTGGGACATGCACAGGGTCAAGTAGCATCTATAGCTGGGTATAAACCAGAAACAGTTTTAAGGTGCTACAAAACTCCTGTTATTTATGCAGCAACAGTCTTAGCATGGCTCCCCCTCTGAAATCTGTTGGGATTCTGTAATCTTAAGTTTATAGGGCTAATACTTAGGTAACTATTGGAACAAGAACAGAAGAGATCCTAGATTCCCAGAAGTTCCATTAGTGGTACATTTGGCACAATTTTTGCTGCAATACAAACCTGCCAAAACCACATTATTTGCTTGCTTGTTCTGGTATAATGTCGGTAGATGGTATGCCTTTGCCAGTCAGTCAAGTCAATCTCTTGCATTCCACACAACAACACCTTTTTGAAGAGAAATAGTTGAACACCAGCTAGGTTAGTGAAACTCTGATGCCATGATACGTTGGTGTAAGAGATGATGTAAGAATCTCTTAGATACTCAAAGGGTTAATGAAGAGTTAGTATCTTTCTAGATATGGTGCATTTAGGAATTCATTTTCTAGCTCAGTTGTCCAAGTATTTAAACACAATTGTAGCACCCTTGTTTAGAAGAGTTTCATATGTACAGGGCGATGTGCCTCTGTGTTAAAACATGTTAAAATATACTTTGCCATGTTAAGGTGATTGTCTACCTTTGAATTAGGCTGTGTGATGCCCTCCAGGTGCTATGAAACTATCCTGACCAGAGTCAATGCTGGCTGGGTTGTAGTCCACAATGTCTGGCTACTCCAGGTTAACTAAACTGCAACATCTTTATTATAACTCTGCTATGACTCATGTCATAAAAGTGCACCGCATTTATAAGCCCCTCAAATATGCTAACCATTTCTCAACTAAGCCTTATGCCCAAAGGATTAGACATACCTCAAGCTCTTTTGCATCAAAGTACTGCAAGTACTGCTGTGGTAAGATCTCATTGAAACCTTCAAAGAAAGCTTGTGTCTGCTCTTCAACACCCCGGGAAAGTCTCCACTCTGCCACTAGCCTGGAGTATGAAAACACACAGTTACTCCAAACAGGCCCAACCAAGTCTGAAAATGTTGATTTTTGATGAGCAACAAAATTAATTAAATTGTAGTAGGTATTATAGTAAACAAGACATTGAATTTGCAGTGGAAGGTCCACCTCCATGGCAGAATTACAACACTGTGCCGTGCGACACAGGCAGAGGTTACTGCTTAAGACTATAGAACACCAATCATGATAGCTTCCTATGCATGAATATGCTCACGCTGTATTTCAGGCAAGACTAGCTTTGATGTAGCAATTTGACTATTTTACTGATAAGCCCACATCTATTTTACATGTGGGCCTTCATGAAGAGGTTTGATAATACTTCCAAAACATTAAAAAGGGAAAGTTTATATAATTAAAAAACAAATGGTTAAAAGATAAAATAAACTTGCAAACCAACTTTGAACTTACTTAATGTATTCCTCTTTGTTTTCCTCAGTAACCAGGATGTTGCTGCCATTGGGTTTTAAATCATGGCTCTTTATTTCACCTAGAATTTCCTTATCAACTGAGAAATACATCTCCAGGCCACATTCCTCAATATTGTTTTCCCTACAAAACAAATACCACATATATTAACTACAGAAACCTATTTTCATGAAGTGCAATCAGCAGTATCATTAAACAAGTTGATGTCACAAGCCGAAAATTCCTTTAGTTCATCAACAAATGGAGAGGGAGGCATATTCTACAATGAGATTTACAAAAATTTGTAAGGAGAAAAGGGTTTCTGAATTTTGGTGTTGAATGTTCATATATATTTTCTGTATACCAAAAAGTTTGGTATCTATGCTAGCTATCCAGTAATAATTTACAGTACCTCAGAATTGGCACACAATAATATTTAACAGGTACATACCGTATTTTTCGTACCATAGGACGCTCCGTCCCATAGGACGCACCTAGTTTTTTGGGGGGGAAATAAAGGAAAAATTTTTTTCCTTTATTCCCCCCCCCCCCCAAAACCAGGTCAGGGAACAGCGGGATGGCGGCGCTGCGCCTCCCCGCTGTCCCCCGAGCTTGTGGGGCTAGCCGATGTCTGCCCGGCGCGCGGGGTGCTCTGCTTCAGGGCGCTTTGCACGCCGGGCGGCAGGCTGCTATCCGCAGTGTGGGGAGCCCTGCGGGAACTCCCACAGGCTCCCCAGGCTTGCTGATAGCTTCCTGAAGCCTGGAGAGCGAGAGGGGTCGGTGCGCACCGACCCCTCTCGCTCTCCAAGCTTCAGCGAAAGCCTGTATTCACCCCATAGGACGCACACAGATTTCCCCTTCATTTTTGGAGGGGAAAAAGTGCGTCCTATAGGGCGAAAAATACGGTACTTTACATTTCATATCAAGTATTTTATAATTACTACTTCCCATTTTTTAAAAAACAAATGGTCAAAGCAGTTTACAATCCAAACAAAATATTACAAAAAGATTTAATGCCTGGCAAAATAAGGAATGTCAATATTCACTTCAGTTTTGAGGCAAATGTTCTTATTTTTAAAAATCACACTTGAACAGCAAAACTGACTTTTAAAACAAACTGCAAATATGTTTTTTAACACTAATCCATACATATCAAATCACAGCACTGATTTTCAAATGTGCATACATACCCACACACAAAGTCACACATTCTAACATCTACAATATTTCAAGAATTGAGAAGCTGACTTCAGAAACTCACTTTACCCAGATGAGTGAGTTGTAAAACTCAGGATCTACAGATTCTAAATCCTTTAGTCCTACTGGCTTGTTGAGGATACGTTTGTAGAATGGTAGAGAAAAACCAGTGTCTATAAATTTCACATGGAATAAAGCCTGCAAAAGATGGAAACTATTAATTATTTGTTTTATAGCAATCCTTGTCTAGTCAATCTCATAACCAGCAAACAGGTGCCTGCAGCCTAGATTTTGGAAGAAACAATGAATTAAAGGCCATCTTAAAGTCACTCAAAAACCAGTAACTATTTCCTTAGGTGGATGTGCTGCGTTGATGGTTACTGGTGACAAGAGAAAGGGGAAGCACAGAAAACGTGAGGTATAATCCCTCCCTGTGTGAAATAGGCTATAATTCCCCATGATACAGATTATGTGTGGGATTCACCTAATGAATCCCATCTGTGGAACCCCTGTGCAAGGATTTCCCCTTGCACAAGAGGGCTTTCCCCCCTCCACTCAGGCAGAATTTTCAGGTGGTGCTTTTACTGGAAAATTGCTATAAGATACTATATATTTTGGAGCTGTAGGTTAATATGGATGATATCCATAAAAGCCACACTCAACAGTATAGCCATTGAAATCAATGGATTCAAGTCATTATTTATTATACTCAGGCGGCCTATAACCCGTACTTCATTAAAACCAGCCCTAGAGTAGGGTGCAACTTAAAAATACACAACTCATAATAAAACAATTTGAAAAAAATCAAATAATAAACCAAATTTACAACACAGCACAAGCATGACCAGGCATGTTTTCACTGGCGCAAGCATTAAGGAAAAGAAACAGAATTAAGCACCTGGTATGTTTTAAAATACACTAGAGTGTAAGAGTGCAATGCACTGCACTGCAAACAACGTCGTAATCCCTCTTGTCAATAGTGGGTTTTTTCAGTCTAGGTTCCCCTGGCCCCACATGCGGACTTAAGAGTTTCTGCTACACATTAAGAATTTTCTTTTTTAAAAAATCCTCATTCTACCAGGAAACTTTCAACTTGTCCTTACTATGTTCCCAGAAACTCCCCTATTTATTATTTTGTGCTCTGAACTCACCATGGCAATAAATCTGCCAATAAAGTGGAAGTATTTCAGGTGGTCTGGATTGATGTAAGAAGCTGGATTTATCTGTAGGCAGTAGTTATCCTTTCCTGCATATTCAAACAGGCAATACATTGGGTTCAGCACTTCATGCGACAACAGAAAGAACCATTCCCTGAAACCACATAAAGAACTCACAGTCAACACCACAAGAACCAAGTATTAGGTTTAGACATTGTGTACAGATTCCATAGTGCTAATTTAACCTCCAAAGCTAACATAAAACTATTGGGGCAATCTATTATGTTCAGCCTGCCCACAGCTAGTTGGAATGAGCATGTCAAGTGCTTGGATAGGACACCAAAAGTAGTTCTCAGTTATAGAATTCCCGTGCTTCTAAAAAGACTAGGATTACTCAAGGTTCAGATGCAGATAATTAGCAATTTACTTCTGCTGGCTTCAGCTCCTACATGTGGTACTGTCTGAGGCTTATCATTTTTCTTTTGCATATGGAAACTCAGGGTTCTCTTTATAAACAGGCCAACACTATTCTTGAAATGCCCATGTACATCTCTTAAACAATGTCACAATATTGAGTGAAATTAATTATGTCCAAGATGCAGCCCTGTGACTTCTGATGTGGAATCAGATGTTCGGTTCATAAATACTGATGCTGACTTTACATTTTTTTAAGATGAAGAGTGTATTGACTGATATGCCGGGCTATTTGGCTTTAGAATAGACACTTACAATCAGTATAGCCCGAGTAGATAAAATCATTTTAAAGATAGTTATATGTATAATGAAGGACTGACCCAGCACTAAAGGTATGGTTATTTTGAGTGCCGCAAAAACACAAAACTAGGAATCAGTTTTAGTGGTTATCAAACTTTTTTTATTACATCAGCTAAAGAACCAAGTATTGTGAGTCTAGCCCAACTCAGCTGATACAAATCTTACCAGGACACATGAAGATGTAAGTCAGGGGTAGGGAACTGGATTCAACCCAAAGGCCAGAACATGTCCTCCCCACAAAGGCTACTTTGACAGCTGGGTGGTGCCAGCCACTTGTCAAAATCGGTGACAACTTCAAAGGGGCCTACTGTTGGCAGTGACCAGCTAATTGGTGCCAACAGCAAACCTTGCTTTGTCCATCTGTAGGCACTGATTGGACTCAAAGTGTTCCCGTAAAGAGACAATTTCCCTCTGCAAACGAGCGAAGTCTGCTGAAGGAAAATGCCCATTTGCAGGCATGTTTTGCCAAGGCACAATTGAGAGCACACTTCAAGCTCCTTATTGTTCCCTTGCAGCCATGTGATGTCATGCGTGGGATGAATAGGAATGGTTTCCAGTCAAATTAGGAAAGCTAATTAGGTCCACAGGCTGAAGCTTTCTCACCAATGATATTAATGTTATCCATGATACTAGAGCCCAAATTTGTTTACTGAAAAGTTGTGTATATAACACACACGCAGCTTTAAATCTGCAAGTTTCCCTTTTCTGGATACTGACAAGTTAAACCCCAAATTAGATAGAACTTTCCAAAGAAAAGGGTCATGGTTTTTAAAAATGGAAAGCCCTCAGAGTTGTCTAAAAAGCTTTCCTACCAAACAATTTCAAGTGCCTATGGTTCTATTTGTTTTACATAGTAAGACATCCCTACCGTGCAACACCTCCATAATCTAATCCTTCTTCTCCAGGGAAAATGACCCACAAACGTCTTCGTAGGTCCGCAGGGCTGAGACTCATTATCTTAGTGGAAGAAGTATTAGAAGATTAACATTCTAATAATTGTTCACACAGTCATGCACATTAAAATGGACACTGGTATATGGTGGTTTTGCTGTTTTACTCATTTATTCTGGATCAGCAGATCCCTGAAACATTTAATAGGCCATTTAGAGAGGAAGGTTGACACTGAACAGATTAGAGAGGGCTGAAATATAGTTCAGATCAAATACACATACTCCACACATTTTACAATGCTTTAAGTGCTGAAACACAGCTCAATTACCTGCTGAAATGAATCTTCAAACAATGTTTTTCTGCTCACTGTGATTTTAATGTGCTGGGGCAGGGCCAATTGCTAAAATGTAAGAAACAGATTTGAAAAACAAGCTAACAACATAATAGGACAATAGATGATAAAGTATATGAAAATACTGAATTCAAGAAACCCTGGTTGCACATATGTGAACTGGTTTGAATGTACAGTATAGTCTTTACACATATGGAAGTGTTCCAGATGCAGCTGTGTATGATTAAAAAAAAAGAATCCTAAGATATCCCTTCCACATGTGCACGTCAGCTATGAATCTGAATGCAGGCAGATCTAACACATAGGGCAGATCTACCATGAATGAATGGAATAGAATGATGTGCTTCCATCTGTGGCAGGTGTGGGGAACCTGTGGTCCTCTAAATGCTGCTTGACTACAATCCCCATCGTCCTTGACCATTGGCCATGCTGCCTGGGGCTGATGGGAGTGGTAGACCCACAATATCCAGAGGACCAAAGGTTCCCCTCCCCTGTTTTACAGAGATAGGTGCAACTGTGAATTATTTTCCCATGTGTGGTACTAGCTGCTTCCAGTGTATTGTTGCATACACATATCCTTGAAAAGGGGCCATTGACACCATGGCTAGATATTGCCAGTAAAATAAAGTTGTTGTATGTGGATGGTATTCCCATTGATGTTTATGAATAATTCCAAATATACACAGTGAAAATAGAAGCTCTGTAAACTTTATTTTGTAAAACAACTCCAATTTGAACTTATGTTGAGAGAAGCTTACTCCTTTGTGCATTCATCTAGTTTACTAATGCTTTCACCTGACAAAGTTTAATTATTTAATGACTGCCCTGTGGCCAAAAACCTCCAAGGATGTTTTTGAGTTTGCATGTAAGACAAACTCTAAGATAATGCTTTTATCTGATGGCAAATTATCACAGTTATTCTCATTAATATTCATTTGTTAATGTAGAGGACAGTGCAGTGGAAGATTCTGAGTATCCTCTCCCTCAACTCTTCTTTGGGGTGTCCAAAAGAGTTACTGCCACCACAAATTCACCAAGCCTCATGAAATCCCACAGGGCATGGGGGTTTGTGGAACTGGCAGCTCTTTTAGAAACATACATACAGTACTATGTAGCATAGATTATGACAACGGACTCACTAGAAACTTGCAGTAAAACTCTTTCCCCAAAATAAAACATAACTTACCTGACACCAAAACCGGAAGTATTGGACCTTTGCTTTGAAATCACGAACGTAGGCTATCTGGGGTCCATTATCTCTGGAAACAGAAGTAAAAAAATCACTTGAATTGTCATCCATTTCAGTTCCTTGCCTAGTTAACTGATTCACAAAGGGAAGGTTCATTTTGTGGAAGCATATAGCTACAATATAGCTAGGTAAATTATTCCTTAGGAACAAAATCATTTCCCTTCTTCCCTTTACTTAGTGGCATGCTACTAGTACACCAAGGAGTTGTAATTTTCCATGGGCCTCTATAGGCTTTCCTCCTAGCATGGTAGCAGCCAATTAGGGAAGGATGCAAGAGATTGATCCTATTTCCCCCTCTTCTCTTACCTCAACCTGACTGCTACTGCCTCTCCTACTTTCACCATTCCATTAACTAGGTGTGATTAAAAGGGAAGGGTGGAAGGGGATAGAGGGAGCTAGATGAGTGAAGAGTAAACTGGGAATTCTCTGATTTGAAATTTAATATTTGGGGTCTTTGAAACAAAACTGATAAAACGCTGAAGCGCAGGTTAAATAAGTAATAAAGGAAAAATTGATGTATATTATTTTATAAATAATGTAAGTATTTAACATTTAATAGCACATAAAAAAAACCTTAGGCGAGTTGTTGAACATCCTCTGCTAGCATTTTAAGAACAGGATCATTTGTTTTCACCACCAAAGGTAACCAAGTTTAATCGTACGGCTATTCAGCAGTGCGTATAACAGATGCCAATAGTAGAAAGGAAGTAGAAGTAATACAACATTGTAGTAAGAAAGCTTACAGAGCCGATTTCCCAGTACGAGGATCGATATAGGTAGTTGTTCTTCTATTGTGATCCACAAAATATGGAATTCCATCTACAGTGAATCTCATCTCCCAGCCCTCTGGCAAAGGTTTCTCATTTAATTGACTGCAGAAACAGATACACACAACACATAAATCTCATTATACATATTTTTCACACATAGTAAAAGGTACTGTTCCATTTTTATTCCAGGTATTTCATTTAGCTTTATTAGACCCAACATAGTAAATCGAACTCTTAGTTATACTGAGCTCTAAGGAATGAACAGCTAACACCACAAATCCAAAATGGAAAACAGTTTGTCAAGAAGTTAAATGCCTACCCCCATCTCAAAAGGGAGCATGTGTTATTACAATTAATCACATGGAATCAGAATAGGGAAGAAAAATAAACATTACACCAGACAGCCTAGTAAGAGAAGACTCAGAAATACTTTATATCCTGCTCACAGAATGTAGGTTGATGTGTGGGTTACACCCTGTTTGCTTGTTACCTAGGACTCAGCTATACTCGTCAATTATATAGTTATAACCGCTTTATAAACACCAGATGGCGGAATAGAGTTTGATCTTTCACCATGTGATTTTCTATTATGAGCTTTATAACACGTTTTCTTGTAACTTTTTTTTAATGTGTCTAGCTCCTGCCTTAGTTATCTGTTGGTCACAAAAGAACTCAGGGAGCTTTATGGGAGTGTATCCATTCCCCCTCTCTGCTAATGTTATCTAAATGTCGTCTTCTTTTTTGGCAATCACTCGTAGCCGAGTAAGATTGTCTTCCATAAACACAGTTTTAACAATGAGTCCGTAAGTGACTGTGGAGGCCAATTCTGGATCCACATGTCCTTTCATAGTGGGGACATTGGTTTCTGGGCAGGAGTTGATCATGGTGTGGATTTGCCAAGCGTGCCTTTCTCTTAGCATGTTTCTCACTTGCGTCCTGAGTTCGAGTGTCTTCAAAGCCCATGACACCTTTGGTAAAGGCTGTTCTCCAACTGGAGCGTACTTTTTTTTTAGATTTTGGCTTGAGACAGTCTTTAAACCTCTTTGGTTGACCACCAGCATTACGCTTTACATTTTTAAGTTTGGAATAGAGTAGTTGCTTTGGAAGACGATCATCAGGCATCCACACAACATGACCAGTCCAACGAAGTTGATGTTGACATTATTACATGTAAGAGGTGTATAAACAGGTCATTTTCCAGTGTATTCAGAGTGTTTAAGTGTTTGGGGAGAAATCCTCACAGGATTACAGAAGTGCAGGGCTGGGATACACCTGAAGATTATTTAGCAGAATGCCTGTTTTTAAGGCCTCAAATATGTATTACTTTCTAATCCTTCTCGGAGATATTCTAGAGGGTATCTACTATGCCTTTAAAATATTAAGCTATTTTTCCATTCCTCCTTTTTTGAAGAATTCTAGCAAGATATGAAATAAGGAACAAGAGTAGAATGCTTATTGAAAACAAGTCTCTGCAAGACTCTGGCTGAGATCCAAGAAGGCAAAGTTCTTCCATGTGTGCAAGGCAGATTTCTGACTTTCTATTGCAGCAATGAGCACCTGTGCCTTTGGGAATGCAGCTTCAGAGGGTTCTTTGTGCAGCAGAAAGGGGATGCTAAGAACACCTGCATCCAGGCAGATGACGACACATGACCTTTGAGATCTCCGCCTTTGATCATGTTATTAGGTTAGCCAATAAAAGAATGGCAAAATGAGTCAAAAGTTGTATAATATGCTGAGTCGCCAGCATGTAATTTGTAACACTGCACTAGATGCAATACATTCTTTTTCCCACCAACTCACTAAGACTGGATATGAAATAAACAACAGGATATGATATGAAAGAAAATAAATAATATTGAGTACAAGAAATGTTTTTATTGTGTGTTGGATGCAAATATGAGGATTTCCTTTTTGGTTCTTCTAGTAATAATTTTCTTATGTTTTGTTTCAACAAGAAATATTCCTCTTAAGAAACCACGTCCTCATATTTGCTACTTTATGTTCTCAATACACATTTTAAAAAAATCAATCTCCTTTATTGGCGTAGAAAAAGTGCAGCGTATACATGGATCAGAACACAACACAGTTAATGGAGCATAGTAGGAAATACTTTAGGATAAAACTGTCCAAACATTATGAGTTATGAAAATGGCTTTTAGGACCTAAAAGGTAAAAGGACCCCTGACCATTAGGTCCAGTCGTGACCGACTCTGGGGTTGCAGCCTACTGTGACATAATTTCATGGAATACACTTTTGATAAGCAACATGCTTTAGTAGTCTAAAATCTAGCCTTATTTCAGTTTAGATCCATTTCAACCTAGCTTCGAGACTGGTTTGGGCACTGAAACAGCCCCGGCAGCTCTGACTGATAACCTGTATGGAGAAAGAAACATGGGGAGTGCATAGTTCTCCTGGAGTGGTTCTGTGAGTTGGAGGCACTGCTCCTATCTGCGGGACCACCACCAGAGTAGGAGCAAGGGCAGACTGCTGCTTTTGGCATTTGTGCTGTGGGGTCCTATGGGGTTCCATTCTGTACCCCACACTTTTTAACATCTATGTAAAGCTGCTAGGAAGTGTCATCTGGAGATTTGGAGAACAGCATACCTAGTATGCAGATAATATCCAGCTCTTGCTCTCTCCATACCACTTTACTAGTGTCTGGAGGTGATAATGGGCTGATTCAATCCCAACTTAGATTGAATCTGGACACGATGCAGGTGCTGATAGTTCTTATATTCAGGAATTGAAGCAACCTGTGTTAGTTGGGACTACACTCCTCCTGAAGGACAAGGTGTGTAGCCTGGGGGTGCCCCTGGAACCAACACTTTCAACTGGAAGCTCAGGTGGCTCCAGGGGTAAGAAGTGCCTATTTCCAGCTAGGGCTGGTTCACCAACTATAGTCCTTCCTGAACCAAGATACCACAGCATGGACCACTATGGCTAGGTTAACCTCCCATTTAGCACTACTGCAATGAGTTCTAAATGAGGCTGTCCTTGAAGATGGTTTAGAAGCTGGAGCTACTGACAATGCATCCATCAGCTGAGTGGCACTGCAAAGTGGGACCATATCTCAACAAATCTTTAGAACTGCACTGGCTGCCTGTTCGCTGATGGGCCCAACTTAAGGTTTTGATTCTGGTATATCAAACCCTATATAGCCTGGGCCCCAAGTACTTGATGAAGAACTTCTGCCAATATATCTCACTCTTAGACTTAAAATCTGCAGAGCAGGTCCTATTCATGATCCCACCTATGCCTGTGGTACATTATGCAGGGACCTGGGATATGGCCTTCTCTGCTATGGCACCTTCATTTTGGAACACCCTCCCATTAGTAATACATTTGTCCCCCTCAAAAACAGCTTGTTGTAGTCAGATAAAAACAGTTTTGTCCATCAGGTTCTTTGGGGGAGATTAGCAATCATGATGAACAAAATCATTCTTTGCTCATCAGAATATATACCGTATTTTTCGCTCTATTGGACGCAGTTTTTCCCCTCCCAAAATTGAGGGGAAATGTGTGTGCGTCCTATGGAGCGAATGCAGGCTTGTGCCATAGCCGCACGCAACCCCTACGGCAGGGAGAGGCTGCACGGGGCTGTGGCTTCTTTAGCCCTGCGCAGCGTCTCCCGGCAAGGAGAGGCTGCACGGGGCTAAAGGGGAAGCCAAAACAGTGAGCGGGATCCATCCCGCTCACTGCCTTGCCTTCTTCCATAGCTGCGCGCAACCCCTCCGCAAGGAGAGGCTGCACGGGGCTAAAGGGGAAGCCAAAACAGTGAGCGGGATCCATCCCGCTCACTGCCTTGCCTTCTTCCATAGCTGCGCGCAACCCCTCTGGCAGGGAGAGGTTGTGTGCAGCCTGTACGCTGCTCTTTGGGGCTGGGGGGGATATTTTTTTTCTTGATTTCCCCCCCTAAAAACTGGGTGCGCCCTATGGTCCGGTGCGCCCTATGGTGTGAAAAATACGGTATGCGTTTTGGTTTTCATATATCTTGAGCTATGTATTTATTATTTGCTGGGGAATCTCTCTGGGATGAAGGAAAGTTTAGAAATAGTAGTAAATAGTGCTTGATTTTGGATTATGTTCTGAAGACTATTAAGAGAAGAGAAAAAGCTTACCCTTGGCTTCTGGGATCTTCCCACTGTGTGATGCGTGTATTGTGATTGACAAAATATACTCTGCCATTGGCATCTGTTCTCTTTTCTGAGGGAATATAAATTAGGACCATTTTAGTTACCATGGACATATCGTTTTAACGTTAAGATAATAGCAGTGAATTATATATGCCAGGACCTATGGGGAATATCTCACTTCTTTCTCCCCTCTGCAGAACTCTCTGCCAACAAAAAACCTCTTAAGGGTTGGGGGCTCTCATGAAAGACTTGGGATGTAGAACAGTGGGAACAGGAAATCTGGCAGAGGCAGCTTGCCTAAGCATGATCTTTTTTGTAGGGACACAAGGGGAAGCAGAGGGCAGGAGGGAAAGGAAGTTCACCTTGTGCAAGCACTTCTTTAGATAGAACCCCATGTGTTTGGCAGTTCTGCTCCCCTCTTTGACTTGAATTGTGCCCAAATGCCCAGTCTGGAAACTTAGCATTTCATAACAGCTGTTTGAACATACCATCCAACTAATGAATACATTGTGTTCCATAATCTTAACTTCCTAGTTCATGAAACCTCAGTGGAACAGCACTTTATATCCAAGTCAAGGACATCTCCTTCAGGGAGAACCTTGAACAGGTCAATAGTATGTGAGATAGAAGTATAGATGATTGGTTGTGAGAGTAGGGCTCAGATTCCTGTCCTAGATGAAACACCGTTACTTATGATTCTGCTACTAAACTAATAGAGGTCCCTAGAATTGTATACCAACTCAATGACAAGAGACTATAATATGTATGAAATATAGGTCTTCACTCCTGAAGGCACACTCTTCCATTGCCTCCTGAAGCAGATGGAGGCCAACCAACGGGTCTTTATGCTTCTCAGATGAGCTGTGCTACATATTACACTATTCCTCTTGGGATATGAACACAATTTATCTACAAAGACTGCCCAACACCTACTGAGATTTGCAGTCTTGCTGGCCGGAGAGCTCTGAATTTGAAGTGACATTATTGTGATCCCCAAGTAAACTCTACTACTTTTATCAGGTTTCTGGAGTCATCAGAGTGCAATAAAAAAAAAACACCTCATGATGGCAGAGTAATAGCTAGATTCAGTGTTGGCTTGGACCACTATATAAGTGATGTTGAGAACCAGAACTTTTAAAAACCTTACCCCATCCATGTGGCAGGGGACCAAGAGGATCAAATTCTTTGTTCTGTGTGAAGTCTTGATTCTGCAATCACAAGAAAGCATACTGTAAACTACTGACTGAAAAATCTAAGCTTGGATAAATCATATACATTATACTTACAACTGGTTATTTTTTAAAAGACCTTTCTACCTTTTTGTAACGAAGGTAAAATCACCTAACAAGATAGTCCCAGGACCTATTTGTTTTAACTTTGGCAAGTTTCTTAGGCATCGGCACCTCTCTCACTTTTCCAAACCAATGCCCACAAAAACTAGGAAAGGAATAGGATTTTATCATCCCAAAATGGTAATATGTCTGTCCTTGTGGGACAACCACTGCATCCACCTTTCTGGAATCTGACAGACTTCCACACCTCAGAGGAGGCAACCTACTTTCATCCAATTCTGCAGAAAATAAAAATACCGAGCCAGAGACCTTATAATATGGTTTCCAAGGATGGCAACCAGAGAAGTTCAATCAAAATATGCTCTCACTATGCCTTGAACAAAACTTGCCAGTAACTCTGCACTTGCCTACAGCTGCTTGAATTAACATGACAATGTTTGCTTGCAAATGGCAAAGTAAGAAGCCATAGGCAGAATACATTTGATTTGTAACCCTCTGGAATCAATTTAAACTACAACTAAATCTGATAAACAGATTATACTTTGTATACTAAAGAAATTTCCATTGAAATGTTTGGATGGAAATGAGTAACTTCCATGTGTAGCAATCAATCACCCTGTTTTATTTAGATTCTACTCTATTTTTTGCTTTCTGTAAAGTATTAGTGATTACTTATTAGGAATTTTAGGCTGAGGATAGAGCAAGTGCTGTTGAGTTAATCTGCATTAGCTGATGTTATGCCAATATGAATTCCAGCCCAATCCTCAGTGTTCTCACCCCATATATAAACCTCTGGTTAAATTGTTGCATAGCTCCTTGAAGCTGGCTGCGCTGAAGTTGCCACTGTTCATAATTCCGGACAGATTCCAAAGTTGGCCGCTGCCAGGTTGTTGTTCTGGTGAAATGGTCAACATAGTAAATCCGTCCCATGTTGTCAACTCGACGTTCCCAGCTAAAGAACACAGATGAGATAATCAAATGAATGCACTGACTTCAAAGTAGGCTACAGTCTGACAGAATGGAATACAGGAGCACTTGTTCAACATAATAGGACAAAGAGGGTCAGCACAATAATTCCTCAGTTTTGCTTTATGTCACCTTATTACTCAATTCCAAGGGGTTTATCATTTGATTAAAGGTTCTGCACTTTGCTCTGAAATTCCTAATTTGAGGTAGCAATATCTATTTATGTGTCCATCATTTTTTTGAAACCTCTAGAAGTGTGCTACAAGTCCAAAGGATGAGAAAATACCACTTTCATATGCAACAACATTATGATGCAGACCCCACACACATCTGATTTCTTTGGCTGGTTTTGATTCTCCTCTACTGTAACAGTGAGCAGCATACCAGGCTTAAATATACCATATCCATGCCTAGAGGCACTTCAGTTCCTGTCAAGGAATGCCACAGATTTTGGAGGTTTGTGCCACCGTTGGCCTCCCATGGCCTAATATAACTGACATTTCTACAGCCAGTCTTAAGATTCAACATACATAGAATAAAGTGCAAATTAGACCCATTTTCTTTTCACAAAACCTTGACTTAGCTATCCGGAAGTACAATATTTTAACTGGACCTAAGCTGGACATGAAGATGGCAAGCTTGGGATGACATCTTCAAGCATGTTATCAAGCACAGTTTGACAGATCACCAAGTGACTCACCCTGGGGGAAGAGGTTCTGGCCTATCCCATGTAGTTCTTTTTTCAACATGATCTACGTAATATACTCGGCCATGTTGATCCACTCGTTGTTCCCAGCTGGAAATACACAAATAATTTGTATGTACTATTGCGCCAACCTATTCACCTTGTTGCTTTCTCATAGTTCTTATTTCCAAATGGTCCCCTGATCTGTTTTGTATACAGTAAGCCTGCCACTTATGCGGGGGTTACGTTCCAGAGATTGTGTCTAAAATCACATATAGTCAAAATGCCAAAATCATTTTTCCTTGAACCCCACCCCCTTCCTGTTCCTTTTAATTTTTATTTTGCCATGCATGTAAGTTGCGGGCTTACTGTAGGACTAAATCTTCATTCTGACAATTAATAAAACGACATTTTCAAACACATTTGTTTCTATACAAGACCAAGACCCAGGTTTAATTTTACATTTGTATTTATGACACTAGTACCATATAACTCTTGAGGGACATTCTGTGATTCCTTCCCTTGGACACATTTTATAGGAATAGGATTTATTGGTCATCTTTATAGTGTTCCCCTCCTTTCTCAAAGTTGCAGAGAGTAGCATACATGGGAATTATCTGTTGTGATCTTATATGAATCTTGTAAACTATGTTAGGCTGACAGAAGTCTGCTCCAAAGTCAACAAGTTAGGATCTGAGCCCCCATCCCTGTGGTTGAGGTCTGACAATTCCCATCTCATAAGGTATGGATTAAGGGTAGGCCACAATCCACCAGTGGATCAGTAGTTCTTTTCTTAGTGCCTGTTTACTTACAGACTTCCTATGGATATCTAGCTAGCCATTGTGGAAGAAAGCACACTGAACTAAATGAATCTTGACCTAATCCAGAAAGGCAAAACTTCTATTTTTCAGGAAGAGTGCATACTTTTAAACTGCTATGACATGACTAACATTATTGGAGATTCTGAATATGTACTCTTGCTTTAGAAATTTAGTGAACCACAGAGCTTCTTTAAAACATACTCCATGAAAACATATTCAGCTCCACCCTGTACCATATCACACTGACTTAAGATCAAAAATTTCAGGGCATTTAGATTCCAAACCCACTAAGCAACAGCAGCCACATTGGCCCACTGTGGCCACATGCTACCATATATATTGCACACATAGAATTGTACCCATTTCTCACTATACATATTCAAACTGCAGCCATTCAACTGTATTTATAAGCATACTGGCTTTCTTGTATTGGTACTCAACTATGAAAGTTTTGAAATTCTGATCATCATCGTATTTGGGCACATACAATATTTTTTTGCAGAGAATGGACATGGTGGAAAAAAAGGCTTCTAAAACTTATTATTGGGGTGTGTCATTTATCAGATCTTATGGAATTATGTGCTCGTGCCAGATTACCCTTTACCACTGTATTGTGGGGTAGTCCGCCACATTATAAACAAATGTATCTTTTTCCATAAGCCAAGTGCTGAACTTAGTAGTTCTTAGATAGGGAGACAGACAAAAGGATCTTATGCTCTAATATTCATTTTTGCCTTTGCTCACTTCTTCAAGCAACAAAACTTGCTGAGAAGACTGAAAAGTATGATCATTATCTGTGATACTTGCCTTTCTCAGCTCATATTACTGCTCTAGATAAAGTCTGTTGATTGTCTCTCTGTATTAGCTTGGATTTCAAGAACTGTGAAGAGTTCTACTTGTAGGAATAGGGCTTCCCTGCCTCTTCCTTCCTGAAAAGATATTCCTGGTGGTCTGCAGACTCTACAGAATGCAAAGGTCATGTATGGTACAAGGAACTGCAGTGAGTGAATTCATGAAAATTAGAACAAAACGTTCCACTCATTGTGCTGTTTCTCATCTCTGTGATTTCTCTCATCTCAGTTAATTCATGCTATCTTTCACTTTAATATTCAGCTGACCTCTCAGCTTTAAATAATTAAAAACTCACATCTTGTCTCAAGCGTTTCCATGTTGGTGTTCTATTTTTTCTAATTATTACATAGGTTTTACTTTAACTCTTTTGTGGCTTTTTTTTAGTTCCACCCTGCAAATGCAATGTACTGTATAAAGCACAGTATATTTTGGTGCTTTTAGAAATCAAATGGATGAGACGGAGGAAACTTGTATCTTGCAGTAAATTTTGTGTTAGAGACATATGTATAACATAAAACCTAAGAGCATCAAACTCTTACCCAGGTGGAAGAGGACCTTGACTAACTGTGTGATGTGGCTGTGAAGCTGGAGTTACTGGCTGAACTTGTCTGGATATTGGTGGTGTGGCCAAAGCAGCTGCTGCAGGAGCACCCGTTACTGCTGTTGCTCCCTCTGAGTTTTGTTCCGATGCTGAACTTGTAGTTGGCACCAATCCTGCACTAGCCCCTTCTGATTCTGTGGAGGAAGTACCATTGACACATGCTGCAAAGAACACAGACAAGAAAAAGACAAATATTTATGTTTATTTTAATTCCAGTATTGTATATTTATTTATACTCCACCTGTCCCCCTGAAATGGACTCAAGACAGCAGTACAGCAAAGCAAGAACAGATAAGCCCTCAAGTAACTACTTGGTACACGGCAGTTATTAAGTTCCCAGACTTCTAAGTAAAAGTAGTCAATGGCAGAAACTCTTTCAACAACATTTCCACAAACCTATCAGAACTCAATTTAACCATAAATGGAAAAGCCTTCTTGAATTTTAGTTTGGCTCATTGTTCAATTTCATTTACAGGAAATCTGTACTCTGGTTAAGAGAACACTATGAAAGAGATTCTTTTTGAAGCAGTTGCCTCTTTCTCTTGACCACAGAAAGCCTGAAGTCCTTGAAAAGAAAATTCCAGGCTGCAATTTCAGTAGGCGTCACATAAAGCTACTTCAGTATTTTGTATGAAGAAAACTTCCATAATTTAACTATGGGACAATGTGTGTTCTCAGAATTACCATATGATGCACTTCTGAGCTGTATAGCTTTTCCTTTCAGCAGTTTAAGAATGCTTTGCTGAAGGTCAGACAGAAATATATCTGGCTTCACAAATGCTAAAGCATGCTTATTATGAATTAAGCCACAATTTTTTGGAGGGGGGATGCATGTGGCATTATCTTTTATTATATTACACACAGCTTTAATATACTAGCGCAGTGGGCAGAATACACTGAACAAACTTAATTCAAACAAACACTGAATTCAAGAGCTTTTAAAGTGATACTTTTCTCTTGCAGACATACCAGGTGGAGCAGATGGTCTACGTGGAGTAGGTGGAGGTGGCCGAGATGGTCTAGGCGGTCTAGCTGGCTTACAACCTCCATTTGCAATTAATGGAGAATCATTGCCATTAGATGCTCTGCTGTCACTAGACCCGGGAGACTCACAGCTTTCAGGACCATTTGTATTGTTCCTTTATGAGAAAGCACAATACAAATTATCATGGAGACATGGAGATCTCACTGAATAAAACAATTTTGAAAAAGAAGTTTCCTAATTGAAGTCTTGTCACAATTCATATAAACAAAATAGAACCCTGTTCTTATAAAAGCCTTCGCTCCTGGAGCTTGCCGGGCTGGGGGCGGGGGAAGCCCGAGCTTCCCCCGACCCCAACCCCCAGAACGGGTCCGGAAGCGGGGGCGAAGTTGCATGCAACTTCGCCTTTGCTCCCGGAGCTTGCTGCTATCCGCAAGCCTTCTGAGCCCGGCGGGAACTCCCGCCGCGCTCCGAAGGCTTGCGGATAGCTGCCTGAAGCCTGGAGAGCGAGAGGGGTCGGTGCGCACCGAGCCCTCTCACTCTCCAGGCTTCAGCGAAAGCCTGCATTCGCTCCATAGGACGCACACACATTTTCCCTTCATTTTTGGAGGGGGAAAAGTGCGTCCTATAGGGCGAAAAATATGGTATATTTCAAAAGGTACTAATAAACACTATTTCAAGTGGAATATATTCAGAATTTATCTTGCTGCTTCATGCTTTGAGGGAATTTTAAAACTGTCAGCTCAGATATTAAAAAATCTTTTGTTACTTGCAGTTTACAAGAACTAAAAACTTTATACCACAAACAATGTGCTTTTCAGGATGGAATAAAGGAACTAAAAGGATAAGACACAGAGGTATTTATCCTATTGCATACAATTAAGTTGGACTAATCGTGCAATGGGTCAGTGTGTCTGACTGCTAACCAGAAGGGTGGTAGTTCAAGCCCATCCAGGGTTGGCGGCTGTGGGAAGGATTCCTGCATTGCAGGCCTCACCATCTGACCACAACAGGGTCAGTATGGTGGGTAAGAGAGCTCCTTCTCCCTTGGAGAAGACATGAAAAGCTCTGAAGACCCTGTGAAGACCTTGCCTGCCCCCAGAAGGGGAAGTCATCCCAAACAAGAATGTCATCCATCCCATCTTAAAAATATGTGTGCACCAACTCTTTTGCCTGAGTAAATGATTATTTATTAGTGAAGAGCTGAACAAAAACAGGATTTTGCTTTTATTTTCTTTCTTTTTTTTTGAAATGTGTGTCTATTATAACCAAGATTTTTACAAGCTAGACACTCTTTACAATTACAGTGGTACCTTGATTCAGGTAGGTAGCCGTGTTGGTCTGACGCAGTCGAAATAAATAAATAAATTGTCCAGTAGCACCTTAGAGACCAACTAAGTATGTTCTGGGTGTAAACTTTCGTGTGCATACACACGGTATCTGAAGAAGTGTGCATGCACACAAGAACTTATACCCAGAACATACTTAGCTGGTCTCTAAGGTGCTACTGGACAATTTTTTTATTTAGTGGTACCTTGGCTAACGAACGTAATCCATTCCGGAAGTCTGTTCTTAAACCAAAGCGTTCTTAAACCAAGGCGTGCTTTCCCATGGCAGCAGGGGACTCAGTTTATAAATGGAACACACTCAACAGGAAGCGGAACATGTTCTGCTTCCAAGGCAAAGTTCACAAACCAAAACACCTACTTATGGGTTTGCAGCGTTCTTAATCCAAGTTGTTCATAAACTAAGCTGTTCTTAAACTAAGGTACCACAGTACTAAAACTACTAAGGACGCTTGTATCCCCATGACCACTTCCAGCCAGTTTCCAATACTCTGAAATATCTACAAAACTGCTAAATCTCAGCACTTTAAACATCACAACTATCAGCATTCCACAACTCCACTGCAGATGTGGAAAACCACCTTACCTTGTTTCATTTTTTGCTCTGGAACCATCATTCTGCACGGGACCTTTAATATTAAAAATAAGGAAATGGAAACTTATTTTAACATTTGTGTTGTTTTATGGAAAGACACAAGCAATAAGTATGATTTTCCCTATTGGTCAAAATATATGCCATTCGCCTTTTAATTAATGCAAGAGATCAGAGTTCCCACAACAGCCCCAATACAGAGTATGGATAAAGTTTTTTGTACTTTAGAGCTGGAGTGAGCAGAAGGTCGGGACTTTGTGGAAAGCATGGCCTCCATGGGGCTGTTCCTGAATAAGTTTGGCCCAACTCATAGTCATGGACAAGCCTTAGACCTGGTGTTTACCTCTAGTGATGTGAGTGATCTGACACTAAGTAAAAGTGAAACAAAAGAAGTGCCATGGTCAGATCACTTCCTGGTGCAACTGGACTTCTCCGCGACCCTTCCCCTCTGCAGGGAGGTGGGACCAATTCGGATGGTCCGCCCCCGCCACTTAATGGATCCAAATGGTTTCCAGAGGGGATGCTTTATCCCATGTTGATGGCCTTTCAGCTGATTCCCTGGTGGCCCGCTGGAATGCGGAGTTAACCAGGGCTATCGACTGTCTGGCTCCGAAGCGCCCTCTCCGATTGCATGGAGCCCGGACAGCCCCGTGGTTTTCTTCAGAGCTGAGGGCGATGAAACAATCGCTGAGACGGCTAGAGCGTCGGTGGCAGAAAACTCATTCTGAATCTGACCGGACACAGGTTAGAGCTCAACGTCGAGCCTACCAAGTGGCGATAGCGATGGCGAAGAAGACTTTCTTCACCGCCTCTATTGCATCTGCAGAAAATAGTAGCAGGAGACTCTTTCAGGTGGTCCGCAATTTAACGGAACCACCTTTACCACCGGGGCCTTGTAAAGACCCCAAGATCTCCTGCAACGATTTTGCAAAGTTTTTTGCAGATAAAATCACTCATATTCGGAAGGAGCTAGACACCACCGTGGGAGCAGGGCTGGGGCAGGAGAGTGCTAGAGCCCTGTCTGGTCAAGTTGCATGGAATCAATTTCAATCCGTTACCTCCGAGGATGTGGACAGGCTGCTTGGACGCGTGAAACCAACCACCTGTCTCCTTGATCCTTGCCCATCCTGGCTAATAAAAGCAAGCCGGGAAGGGCTGGGCGATGGGCTCTGCGGGGTGGTGAATGCTTCCCTCTGTGAGGGAACATTCCCAGATCCGCTGAACGAGGCGGTCATTAAACCGCTTCTTAAAAAACCATCTTTAGACCTGGCCAGTGTGGCCAACTATCGTCCAGTCTCAAATCTTCCATTCTTGGGCAAGGTGATTGAGCGAGTGGTTGCTGAACAACTCCAGGCACGCCTGGAGGATGCGGACCATTTGGATCCCTTCCAATCGGGATTCAGGCCTCATCATGGGACTGAAACTGCCTTGGTCGCGCTAGTTGATGATCTCCGGCGAGCTGGGGACAAAGGTGAGAGGTGTTTCCTAGTTCTGCTGGATCTCTCAGTGGCCTTTGATACAATCGACCATAACATCCTTCTGGACCGTCTAGAGGGCCTGGGAGCTGGGGGCACTGTTATACAGTGGTTTCGCTCCTTCCTCCTGGGCCATGTTCAGAAAGTGGTGGTGGGGGATGAGTGTTCAGACCCCTGGACCCTCACTTGTGGGGTGCCTCAGGGTTCCGTCCACTCCCCCATGCTTTTTAACATCTATATGAAGCCGCTGGGAGAGATCATCAGGGGGTTTGGGCTGGGTGTTCATCAATATGCAGATGATACCCAGCTCTACCTCTCTTTCAAATCAGAACCAGTGAAGGCGGTGAAGGTCCTGTTTGAGTGCTTGGAGGTGGTTGGAGGATGGATGGCGGCTAATGGACTGAGGTTGAATCCTGACAAGACAGAAGTACTGTTTTGGGGGGACAGGAGGCGGGCTGGTGTGGAGGACTCCCTGGTCCTGAATGGGGTAACTGCGCCCCTGAAGGACCAGGTGCGCAGCCTGGGAGTCATTTTGGACTCACAGCTGTCCATGGAGGCGCAGGTCAATTCTGTATCCAGGGCAGCTGTCTACCAACTCCACCTGGTACGCAGGCTGAGACCCTACCTGCCCGCGGACTGTCTCGCCAGAGTGGTGCATGTTCTGGTTCTCTCCCGCTTGGACTACTGCAATGCGCTCTACGTGGGGCTACCTTTGAAGGTGACCCGGAAACTACAACTAATCCAGAATGCGGCAGCTAGACTGGTGACTGGGGGTGGCTGCCGAGACCACATAACACCGGTCTTGGCTCCCAGTACGTTTCCGAGCACAATTCAAAGTGATGGTGTTGACCTTTAAAGCCCTAAACGGCCTCAGCCCAGGATACCTGAAGGAGCGTCTCCACCCCCATCGTTCTGCCCAGACGCTGAGATCCAGCGCCGAGGGCCTTCTGGCGGTTCCCTCATTGCGAGAAGCAAAGCTACAGGGAACCAGGCAGAGGGCCTTCTCAGTAGTGGCACCCGCCCTGTGGAACGCCCTCCCATCAGATGTCAAAGCGATAAACAACTACCTGACATTCAGAAGACATCTTAAGGCAGCCCTGTTCAGGGAAGCTTTTCATGTATGATTTTAGTGTATTTTTGGTTTCTGTGGAAGCCAAATACTATTATTATTAAGGTAGATTGGGAATTACTGGCTCTCTTGGTAATTTGCCTCCCACAGACAGACCACAAGTAGTTAACCAAGAATAAACCTTGTCTGGATTGAGAGAAAACATGATCCCTCCTTCAGACATAACACGAAGGTAAACTGTGACTTAGCTCCAGGTAGTGTGGTAGGAGAAGCACCAGGGGAGCAGCAAAGCAAATACAATTTTTACTGTGGCTACCAGTACGCATGCTCATTCATGCTTAGCCATGATTTGGCTTAGTGTTATGTGCAAGCCAAGTCACTGTCTTCAGTATTCTAAACATGCATGTAAAGGTTTGTAACCTAAAGCACTTTGGCTTACAGTCCTTATCAGGGTTCAATGCATTCTTCAAGAAAAGCCAAATGCTACCAACAATAACAAATGTTATTTAATATAAACAACCAGTTATATGATGCAACAGCAGTGTGCACACATAGAAGGTAAATATTACTCACTTCTTCCGCTTGGAGCATCACCATTACTCAGCAGCTCAGGATCTACCTGCATGCCATCTAAACAGACAGACAACTCTCCAATCCCGTCGGTTGATTCTTTGTCACCAATAAGCATCATATTCACCACCACTTGTTCAACTATTGAAAATATACAAACAAAATCAATGTTCTCAACTGCCTTGTATTTTTATTGCAGTGAACTGATTAAGGTTTATACAATTTCATGAAAAAGCTGAGGAAAGCTTTTAAGAAATGACCACAGTTCCATTTCATCTTACACATTCAGTGATCACTGCACATGGGGAGCCTCAGAAAACTTTACTAAATGGGGGTAATTCCCTTACCGAAAAATGGGATTCTGAAGCTTTAACTCCTTGTTAAACTCCCTAAATGTCCCTAGCAGAACAATGTATAATTCTCATTTATTTTTATGTCATCCCCAGGTTGTGCCACCCTTCTCTAAATAAAAAGCAGAAGCAAAACTCATCCATGAATATCTTTAACATCAAACAAAAGAGCCCTCATAACCGTACAATTAATAATAAGAGTTTAAGCATAGTTGCATATTCTCTGTGCCAGGCCTACTATTGTAGAACCCCATTCATAAAGGGGACCATATAAGTCAGAACCTAAACATGTTCCAAATGAACCAAATTTTAGTGGGGACTTCATGGAATGATTTCTGGTTCTTAGGACCCTATGGAAGACTGCAGGGGTAGGCATCATACTTCTTAAGATCTTTCATATTGACATTTGCCTATATACACATACACCAAAGTTTACATCATTTAAAGTTATGGGCTTTTTGTATACTTACGTTTCATATTGTTTGCTTTGAGAGTTTCTTTAATTTCTAGAGTGGCGCTTCCCAATAAGACATCAGATTTCAACGTTTGGTGACTCCATACACGGAAGCACAGGTTGCTGACAGGTGAGACAATTCTAAAACGAAGAAGCAAGAAATATTGTAATGCATACTCGCAAGTTCCATTTAAAAATACTTCTGAGTAACTTAGAATCATAGACTTATAGAACTGTACAGTTGCAAGGGACACCAAGGGTCATCTAGTCTAACACCCTGCAATGATTTTAGGGTCAGGAATTTGAGCCCCATGTTGGGCAAAGATTCCTACACTGTAGGGCATGGGTAGGTAAACTAAGGCCCGGGGGCCGGATCCAGCCCAATCGCCTTCTAAATCTGGCCCGTGGACGGTCTGGGAATCAGTGTGTTTTTACATATGTAGAATGTGCCCTTTTATTTAAAACGCATCTCTGGGTTATTTGTGGGGCACAGAAATTCGTTCACCCCCCCATATAGTCCGGCCCCCCACAAGGTCCGAGGAACATTGGACCAGCCCCCTGCTGAAAAAGGGGGTGGGACTAGATGACCCTTCATTGTCCCTTCCAACAAAATCTCAACTAGATTATACATGACAGGTGGCTGCCTAATCTCTGCTTAAAATCTCCAAGGTGGAAGAGTCCACCACCTTTCATGGGAGTCTGTTCCACTGTCAAACAGCTCTTATCTGTCACTTACAGTTACAAAATTGACACCCCACCCCCAAAAAATGCACAAATCAATTGATCTTCCAAGAGCTATCATATTCCAAACAGTAGTAGCACTGATAGAAAAATGTGGCTTTTTATGACAGAAATTAATCCTGCAAATATATGTTTACAGTGGCACCTCGGGTTACATACGCTTCAGGTTACAGACGCTTCAGTTTACCGACTCCGCTAACCCAGAAATAGTACCTCAGGTTAAGAACTTTGCTTCAAGATGAGAACAGAAATCATGCTCCGGCGGTGCGGCAGCAGCAGGAGGCCCCATTAGCCAAAGTGGTGCTTCAGGTTAAGAACAGACCTCTGGAACGAATTAAGCACTTAACCCGAGGTACCACTGTATTTCAGTAGCACATAAATGGGGAACCTTGTGCACAATAAAAAAAAAAACTCTAAGTGTATTTATTTCACAGTAAATCTTACAGGCAGATTTTTACATGCAGGTTTTGAAGTCTTAGAAGCAAGAACAGTATATACACCTTTCACTAAGTTTTAGGGGGAAATATCCTTTCTTCTAGCAACTATATGCTTCTTTAGTTCCCTCCTCATTCCTTCTACACTTTGGTTCAGATACAAAGATGTTTACAGTCGCTCACCTATGGACATTGGGACTTTCTGGGCTTCCCTTTTATGGAACAACTCCCTGTACTTCCCCCTATAGCCATTCATGAGGCTCAGGGAACCCACCTAGTGCCACACCTTACACAGTGTAAGGGGCTGAAACCCATATAACCTAGTTTGCAGAGCTACTGGTCTGCCTCCATTCCTAATTAAAAACAAAACAAAAAAATTCTAAAACATTTAAACCAGTTAAATCAAACCAATAACCTTTATTGGCATCACAGTATAAAACATTTAAGTCACTGGGATAATTAAAAGGACAAGGCTGAGGCTATCGAGGGTTATAAGGTCACACTGTGATCGTGTGCACTTAGATATTATACAAATCAGGCGAATGAATTAAAACTGATGGGAGGGGGAAAGATTTGGCGTTCTCCAGTTACAGATCTTGGGAATGGCTCAGAACAAAATACTATTTCCCATGATCACACACCCTGATAAGACCTGCATTTTTCTCTTGCCAATATCCATCCCACAGTATAAGGCAGCTGCATTTCTGTTTCTTATAACAAAATAACAAAATAAGGAACATTTCCAAACCTACACTGTAAGATGTTGTTTCCATTTTGGACTATTAGTATTGTTGCACTTTTCTGTTTTCTTTGACTGTCCATCAACTGAGACTTCCACGTAAGGGCTGGGTCCAAACCATTTGTTTTTGTTTTCTTTCAACTTCGCAGAAATAACTATTGAAAGAGAATGAATGAGTGCTTTATTTGCTTCAGCAACTTCTAAAGTTTCTACTATTACCTAGCAAAGTAGATTATGGAACCACAGCCAAATTACAACTCTTTTACATTGACAGAAAAGACACCATGGCACAAAGTCCTTTCATTTGGATGTAATATTTACATTGGACCAAAGATTTCCCCTTCCATTCAATCAATTTAAAACCTAAGATGAAACATTTGTCAAGTCATCACTATATCAAGCCATTTAATTTTCTTAAACCTTTCCAAAACTATATTCACCACCTCAATTCTGATCCATTTAGCTCTTGTTGCTGGAATGCCCGCCTTTTGCTAAGTAATTACATGACACTTTTTAAAGCAGGGGTAGGCAACCTAAGGCTTGTGGGCCGGATGTGGCCCAATCGCCTACTCAATCCGGCCTGCGGACGGTCCAGGAATCAGCGTGTTTTTACATGAGTAGAATGTGTCCTTTTATTTAAAATGCATCTCTGGGTTATTTGTGGGGCATAGGAATTCGTTCATTTTCCCCCAAAATATAGTCCGGCCCAGCACATGGTCTGAGGGATGGTGGACCATCCCATGGCTGAAAAAGGTTGCTGACCCCTGTTTTAAAGTAAACATAAAGATACACACATTTTAAGTTAGGTGTAAAGATGCATGCAACAATCTTAGTTCTGTGTGCTCCATTTGCACTCACACATATTCTTGTGCTGTACCATACCAACCACAACCAATCTTTTATGTTACCACTATTGGTTGCAGCATGTAGCATTTCAAAAAGTGGACCAATTAATTTTGCATGTCTTCTTGTTGTCTTGGTGGTATTTCTATAGCTACACTAGTCAAATTTAGCACCAGAAGTGTTGAGTCTCTCACTGCAGTTACGAAAGTGAAATAAGTAGTAAGTTTTAAACAAATGTGCTTTATTTAGAAAGCTGAAGTGTGTTCTTCAGTGTGTGAGTTAAGTAATGTGATCCTGACTCAACAAAATTAACATCAAGCAAATAAAAATCTTTCTCTTTAGAAATTGTACCACTTAGCTGGGGCAATTTTACCACTCAGCCAAGATATATTTTATTTTTGCTCACACCATTGCAAGTGGCTTATTTCTCTCTGGTCCTGCCTGACCATCAACTGTTCACATCTACCTAGCACTTTTACTGCCAAAATTATTCACATATCTTGTCAGTCTGACCACTTCAAGCCCTTCTTTAAATCCCAGAATTGATTTTTTGCCTGCACCAGGATGTTACATAAACTTCTTGCCCTTATCTTCAAAACCTTCCATGTTTCTCCGCCCCCCCCAATTTTTTTCTGTTGTTCTATCCCAACACACCGCTTCCTGTGATTTTCGCTTACCCAGGTCCACTCTACTCAATTATTTGAAGAGATCTTCTGCTACTTGAAACAAACCCACTCTTTCTCCCTTGCTTTCCTTTATGATTGGAAAGGCCATCCAGAACATCTCTCCATGTGACTACCTATGGCCACTTGCTTCAAGCCCTTCCACACATTTTTCATGAAGCCTTTGAAACAACCCCCTGTTCTCAATATCCTGCAACTAAAGTGCACGTAACTAAAATAATTGCACATTCTTCCCTTGTTCATCCCTGCCATCAGTTCCCTTCCCTTCTTCTGTTTCCCCATAAACCTCTTGAGGTAGGGGCAATGCAAACCTGTTCTTTGTTAATTACCATGTAAACAGATAATTCCATGTAAACAAACAAACAAGTACACATTGCATATGTGGAAGTGGCTAAGAAGTGGCAACTACTTGGCTATATGGCTTATAACTTGTGTGAGTGGTCAGTCACAGAACCTGTCATCTGTCGCTTGGAGATAAGCGGAATTCTCTACATATTGCTTATGAACATGATTGCAAGCTTATCTGTTGCCTCCTGGGCCAGTCTGCCTGCCTCTTGATAGATAGCAGAGGTTGCTTAAACTCCTTCCCCCCAACCTCCCCATTTCCTGACCAAGATCTCTCCATATCCAGTCTCCCCAATGTTGGCAGTCTCTTATGATGTCATTATCTTGACTGACAATGCTGCAGACCTACACAGTCCTCTTCCTGTTTTTACAGTAGATGCACTAGTGCCTGGGTCATTGCAAGTATTGACTAGCTAAGCCAAGCTTTCCTTGGTAACACTCAATTTTTCTTGACTCAGGTGAGGCCTCACTGGGACATTTTTTCTAAAGTAACACTTATGGGTGTTACATACAAGGTGAAGACGCTAAATTCTAACATAATAAATAATTTGCAGGAAGTAGATTTTGTGTTAACTACTTACAACACAGTTATGATAGATGAAACAGATTTTTCAAAACAAAACGGACTTTAAAAGTAAGTGGCGACACCGCCCCCAGTGCCTTAAAAATAAAAAAAAATCACCTATCATCTGGTTCTTCAAGCTAGGAGTTTATACTGATCACTCATTCATATACCATATTTTTGGCCTTAACTGTCATAGTGAAGATGAGCCAAAATAAAGTTTCCTTCAAAGACCACTGTTGATATCCATTAATATGTTCAAAGAAATATTAATGAATCAACAGAAAAGGAGGCAATGTGCATTCTTTCCTTAAAAGATTATTCCTTAGGCCAGTGGTTTTCAACCCTGGGCTGCCTTGAATGATTGTCAGGGGCACTGCGGGCAACACTGGACTCTATCCCTCTTTATTTCCTTCCCTCCCTCCTCTGATGCCCTCTCGCATCTCTGCCTCACGAAGGCTTGTGGGGCTGTTTGTTGCAGCAGCCCTGGCTACAAGCTCCCCACTATGCACTAGTTGTAATGGGTTAAAACCAATTTATAAAAGGTCTGCAGAAACCTGCTTAAAAGACACTGAAATAACAAAGCAGAGTGATTAAACCAACAACACTAGCTGGAACAGAAAAATTATTTAAAGGCTTCTGGAGCAAAATTCCATTAAAACACATTTGAATCAACAAAGAGAAGGAGCAATGTGAACGTAGTAGTGGAAAAATTCTGTTCCAGTGGTCACAGAGAAATAGTGACAGAGAACATGTTCAATCCTCAGCATCTCCAGTCAAATCTTGGATAAGGCTGGGAAAGATGTTCTGACAATGTTAAGGACTTTGGGGCAGTTACAGTTAGATGGGCAAATGGCTTGACTTGATATGAGGGATCTTTATATGCCTTCCAATAGGATTTGTTTTAGATTTTCCCACAAAGATGTGGGAAAAGGCCACAAAGATAGGAGTCTGCAATTCCTTCAGTTACCCTTAAAAGCAAAGGCTCTACAGTCAGCAAGCAGCCCTGTTTGAGACACTTACCAGTGATCTGAAGCTGTGATTTCATAGTTAGTCCACTGATAGGCTCTGAATTTGACCCATTGCCAGCCATACCACAGGAAGGTACATGAACCTGAATGAAGAAACAATAAATAATAACTTTACTCTTGAGATAAAGAGACTAAAATTGAGTTCAACTGAAAAAATATAAATGTAAAATTAAGCTCAGTTGCCATATACATTAATATTGTAGACAACTACACTATAGTATATCTAGATAGACTCCCACAAGAGGTTGTAGACTCTCCTTCTTTGGAAGATTTTAAACAAAGATTGGAGGCCATAATATATGATCTAGTTGAGATTCCTGCATTGCAGGAGGTTGAGCTAGCTATTCCTCAGGGTCCCTTCCAACTCTACAATTATATTATTTTATACATGATGGACAGACCAAAGTTTCTTAAAGCAAACTACAACAAAACAAATACTGGTGAAATGCCTGTTGTGATCATTTGTAATGAAGTAGCCAAAATATGTGGTTCTCTTCTCTTCCACCCCAACTCATTAGCAGATGCAAGCAACCAGTGGCTTGGGAATAAGGTTGTGTCTTCATCTTGCACATGATCACATCCATTTACTTTCAGTGACAGAGCTGAATCAAAAATTCATTTATACGGTTACAAAGAGAAATAAATGTTCAACAAAAACGATCACCACTGATACATCCCTCACCCCTTTCAAATGGACTTTGTTAACTGATTCTCCACACAGACAGGAAAAGTATTGACATGGTCTCAGCTGATTCTAGTACCAATTTCCAATGTGAGCTACCCAACATGCCCTGCCTCACCTGCTCCCACCATCCCTTTCTCGTATTTATGTTCTTTTTCATTAAAACAAAATGGTTTGTCCTTAATTTTCTTGGATTAGATCTAACTATAAAATATTTAGTATAACATCTGTATCTACAGGAAAACACAATAAAAACACAGCTAATTAACTAGTGCAAACTGAAGTTGGAAAACAGCTACATATACAGACATAAATGAAACTGAAACAAATTACTCACACTAGATTAAACCCCACACAACTGAAATATTTCTTCATGTACAAACTGCTATCTAATAACCCCACAAAGAGTTTCCTAAATGGCACAGAGCTATAAACAGCTTCCGCAAACCCCATGTGTCAATATATTTCAGCATATAGTTCTGGACACTTCCACTAAGATTTGGAGAGTACCTGCCAGACTTGACTGAAGTTGTTTAATAACAATAATAATAATAATAATACCCCATCCATCTGGTAGGGCTGAATATCAGAATCTTAGATGTGGGACTAGAAGGTCTCACGTAAAACAGAGTTTTTTAGTTTCAAAGTTCAAGAAATTAATTATTCCTATTTTCAAGTTTACTTTAATATGCCTCACAATTTGATAAGCAGACCTTAGTGTTTTAAAGTTATCACCTTTGAATCAATAAGGCACCAACACTTTCAGGCTGGTAATAAAATTAATATTTCAAACATCTGCCGAGCTGATGTCAGCGGTGGTTTCTTCTTCCTGGAAATCCTCAGCTATAGGAAGCATGCTTTATGATAAGAACCTTTTAGAATTTGCTGTATTAATGATGTGCTGCTCTCACCTCATGAACAAAAACATTTCCCTACTAGAAATGGCAGCTAACTTAATTATGCAGTTTATAAGAAGAATAGAGGAAAAAAGGGAAAAACAACAACAGCCCAGCAGTTTCCTGTAATTCAGTAATTTTCAGCTTTGCATCTGTGTGGAAACTCTGGACTCCTACAGACTTCTACAGAGTTGCCACGTTCCCCTCCAGACAGAAGCTTTGTGCTTCAACTGCTGCAGAACCATCAACAGCAGCAGCAGAATGCATGGGGGTCAGGGAGGATCCTGCCACTGTTACTCTTCAACACCCACCTCTTCGTGTTTGCATTGAATATGTACTTTTTGTGTGAAAAGCCAGTTAGTATCTTGGTTATTTTTCCCTCACTTAGTGAATTAGGGGGTCTCTCTCACTAATAGGACTTTTCATTTTGGAGGTTGAGCACTCTAGCATAATGCCCCATTGACATGTACGGCTTTTTACACAAATAGGAATCTATGAATAATTCACATGGCATGAGCTGAATTGCAGGGAAGGGAAAGGAGACAAAGAGCTTATGATTCCTTTGTGTGTGTCCCCTCCTTTCTCTCTTCAGTCAATTCCAAATCCCTACTTCCCTTTGCTATCCTTTTCGTGGCAAAGAGGAAAGACTTTGCTGCTGGAATCATCCTGCTTTAGGACCCAGGCTCCTTTCCCAGACTATGCATGCAGCTCCCCAGTTATAGCCCAGGGAAGTACAATTATATACATGATTAAGAGGAACCAGGACTCCATGTGGCGCTGCTGAATATGACTATCAGATTCAGCTTACATATTCAGCAAGTTCCTGGTCTTACCTCTACCAGGAACATACTAGGTGGACTTAGGCAATCTCACCTTTAGTTCCCCATGTGTAACATGGGTGACCTTGGGCCAGTCACCATCTTTCAGTCTAACATACCTTACAGCAGGATAATATGGAGATGAGGTGAGCTATGTAGGCCACCTTGAGTTCCTTGTATAAAAGGTGAGATACAAAGCAAAAATAAATGATGAGATAAAAATAATACTGTGCATCCTTATAGGATTGCTATGAGAATTACAACAATAAAACAAAGGGCAATTGCTGTAAGCACTATATAAATGCTAAGCATGATTAATATTAATTTCTTCCTACTATAATTACCGTATTTTTTGCACCCTAACACTCACTTTTTTCCTCCTAAAAAGTAAGGGGAAATGTCTGTGCGTGTTATGCAGGGAATGCCTACGGGTGGCATGCCTACGGATTTTCTTCCTCTACAAACTACGTGCGTGTTATGGTCGGGTGCGTGTTATAGAGCGAAAAATACGGTACTACTGCAAATAGTTAGCTTGCTGTGTGCACATATGAGAAAGGTGGGGGATTTGCTTTATGGAGCATGGGACTCCATGGGTGGAGATGAATCAAACTTCTGGGGGCCAGGAATATAACCAGCCTATCTTGGGATGCACAGCTCTAATTTACCTACTTTAAGAAAACTCTGTGATGGTTAAAAAAGCATTTTCACAACCTAGCTTTATTTGTCCCTATGGTTAAGAGGAAAGCCTCTGGGCTTATTTCAGTCATATGAAGTAATTCCTATTTAGCAGAGACACGCAACCTGTTTTATTATCTCTGAAAAGACAGAGACAATTAGAAGTTACTTTCAACTTGTCAAAATTAACCATAGGTTAATGTTCTAGCTATAGTGTCTGACAGCACCACGGAGGAGACCTGTGTGAATCTTTAACAGAAAGGAATACAACAGACAGAGAAAGTTACTATTTGTTATTATTAACCTAATGGTGAATTCAGATGCTGAGTTTTATGCCATGCAGTGATCTCTATTTAACATAACCCATTGGTGGCAAAATTGTCTGAACCAGTTCAAGGGCATCACATTTCACTTGGTTAAAAAAAACGCTCCTCTGAAGTGCATGGGCCTCAGTAATTCAACTAATCGGGACCTCCTTTGCCCATGACTTATACCACATGATCATCATGGTAGGAGATTAGTCATCTGAAACAGTTATAAAAGGAAATGCTTCATATAAGCATCCAATAACCCTAAAACATTAGGTAAGGAGAAGTTTCTGATGCTCACTATTATGCAAGTCTGCAGATTTTGAATCTTTAAGAGCTTTCACAACTGTAATTGATAGGTTTAGCAATCAAGACTGTAGTGAGCCCTGAAACATCACCATCAACCTATACAAGTAATGGAAAACTCATTCTCTAAGTGCCAGTATTTAAGTAGCCAAAACAGCACTAACCACACAGACAAGGGAGGTATCACTAGCATTACTGGGGACCCAAAATAGGCCAATGAAGGCTGAGTGGCCATACAGTGCTGGCTTACTGTTTGGGGGATGGAGACTAGGGAAAGGGGGAAATAAAATGGGCTGAGGTACCCAAACTGGCTGCCATACTGAAGTGGGGGGGATTAAGGTTGATAAATAACCCCAAATAGTGTTGCAAATAACTCATTTTGAGTTAATTGTCGAATTTATTAACTTCATCTATAATATGGCCATTCTGAAAGCTTTAGCCGCATCTGTTCACCAAATTTCAGCATCCTCACTTTACATGAGGAATTGTAAAGCATATAAAAAGATGTCAAAGACTGAAGGAACTGATTATACTTAGTTGAAAGGTATTTATTTTAAAAAAGTTGCAAATAGGCAAAATACTGTTAATAAGCAGGCTTATGAGTTTATCTCCCCTACATGCAATCGTCATGGAAAACTAATTAACAAGCTTAAACTGGGAGATTAGGTTTAAATTGAACAAACGTTTTCTAGCCAAAGAAATAGGTGAGTAGCAAACAGATTAAAGGCTGTCACACTTGTCTATTTTTAAATGCACTATATAAAACAGAAGATGCAGCAAGTGCCTTCTTTAAAGGCAGAAGTAAAGACTACTTGGCACTTAAGTGTCTTCTACTCTTAATATCCTGTTTCATTTTATATTGAATGTCAGAAGGTGGAGAATGAACTGCAGACGTGTGTCAATTTTACTCAGTATAAAATATATTTAGCACATATATTTGAAGTAGGAAATACCTTGAATGGATGCTGTTTCAAAGTACCTATGGTGGTAATAACAATAGGTGTCACATTAAAGCTTGAACTTTACATGTTGTAATGTCTGATCCCAGACAAACTGTAGTTAATCTTAACTATGGTCTGAACAATCCAACTCCAGGAGGAGGAGGAGGGAATGAAAGCCTATGGCTTACAGTGTCTTGTTCTCAAAGCACAACAACTGATTGGCTAGAAGATACCTACTAATTTATCTTTATCTTTTACTAATTTAATTTACAAGCCCTCACTACTGACCAAGGGTTTGGTATCATAGAAATTTTAATTGTCTACAATTGCTTGAGGTGGTGTGATGTAACTGACTGTTCAGTAACATTCTAGTAAGAGGCCAACAATCAGCACAAAGGGACCAAGGGCAAAGCAAACTTTGTACAGCTGATGTGTGAAGAGCCGTAAGAAGGCAAATTTCGGAAATATCCTTTGCTTCCTAAGTGATATTTGAGGATGTGATTGCTAGATTAGGGCGGGGGTGGTGGAGCAAAATGCTTTTCCTGACAGTGACTCTAGCATACACGTTTGTTACTGGCAGGAATCAGAACAACTCTAAAAGTTAGGATCATTCCACCAGAATAATTATAATTTTATTTATTATTAAATAATTAGTTTCCTGGTCCAATTCAAAGTGATGGTTTCGATCTATAAAGCCTTAAATGGCCCAGTACTGCAAAAGCTCAAGGACTGCCTCTCCCAATATGAAACAACCTGGACCCTGCAATCATCATCAGAGGCCCTTCTTCATGTGCCTCCCCTGTCAGAGCTTTGGAAGGTGGCAACACAAGAACAGGCCTTTTCTGCAGTAGCTCCATGCATGAGGAATGCTATCCTAAGGGAGGTTTGCCTGGAACCTTCGTTACATATCTTTAGGCAAAAACATTCCTTTCCTCCCAGGACTTTGGCTAATGAAACAATCTATAGCCTTTTAACCTGATGGGCATTTTGTTTTTTACTATTGTATGTATTTTTGTATTTTTATATTGTAAACCACCCTCTATTCCTCAGATGAAGGGCAATATAGAAATTTAATAAATATTAATGAAAGAATAAATATGAACAATTGCTATCCTATATTCCTAAACTTCGCCATTGACATCCAGTTACATAACTGGAACAGGAAGTATTAGCATGGTTGAGAGAAACCCAATGTTTGCAGAAGTAGAAAAAAGCAAGCAAAAAAATCTCCCCATCCCAAAACCTAGTCCACTGAGGACCCTTTGTCACAGGCCAGATAACACTGAATGCAACTGGGGGGGGGGGGTCAAATGGAAATTGGGCAGAACAGAGCTAATGGAATATACCAGAAGCATGATTGCCTGGCTGGAAGGAAGCCTTCTTGCCTCTAATAGCTTCTCTGACTCCACTTGTTAACCACATTGGCATCCTCTTCACACTCATGGTATCTTTCCTGAGCTTCTAAGACTGTATTTTTATACAGCTCCCAAGCATTCTGGAGTGATCTGATCTGACCTTCTTGACTTTGCCTTTCAACTTCCATTTTATCAAGCCACTCATTTTGGGGAAGTCTCATTTTTTGAAATCAAATGTTACTGTGTCAGATTTTCTTGGTGATTGACTGTTTATATGTAGTATATTTAATTTAAGAACACTATGATCTCTGCTCCCAGTTGGCTTAACAACACTTACATGTTGCAGCAGAGGTAACGGTGCCTCATTGGCTCTCTGCAGTCCACCTCAGTTAACCCACACTGGCTTGGACTCTTCTAACATTAGCAGACGTATAAACACAGAGAATATACAAGACTCACTCTTCAAGTGTCTTTGGCACTTCCATTTTGATCTACGATGCTTTCTCCTCTCTCAACTGCAATCATGTGCTCCTGCATTCACAGTGCTGAGTTGTATACCTCCCACATTTAAATTTTCATTAATTTTATCATCGTCATTCGAGTGAGATTTGCTCCAAACCCTATTCAGCTCCTGTGGGCTTTTCCTCCCCCCCCCCCCAACAGTTTAAAAGCTGCTCTGCCAGAGCATCACGGCCACAGAGCCACCCCCCAGCCAAGCACCAGCTTACTGTCGCCACTGCCGCCACCACCAAGGGAGAGAGGTAGGAGGGTACCTGGAGGGTCAAGGAAGCCGCAAGGAATTGCATGGCCTAGGCCAGGCCCGACCCCGAGCTTACCTCCCTGGCAGCTAGTGCAAAAAGAGCACCCCAGGAAAAAATAAACACAACATGGCCACTCCCTTGCTGAAAAATTATTATTTTATTTTTTTCTTTGAAGAACTGTAATAGTGTCCATGCAGGAGGCCTGAACCATTGAAGGTCACTCCCTGGGACTGCTGCCTTAGGCCTAACACAAGGACCCAACATCCAGGTCCTGTGGGCCCCGCAGTGAAATTAAAACTGCCTGTGAGTCAAGGCTTTGGCATTGCCACGTTTTGCCATGTGTCTTTGTTGATAGGAAGTGGTAAGAGAATTCCTCTTCTAGAGCATAGTATGACGGGGCTTCAGTGGACCTTAGGATGGGATCATAAGGAATGGTCTCAGGGTCGGTAGGCCCAACTCTCTGCTCACAAGGTTCCCAGAAATATGAGAGCCCTGCTCTGCCAGACTGTCACAAGGCCATCTGTTTTGGGTTTTGATTTTTTACATGGCTGGAGGACTGGGAAGGGCATTTATGTCTACTGGGATGCTACCTGGCAAGGCTAGGAGTATACAAAGCTGCCTAATACTGGGTAAAGAAGCCATTGGTTTATCTAATTCAGTGTTGTCTACTCTCACAGGCAGTGTTCCTAGGGGTTCAGAAAAGAAGGCATTTCTTATCCTACCTGGAGATACCAGAGATTGAACCTGGGATCTTCAATGTGCAAAACAGATGTACACCAACCTATGATCCTTCCCCATCAGGCAAAATGTGAGGAAGAGGAGGTATCACATAGGTCACCAAGGAGAAGGATGAGAAAAAGGGGCTAAGTGGTCCATATAGGAGGCAGGCTATTGCTCCACGCAGAACATCTCCTAACTGGCTAGTGTGCCTGGTATAGCAGTCCAACCCTTTTTGAGTGTGCAGTTGTCACCTGGATTCAAACAAGGGGCCTTGAGGATGTAAAAAGGGAGTAGGGAACTGGATCCACCCAGAGGACGGACTCCAGAACTGGCCCACTCTCCAGTTAATTTTGACATATGGTTGACATGTGGGATACCATATGAGACAGTTCAAGGTGTGGGAGTGGCCAAAGGCTCATCTCCAGCTTTAGAGCTGTGATGTTTAGAAAAAAAGATGTCTTACTGCTTAGATTGGAGATAAAAAAATATCCACACCTGTCCTCAAGTGACTGACATATAGGCCTGATTTGTACAAAATGACCACATGGCCCAAATTCAGAGGACTGACATGCTAATCAGACTTGTGCATGAAAGGTTCTCCACAGCTAATATAGAAAACAAGCTGCTTGGGTTTAGGGTTTATCTTGCAGTCCCAGTGATCGTAACATCTGATCCATGGGCTGCAGTGGGATGATGTCAATGACCCATGGTTTGTCTGATGCCTGTCTTGCTGCTGAAGTTGAGTGTGAACACTTTGTGGAGCTCGAACTGTGGGTTGGGAATCCCAGGAGCTCCCTCTTTTGCCATGATTATGATTTTATGTTATTTTGCCAGGCATGCAAAAGGTGAGTAGGAACATATTTGCCCCTTCCTCCTAATGGGGCTCAAACTCCCATTATGTGCTTCCTAACCTTATGTAGGGAGCTGTTGAAGAATGATTGCAGCAGTTAGTGTGTGCCTGTCTTATTGGATGTTTTGGCCACTTTGCTTTAATTCTTGGCAACAGTGACTTCCCCTCCTCATTTGGTCTTGAAACTTTGTCCTAGGGAGGGCTGTGTCCTGTTCTCTGGAGGCCCAGGAAACTACATCAATGTTGCTTTGCATGGACTGTCCTCCCTCCCTTTGTATGTGCTGTTCTTCCAAAAATGGTTGTGAGTGACATACAAGGATTCAGACTCCAGCCTATAAGGATGCATGGGGCCAGAAGCAGCAGAGATATTGGTGGCTGTGCAACCAGGGCAGATGAAGTGGAAATACTTTAGCATTATCTTACATGTAGTGTGTGCTGGAGGCATATCCTCACCATCCTATGTTCATCCCTCTGAGTGGGATGGCATATGTGTGTTGCTGTCAGCACAGTTCTCTGTGTATGTATGTTGTTTTGACACCGTGTTGTTTTCTCTTTCTTGTACGTTCCCTATCCCTCTGAAGCTGACCACATATAGAACATAGTGGTCATCTGCCAACCTAGTATTGGCATATCTCCATTCATGGTGTATTAAGAGTATAAAATTGCCATATAAATGCAGTGAAGCTATAACATACAGCTGGAATAGCTAACATAGTCCCCTTTAGACATTGTTGGACTCCCAGTATGATAAGAGTTTAGACCAAAACATCTGCCGGGCACCACATTGGCTACCCCCACCACTGTCATTGCCATCAGAACATAGGAAGAGCCTGCTGGATCAGGCCAATGGCCTATCTAATTCAGCATCACAGTGGCCTACCAGATGCCTGTGGGAAACCCATAAGCAGAGTTAGAGCACAGGATCCTACGGCTTCCAGTAACTGGCATTCAGAACCATTACTACTTCCAACTGTGGAGACAGAGCATAGTCATCATGGTTAGTAGCTATCAATAGTGCTCTTCTCTACGTCAAGTAGATGAGTTCCAAGCATTGCCTCCATGACAAATAGCCTTGGGAATATATATGCTGTTCTGAGCTCTTTGTAACAAATAGTATATTACATGGGTTGGTTGCTGCTATCTTGTTTTTAAAAATTGATATATTTTTAAAAAGATAACATTTCTTTTGTACACTGAACACTACTGGAAAATCCAACTGCGCAGGTATAACTGCATTTTTCCTCATGATCGTAATAAGCATTATGTAACCTTGGTTTAAAAATTCAATTGCAGCCAAAATATAGGAAAACAAGTTTTTACTGTACTCCAGAGTAACTTGAGGTTATTATAATTCAAAGTGAAGAGGACAGAATAACTTATTCTGGTTAGTTTTACTTGCATGCATATCCCACAAGAAATATGTAATTTGTGAACAACAGCAGACCAAATTCTTTACCAAGACTCCATTCTACAAACTAATGCTTATAAGTGGAACCCTGTGCAGTACCTGGGATTTCAACAGGATTCAACATGGACACAAGCACTAAAGATAAAAGTGGTATAACTGTAATTAAATAAAATAATAAAATGAACTCCATTTTATTCCTCCTCCCATTATTTACCCACAGTAGTCAGAATTACATGTCCAAAATACGGTCAGTATTCATTGGACAGTTGGGGAAGAGGTTGGCCCACTTATTTCATCTATTTTTCCCCTGCAAACCTCCAGTCAAGCCATACTCATAGAGCCATGAAAATAAATGGACTTAAGTTGTGACTAATTGAAATCCATCAGTTTCAACAGGTCTACTCCACATATGGCTTGGTGGATGCTAGTCATAATAAAAAAAAAAAAGGTGTATGAGCTTAAAGTTTATAATATTTTTCTCAGCCTTGTCCAAACACCCAGAATTCCTAATAACTGAATTCATCAGAAATCTATCCTGTTAATGTTTTCTCTTGCAAGAGTACTTTTCTCTGATGTTCTCAAGTTTTGCTTCCAACTGTGATGCTGTCATCCCTATTCAAACATCTGAAAGAAAAAACCTTGCCATACAGCTGAAAATATATGAATCTGCTACTTTATCATGGGATATAAATTAAGCAGCTGAAGACCGAGAATCTGAAGTGCCCACCCATAAAGGCAACCAACCTGTGCATCTTTGCATGCTTTGGCCTTGCCTCCTTCGAAACAGCTTCCACTGGGGTCAGGTAATTCTGCCACTTCTCTGTAATCTACAACTGGATTATCCAATCACTCCCAACGCAGTGGGAATTATAATCCCTCAGAGAATGTCCATGCTGCATCTCTGCATTAGTTGTTGCTCTGGCACTAGCCTCTTTTAATCAATATGTACATCTAGAATATAGTGGTTCACACAGATTGCTAGAGGATAGAGTCCTTTGAGGCAGATACTATTTACACATCCTAAAAACGAAGTTTTCAAGGATAAAGTTACAATTCTAATGTTATTTTCTTAAACAGCACCTCAGAAGACAAGGGAATCAGACAAATTTAGAAAACAATGTACTATGGGACAGAATTAACAAGTTAGACAGAAATACTTTTCTGGAAATAAATTTCATAAACCTCTTTCATCTGGCCTTTGAGTTTGTATATACTTTTCCCTTTATAGGAAAAAGACCCTGAATCACGATACCTGAATGCAGAAGGTCTTCAAGTTTAAACCTGTGCTCACAATGAGCCTGTAGCCTGGAAGAGTTTATTTATTTATTAACATTTATATTTAAAGAAACATTGACACTGCAATAAAGATCAGTGGGAACATTCAAACAACTGCTCCTGTTCCTTTATATAAATGCTTTTCATATTTGAGGTAAGAACAAACAGGTACTGTACAGCAAATTTCTCATAATTACAAACCAATTTCACAATCTGTAGGTCCATAATGAGCATAAGGACAACAAGCTTGGGAATTATCTGGTTGCATTGGACAAGTTCCTAGTGACAAAGCCTATCATTATACGTGTCATCGCCTGGCAGTTTCAGAATCAGTGCCAAATACCACTGAACAAAGTAATCTACTATCTATGAAGTGGGGGAGACATTATGCCTTTTAAAGATATGCCACCTTCTCTTATCTGTTTCTGAATGTACCATTTTTCAAAACAAAAAGTTTTCAAGCATCCTAACAAATGTATTTGAGGACACCTTCTTGTGTATTAGCATAGTTTTCACAAACAGCATTCCATAGATTTGCCCTTTGCTGAATTCCAAAGAATATGTTTTGCTCCTATACCAATAGATATTGATCCAACAAAGACCATCACCTTATCTATTCTATATAGCCTATTTCCACAAAGTGAAAACCACGAAGTAAAGCAATGGTCATTGGTTCCAATGGCTTTAAAACATTTCATTACAGCAGAATTAGATCATCGTGGAGGATAAGTCTCCAGAATCCATGGATAATTATGTCTATCAAAAGCTATTAGCCATGACAGCTATCAGAACCTCCAGTTTCAGAGGCAGTATGCCTCAATACTAATTGTTATTAGTTATTGCCATCCTGCCCTGTCTGTCAGGCACAGGAACTTTTGAGCGGTGTGCACCGTAATCAAAACACTTTAAACTGTGGTCTAATGCAATGTGTGAACAAGACATTTGTGTACACCCAATATGCAATACAAGATTATTTAGTTCACAATTTCAATGGCCTCTTTTACAAAACAACTTTGTTTTGGCAACAGCATCATTGTGTGTTATTGGCATTCATCCATTATAAATATTTGCCTGTTAGCTGCCAAATGAATCAGAACACAAGTAATTTTTGATGAGACCTACAAAACCATGTCTGTTTTCAGTTTCCAAATTCAGGCTTTATGGTGCTATTTTTACATGAATATCAATTTATCGTTCATATGCTTTGTAATAACAAAAAGTGCTAAACTTAAGACTGCAGAATGAAATACCTTTACTTGGAGCGAAGATTTATGAGTAGAACTTTCTTTTTAAATGACTTGTCCACAATTTAAATCCATTTTTAAATGTATTTTCAATAATAATTCACAAGCTTTTTTCAGACTTCCTATGTATTTAAAATATTTTGCAGTGCTGCAAGATAAAGTTTGCAATTTACTGAGGAGTAAAAGCCACCTAACTCAGTACAACTTACAGTGCAAGTGCACCTGAAAGTAAGGCCCCAAACATAAGCATACAAAAAAAGAAACAAGTCACCCTTAATGGGACTGACTTCTTAGTAAGCATGTACAGGATCAGGATGCAAGTGCAGTTGGTTTTAGACTTATACCAGTGATTCAGTAAGTCCTACTGACTACAGTAATTTCTGTTTTAAGACATATTCCCCTCTTTTGGTACTGTTTCTCAAACATTTGTAACTTTATTTCAAGTGGTTACAAGTAAAGGTGTCTCAAGATTCTGTTGTATTCATCTTTTAACATTTCTTGTCCAACTTGTAGCACAAGGTCCCTAGAGAGCGAGGCAATCTTTCAAGCACAACTACAAAATTACTGAGTAAAGAATAACAGGAAAAGAACAAAACAGGTTGTAAATAGATCTGTTGTGGTCAATAGGGCCAATTCCCAAGTATGTACAGGATTGCAACCTTCCCGTTCAATTTGTCATTGTAGAGCCTAACAAGTCACCTGATTTGAAGAGACTTAGGTCAAATGAATTCTGCACAGAATCTTGCTGAATGGCTGAAAACTTATGAACAGTAACATGAAACATTGGAATCAGAGGGGGTAACATTAGAGTAACCATTAGAATGGCTTTATGTCCATATAGCAATTCCCTTCCTTACAGTGTAATATGCATCCAAGGAACTCTTACCACACATTTGCTGCAATGAACTGTTATAAGTGGTAGTATAAAGCTTTCAAAACCTTCCCATTAATGTCTGAAATAATTTAAAATATTTAGCACCATCTCTACCCATTCCAAATCCTGTAAGATTAAGGCTCTGCTGTTCAGTGTTTAATATTCACAAACTGTATCTGAATTTAAAAGCAGTTCAGCCTTTTTAACTGGAACAACAGACACAACCGTTGCTAACAATCCTCAACTTTAGATTAATGACTTTCATTATCAATTATGTACTTCATTTCATTATATTTATCTCTTGCCTGTTCTAAACTTAAGAGTAGCACTTTAGCCTCACAATAACCCCATAAGGTGACCTAAAGCCATCTAGCAAAAGCCAATCCACCCTTTATGCCACAGGTATAGATGCAACATGTATATTTGCAAAGGCAAACACCATTAAAGCGTCAAGGGGATACTGTGTTTGTAACCACACAGGGACACAAGCCAAGAGAGTCTCAGTTGGTCAGGGCTGTACTACACCTTTTGAAATGTACAATATTTTCACAGCTAAGAGTTCCAAAACATCATCCCCCACCCAGCCATCCAAACCAAATGACCTAAACAGCAGGATCTGCTTGGCTTCCTTAAAAAGTAGCAGGTGGAAGAGAAGAGAGTGCATTCCCTGTACAGTATTTAACAACCGGTGCTGTCCCGATATGGCCGCTAGATGACAGAGATATACAGAAGCCAACGAGAATAAGAACAATCCAGGAAACAATATACCGATAAATGCTAACGAAACTGGAATGGGTGAAAAGAGCCAAGAGGTGTGGAAAGCAGCAAAGGATACACATAACTACAGCATGTACTTTACACAAACAGCATTGGAGTGTTTCCCTGAGGCTGGGAACCTTCGGGTCACACATACAACCCCCCAGCTTTGCGTCCCAGACCAAAGGGCCACCCACCTCGGGACACCTCCATCCATCCCACCCACCCACCGGGCCTCTGTCATCCTGACAACACAAGGTCGCGAAAAGGGGGACCGAGAAGAAAATTAAGCCATCTTGAGTGCACAATCCCTGCGAACAACTTCAGTGAAGGGGGAAAGAAAACGCCTACCGACGGCATAGCAGGAGAGGAAGGGAGAAGAGGCCGTAATGGGAGGGGGTGTCTCCCATCATCCCCAAACCCCTCAGTCTGAAGCTGTGAACGCCTCTCAGTCCACAGGTAAAGCGGGGAGGCACTGAGCTCACAGGCTGGAGGTGGGGGAGAGGGAGAGGGAGGGGAGAACGGAATCCCCTTCCCCTTCGAAGGATATAGGGCAGGACCCCACCCACCGCACCCCCTCCCTCCCCCTAAGCGAGGCTGCTGCACCTGCTGCCAGCCTTCCCCTTCTCGCCGCCCACCCTTCGCAAGCCAGGCCTACCTTGAGCTCCCCGCCCTGCCTTAGACGCCCCCTCCCTCGGCCTCGGCCTCGCCGCAGGCCCAGAAAGAAAAGCCTTCTTTCCCCCACCCCGCCCCCGCGGGCCCAGCTCCTCTACCGAGGCAGCCCGAAGAACACACAGCAAGCTCCTCACCAGCTAGAAAGGCGACGGCTCCTCGCCTAAGATGGCAGCCAGTCCAAGTCCAACCTGAGGCGGCTTCTGTCCAAAGTCAGGCGCGCGAAAGACGCACGCGCACAACAAAGGCGGAAGGAGAAGGCGAAGCGAGCGGGCGCGAGGCAGAAGGCGGGAGCCGGGAGCGACGACGAGGAGGAGGCGTACGCAGACGCAGGAAAAAAACCCGGCGGGACTACAATTCCCAGCATACCGTGAGAGAAGCCCGGCGCGCTCCGACTGGCTCCTCAGAGAGAGAAAGGGCTGGTTCAGTTCCACTCGCCAATGCCTGGCTTTCTCATTGGCTCTCGCTTTTGTTTCTGTTTACTCGAAAAAAGGGGTGGGTTGGATCCAGGGGAAAGGGCTTCTACAGGTTTCGTCCTGTTCTTAAGGTGGTGCCTGAAGGCTGTCAACTCTGCAGTTGAATTTAGCCAATTTCTGTTTCGAACTGTGGGGGAAACCGCTGTGGTTGACACGTGCCCCTGACTCATTTGCAAAAAACAGCAAGAGTCCTGGGGACTTAACACATTTATTATGGCACGAGCTTCTGTGAACCACGGTCCGTGCATCATGTTCTGATTTATAGGGGACCCTGTCCTCAATGTTATGTTCTTTAAGTATTCTATAAAGGTAAAGGACCCCTGACCATTAGGTCCAGTCGTGACCGACTCTGGGGTTGCGGCGCTCATCTCGCTTTATTGGCCGAGGGAGCCGGCGTTTAGCTTCCGGGTCATGTGACCAGCATGACTAAGCCGCTTCTGGCGAACCAGAGCAGTGCACGGAAACGCCGTTTACCTTCCCGCTGGAGCGGTACCTATTTATCTACTTGTACTTTGACATGCTTTCAAACTGCTAGGTTGGCAGGAGTTAAGTATTCTAGAAACACACAATTACAAGTGTATAGAAAACTCTGCAAGCATTAGGCTGACCTTCGCCCAGTTATTTGTTGCTGAGGTGGAAGGTAACACTGTAAGGAATTTATTTTATAGAATTTCCAGTTGGTTTGCTAAGGTCAGCTCTGAAATCTTCATGTCAGGAGTGATTTGTGAGACCACCCCGGGGCTCAGAAAAACCTGCCCTTTTCTGGTATAATGAAACCCAGCTTGCCTTAGCACAGAAGAAGAAGCCAAGTGGCAGTTTGAGGTGGTCTGTGTGAACTAATATAAAAATATAGTTTGATTTTTCTCCTTGTTTAGTTACTTGTCCATTTCTAACTATTTGGATCTGTCATGATGATATCCAAACATAACTACTGTATCTGTGAAGAGGTAATGCAAATGTATAAAATTTACATTAAATGTGTTTCTTACAACATACTGGCCCATAGTCTTTCAGTAGCTATTTCATATCAATTTGTATGGATGAAAGCAGGATTGTGTTGTTCCCCATACAATGGAATGGATATTTGATGGGACCAAACAGGAAAATAGCCTGTTTTATGATTTAAGTTTACATCACTGCCAGAAAGAGTGAAAGGCAGAGGAGTCCTGAACATCCTTCAAAAGCGCAATCTAGTTATAACACAACAGGAAAAAAGCAGTACAAAGAAGAAAAAATGGCTAACTGAAGTAACTGGAAATCTTAAGGACATGGGAGAGAGGGTGTGATATCTCTGGCTTATGTTGTGCAGCTACACCAGTAAAGTTGGCTCTACAAGACAGCGCTACCTTTCCAGGAAGTATCCACCCTGAGAAGTACTGGTGTGCACAGAAAAACAGTTCTGACACATTGATGAATGTCAGTATTTGTAGTGCTAACAAACACCACATCACAAAGTAGCAACAATACTCCTCCTTTGATCAAGCCCTGCACCTGCCATTCTCCAGATCTCTTATATGTACTGCCTCAGTAGTAACTTTAGCACTGTCTATGTGTTGTCTTTTATATGAAGACAAATTCAATGTAGTAATGTAGTGATTAGAACAGATATATTTTATTAGTAAGCAGGCACCACATATATGTACAACATCAATCAACTGACCTTAACATTCTCTGACAATCCTAAGTGACAGACTTGCTCTTAAGATTCTATTCAAATTAAAGATAACAGCAACATCTACAGTATATCCCTACTGTCTGTGTGACAGTTTCTCCTGCAAGTTCCAAAGATCTCTGAAGCCTTGGTAAAACTGAGCAGGGCCTTTAGTGTGGCTGTCCTGTTCTGTGGAACAGCATTCCTGTCAATATATGACAGGTACTCATTATCTTCACTTTCCGGATATAAATTAAGACTTTTTTTCCCCAACAGGCTTTGCCAGCTGGATAAATAGTTCTTTACCAGAAGTATCTACTTTGCTGGGGTTTTAGTTTTGTTTTAAATTTAGTTGCTGTGTATTTATGTTTTCAATAATTTTTAATAATATTATGTGTAAATCACCTTGAAATAGTTGTTTACAAGGTGATTAATAAACGAATAGTGATGGTGGTGGTGGTGGTGGTGGTGATAAGCAGTAACATTGCTGGTTTGGAATTTTTTGTGATTTAGTAACAGGACTTAAATGCCTTATTATATGCTGCTTGCTATTCTTGCATACTAAAACCTCTTCTGCATACACCCAAATTTCTAGGGAATTTTATATGCTGCTTTACTGCCTGTACATTGATTTAAAATGAAACATTCTCTAATAAAAAGATTTGTGTAAGCAGAGCAGACTTTGGACTTTTTCTCTGAAGACGTGTTATTTCTGCATGACAGAGTTTTGCTTTTGTTCTTTACCATGGTGTTCCTGTTGTACCTTCCTGTTTTTCTTTCCTGCTTTTTTTCAGCAGACATCATAAGGAAGAGCAGAGACCTTGAAATTATCCATCAGCAGTTGGCACCTGGACAGTAGATTGAGCAGGCACACAGGTCACCTCAGCGCAGACTGTCTCACTATAGTAAGATGTATTGAGTTTCTATTTACATAACAGTAATTCTGAGTTTCCATTTATGCTTATAAATTAGTGTATGCAAACTTAAGCAAATAATTGTCCTCTTTTTCTTACGATGCTTTCCCTCTTTTTTGGCAATGTGTAGTTTACTCAGTGCTTCCCCCCCGGGGGTACTCAAGGGCATGCAGTACCAGCCCTACTTTTTTTGTTGTTAAAAAGTATGACACTTACTGTAAAAACTTCATGGTGAGTACTAGCACTTAGTTTTCTAGGAAAAAACCACTGGTTGTACTTACACCACACAGTGAGACAAGCACTTCTCACATGCATAAATATTCTCTTTTTTACTTTGCTATTATGATGTGATGCTAACATTTTTAACATAACTTGAGTATGAAAACCACAGTAACTCTACATCATAATATATAGTCAAATAAAATAAAATCATTAAGTATCGCACCTCTGTCAGATTGGTATTTTGATTGGTGCTGCGATCATCTTCTTTACCAATTGTGAGATGGGTGAAGTGTGAAACCTTCCCACACAATATGAAACTTAATTATACTTCATCCTTGATCTGAAGGAGTAACCTCTGTAGCTGTGATTGAATTTGCACTTCCACATGTTCCAGAAGTTGCCAGATGTTCTTGTGCAATTTCTTGATGATTAGACTTGAATAGCAAGATTTCAGTCTGGCAGATTTAATATTATGCTTCCTAAGCGCTTCCTGAAGAACCAGGAACAGAAGCAAATGGATAAAATATTGGCTTTGAACGCAGGAATGTCAGATTCATATTTTCACTCGGTCAATTATTTATGCAGGTGGTTTTGGGTAAGTTTGTTTTGTAGAACTTATCATAATTCAATAACTGATGTAGAGTTGCTATAAAATTAAAAGAGGTAATGACTGCAAAGCACTTTCTATATCAAAATGTTGAAATCTTGATTAATAGAGTGTGCAGTTCTTGTTTACGCTCCCTCTTCTTTGTCTTAGTCCAAACATGTTTGACTTGTAGCAGGGATGTCCAACAGGTCGATCGCGATCTACTGGTAGATCCCCTGGAGGTTTTGGTAGATCACGGTTGATCGCTGGCTCCCTTTCCTCAGCCAAGTTTGAGAACATGCTGCCACCCAAAAGAGTGGGCAGATGCTTATTAACTCTCACATTTTAAATTCCATTTTAGCTACTCCTGCTCACTATCAGATGAGTCAAAAGAGAAAATAATAGGCCTTGCGATACATAGTAAAGCTGTGTATTCAGGACAGAGGTGATTATCATTTCCTGAAGAACAAGTAAGGTGATTGGAAAACATAGGTAATTAGATTGATCTGGTTATTATAAATATGTCAGCAATGATCAGGTCTCCTTCCACAATTTGGAAGATGAACAAAAAAAATCTAGGAGGGGAAATGACACCATCTAGAATCTATGTTGCTTTCAGAGGCCTCAACCAATTAGTAGCGTGCGTTGAATTTTTTCGTAGGGGAACAGTTAGGACCAGACATCAGTTTATGAGGACCATGGGGGGTGGGGAACACTACACGCATGATTTCATGACGGCCTGACATCGTGCATGTGAGCATTGTGCCTCCCTTCCTAAGCCGGGCAGAAGCTTCCTGGGCTTTGGGAAGGAAGCACCAGGCTTTAATACTCTAATTTACCAGGAACATTTAAAGGACTAGCCTGGTCCCCCTAGTCTACTGACTGCACGCCACTGTTACCAATTCATTTGGCAAAGGGCCTAATCCAAGTCCACATGAGAGAACCTCCTTCCTCTCTCAAGGAAAGGAGAAGAGGGATTTCTCATATTGCCCTTCTGAGCTTTGGAGATCTCAGCAATGAGAAACTGCTCATTTCCAATTCCTAGTTGGGAGAAGAGAGAAGGTGGGTCCCCTATGGCATGCTGCTGAGCTTCAGGAGATTCAGAATCACTCTATCCTGAAGCAATATAAATAATACACACACATGTATACACATTTCCAACATGAGATTGAGACCTGATCTTTCCTAGGATAAACCCATCCTTCTAATTATTTATTTCAGAATATTTTTATTCTTCCATTTGATGAAATGGTCATCAAGGCAGCTTGCAATAGATTGTAATAACACACACACACATATACATACATATATATATATATATGTGTGTGTGTGTGTGTGTGTGTATAAACCCACACAACCCAGAAGCCCATTTTTATTAATTGTCTACATTTATATTCCCTCTTTCCTCCAAGGAGCTCAAGACAGCATAGATTATTCTTCCCTCTTCATTTTATTCTCACAACTACCTTGTGAGATCGGCTCAGAGATGGTGATGGACCCATGGTCATGCACTGAGCTTCACTGGAAGCCTGGTCTCCCAGGTCCTCATCTGACAGTCTTACTACACTGGCTTAGCTTCCTGGCTGATGGCAGAGATCAAAATGTGCTTTCCTTTAAGCTTTCCAGCCCTAGGTCAACTGGAAGTTGGAAGAGAGTATCCTTTCTGACAGGTAGGCAAGCAAGGTCCCTGCAATTGTTCCTTCTCTGGTTGATGGATGGGGCCAGATTGCTCTCCCCTTTGACATGATGTACTTCTTGGAAAGGTGTGCAGCCTCCCAGTGGTCCTTGATCCCCTGGTCAATGTCAGATGCTTGAACATGCTTCCCTGTCATCCTCCATGTTCTGTGGCATATGCAGAGGACTTCCAAAAAAGAAGAATGGTGACCACAAATTATGCGAAGCCAGAAATGTGCAGACCTCTGATTTTATGGATGTCTGTGGATCACACTGTCAATTTCATCATGATCATCCTCCCAGCCTAGGATGTTTTGGGCTTACTTAGACCAGTGACGATCTATGCCATGGTCAATATACCATCTGGTCTTAACAGTATTCTGGCTTCTGTCTAGCCTGCACGTCCTCCTGCTTAATACTTTTTATTTATTTAGTAACCACTTGAAATTCCAATGCAGAGCTTTCTTTCCTCCAGTGTTGTGTCTTTTTTATTGTGAACCTGAGAGCAGGGACTGTCTTACTACTGATATAAGATACCCATTTCTTTCATCTCAACCCTGCAACTTCAGCAGTGCTAAGAAGAATAAGTCCCCTTTGAGCATTATTACAGGGTGGGAAAGAGGATGCGAATTTAGAAGTGCAGGCATGGGGGTGGTAGAATAGGAATAGTTTTTTCCTCTCTCTGTCTCATCTTTTTGAAAGCCCACATCACCACACACTCGTGATTAGATAACAGAAGGTACAGAGCCATGTCTCACACTATTTGCTTAATTATCCATGCTTCTAGAATAATTAACAACTATGTTTATACACATCATTCCAGCAACTCCAGTTCTTACGGGACTTTGACCATAAGGCTATTATTCAATATGGTTTTTTTGCCAATTATTTTTATAGATTTTCCAAAGTTTAACCCAATTATACAAATTATACCCAAAATAAAAGCAGTATATTGCTAGTTCAGTGGCTGCTGCTGCTGATTTATAAATGGTACATTAGTCTAACTGAGCTGGCAATATTTTGCCTTTTTATTCTGTGATAGGCCAGTTTATTGATTCCACATATTTGCAAACTACAAACTCTAAAAGTGAAATGTGCTTAACATATTAAGAATTATTCACTATCAAAACTGTACTTGTAACAGAAACTATCTTTTGATTATAAGTTCTGGGGGTGGTGGTACTATTACCACAATGCATTAGATGTGGTTTTATCACATTATTTTTCTCCAGAAATTAATCAAAATAAAGTTCTTATCCAACTGAAAGGCAACTTTTCTTTCCCATGGTTATAGAATACAGTATATCATATCTGCCCTCTGCTGGGGAGTTCCATTTATATGCAAACAGATAACACACTCGGGAGCAAACAACGTACAGTGGTACCTCGGGTTACATACGCTTCAGGTTACATACGCTTCAGGTTACAGACTCTGCTAACCCAGAAATAGTGCTTCAGGTTAAGAACTTTGCTTCAGGATGAGAACAGAAATGAGAACAGTGCTCCGGCGGCTCGGCAGCACCAGGAGGCCCCATTAGCTAAAGTGGAGCTTCAGGTTAAGAACAGTTTCAGGTTAAGAACGGACCTCCAGAACGAATTAAGTACTTAACCTGAGGTACCACTGTATAATGCTGAAAACATATTTATGAACCACATGGGCAGATCCATGCTATACATTTAAAGCAGACTCAATGCATATTTAAAGCACATGACTTCATGCAAGGAAACTCTAGTTTGTTATGGGTGCTGGGAAAGGTAGCTCTGAAAGCTGCAGCATGCAGGGTGGGAAGTTTAATTCTTTTCCTCACCCACTAATCCTGATGCCAATTGCCTCCCTGCCAAACCTCCATGGGAACTTTCCTTCCGAAGCTAATAGCAGCAAATGTGGGAGGCGGGATTTCATTGGGATCGCAGCCGAGAAGAAAATGGCAAATGCTCCCTCCCCATTAGCTGTGGCCCTCATGTCAATCAGGCCCTATCCACCTGCTATTAATGTATAGATTATCTATGAGCAGATTAACACAAGGCTTGCACTTGCCCACCTGTTTAGGAAATTATGCTTGTAAGAAGCAACCATTAAATTGAGCAGATAAGTGTGGATATTGCTGTAAACTGGGATGGAAGGGAATACTCTAGATGTCATCTGAGGGGTCTCTCAGGGCCCTGCAATTCTTGGTTGTAAGACTGAGCTTTGTTCAGAAGAGGGTTAATAGGAACATGCACAACAAACAGAGATTGGTTTACGGTCACAGTGCAGTGATCAATAAGTCATGTCTTCCCCAAAGAATCCTGGAAATGTAGTTTGTTAAGGGTGTTGAGAGTTGTTAGGAGGATCCTGTTCCCCAAAGAGAGCTATAATTCCCAAAATGGTTTAGCAATTAATCCCTTTTCCCAAGGTCCTCTTAGAATTGAAGCAGGGACAGAGATAATGTATCCAAACAATTCCCAGCTTCCATAACAATGTATGCTTCCCAAGATTCTTGGCCGTTAAAAATGGTTTAATACTGCTTTCAGTGTATAGTGCAGACAGGGCCCCTATATGTCAGAAATAAAGTTTCTGTCCTAGCCACACCTTCTCAGTGGCATGATATTTTTATGGGGATGGAATGATTTGTGTGTTTTTACAGAATCTTCAAGGGAACCACCCTCCCTTGCCATCCGAAGTGGTTTCGTCCAGAAAAAGGTTTGCAGCAAAGTGAGAAATCGGCCTAAAAAATAGAAACTAAGGGAACCACAGTAATCACCCAACTAGAAGAGAGATTCAAAAGCCTTTCTAATAATTTTATTGGGACGGGGGGGGGGAGCTGTTATCCTCACGTTTCTACTCCCCTCGTGGTTATCTCCAGATAAGCACAGCTCGCGTAAAAAGAGAAAATGTGATGGCAAAACAAAATTAAATAAATATAAATCCAGCCAATATAAACACATGGTGCATTACTTAACTGCCTTGGCTTGATGTGCCTGCATGGGATTGGTTGTTCCAGGGGGCAGTAAATGGACTCATGATCTGAGCTGGCAACCTGCACATTACCAGCAAGTAGGAGACATAAACGATTACGCTAAAAGAGCCTCTAGTGTTTAAGGTACAATGCAGTATAGCAGACATATAGAACCTAGTGTCGTGGTAAATATCTCTATTACAGGACTCAGCATGATCCCACCAGGGATTGCTATTGCATTTGTGGCTTAGTGCAGGACAAAAGGGCTGAGCAAACAAAGCACATTGTTATTGTACATGTGAACATAAATATAAGTGACTCATATATAAAATGTGGGAGGGCAAAGCTGAGCCTGGTATATTAAGAACAGTTGTGGAGTGACAAATGTGCTCAAAACCATGATCTTATACATATTTCCTGGATTGCATCCTTCTTTGTTCTCTTTAGTTTAGTCCCAGGAACTGTTCTGGGCTTGACAATCACTGCATCTCACTGTTTTCATAATGCTGTAAAATGTTTTCATAATGCTGGAGATCTTGATGTTGTCCCTAGACGTGTTGTAATCCAGGGCACATTTACTTCCAAATAAATATACACATCACTGAGATGCACAGAAAAGAAACCATAAAGCACAACTTCTGTCAATCACTCTACTACCAAGACAGAGGAAGCTGTGCCTTGTGAATATTCCCACTTCCCTTAAAAAAAACACCATAGTTCTTTTGGGGACTGAATCTGGGAATCTTAGACCATGATAATTCATGGGAAACATATGGGCACAGGCCATGAAAACTTCAAAAGGTAAAAAAGGGCATCTTTCACTGTGTTAGCAAAATTTTATTTTTAACTGGATTTCTTTGATCATTCAAAGGCAAGTCTCTGGGCTGGGTTCACTAAATCAAACAAACAGCACTTCAAAGCTATCACTGATGTGACGGTCTGTCTCTCTTCTCAAAGCTGCACGCCTTGATCAATCAAGGATCACAGCAAAAGTTGGGTAGGATGGGCTGCAGTTCAGCAGCAGACCACCTGCTTTGCCAGGACTGATTGAATACATTTTGGTTCCTGAGGCAAACCACAAAATGGCACTCCTCCTCCCCACCAGGGATGAAGTGGTGAGTGAAAATCTAAATCAGGAGCAGAGATGATCGAATAAAGATCTATGCTGGGATGTGTTGTCCCTGCGGATCCTGCCATCCAAGGGGGTTGCCTCACCTTGTCTCATGACTGGGCCGGCCCTGAGCTCTGCATATCTGCTCCAATTCCTGGCATCTCCAGGTGAGACTGAGCAAAAGATTCCTGCATTGCAGGGGGTTCAGTTGTTTCCCAAACTTGGGTCTCCAGCTGCTTTTGGACTACAGTTCCACTCATCCCTGACCACTGGTCCTGCGAGCTAGGGATGATGGGAGTTGGGTCTGCAGCTGTTTTCGGAGTGCAAATTTGGGAAACACTGAGTGACCCTTGTGGTCCCTTCCAACTTTACAGCTCCATGGTCTGAAACCCATTTCGTCTCCTCTGTCGCTGGATCTACTCTCCTACTTCTCACCGCGGCTACCTCGGGAAATCCCTTTCTCGACCTCTGAAAACTGGAGGCTGCCTATGCATAGCTGTCAACGTTTCCCTTTTTTTTAAGGGAAATTCCCTTATTCCGAATAGGATTCCTCGCAAGAAAAGGGAAAAGTTGACAGCTGTGTGCCTATGCCCTGGAAGGAGAGGCACCCCGAAATAAAAGCACAGCTGAAACCCAAGGAGGCGGAGGCGCAAGAGCCGTTCCCCTCTCCCTCCGCCCACCGGCGCGGAATCCCCGATCCAAGGCCCGGCGAGCCGCCGCCGCCGCCGCCGCCGCGCGCTTCTTGTTCCTCTGCGCATCCCGAGGCCGCGCCCCCTCCGTGCCCTACAAGGGGATTGGTGGAGGCGGCCTCGTACATTTGTCAACCCGGGCGAGTCTATTTAAAGCCTGCATTTTGCCGCCAGTGGCTTCTCGCCGCCTCTCGCCTCTCGCTCCCGCGCCCCTCCAGCCGCAGAAGCGCCAGCATGTCCGACAAGCTGCCCTACAAAGTTGGTAAGGGAGCCTCGTTGCATGTTTTTGTGGGTTTTGATTGCTCTCTGTGCTTAAGGCCTGCAGAGAGCGAGCGAGCGAGAAAACTAGCGTGCTCCCGGTTTTCATCGGGGGTGGCTGGGCCTGGAATGGTGCGTTTTCTACCATGTTTCCCCCTCTCTCTTTTCTTCGTCGTGATGTTTTATAGGCAAATGAATTTTTTTGCACCGTTTTCATTGTTCTCGCTCCACTCCCGCAACCATTTTTTTTAAAAAGTAGAATTTGCAAATATTAATAATGATGATGCTAAATGTTATCCCCCCCCCTAGCCCAGTTCTGGTGTGCAGGGAGGGCTTATTTTTTCTCTCCTTCCCGTAGTCCAAAATGGACTTTGGCTTAGCTGGGCTAGCGTGTAATTTCTGAGCAAACTCCATGTGGGCTCAGGAGAAAGGTCTGCTTCTGGGAAATGTAGTCCCTCTGATCATTCGGCAGAAGGTTTGTTTCCTGGTCGTGGAGCCGCGAGGACTGCATTTCCCAGAATGCTCTCGGGGACCATGCTGTCAAGCCGTCGCTGCTGCTTCCTTGCGTTAAGCACGCTGCAGGTTTCTATGAATCGCCCCTGCTTAGGGAGAAGCCTGACTATTTTGAAATACGTGGGTAGATCCGTCAGAGATAGAAGGGATTTTTGGAATTGGATAAGAACCCCACCCCGTTTCTCCAGTCGCGTACAATAAAATGTTTCGCAACGTCATAATCTGCTACCTTTGCAGAAGGAGCTTAAAACTAGGGCAGAGGCTTAAAGGGAAAGTTGTGCAATCGTATGACTACGTCAGAATATCAGGCTTTGATATACGTTAAGAAGATTCCCCCCCCCCCCCATTTCTTTATAGTTTTAGTTTGGGCTTTTCCCATCTTGGCCTCTTCTAGAGATGCTTAGTGTATGATCTGAAGACATCTGAAACAATGATCGACAGGCAGAATGCCTGTCATGTGCTTAAATGAGAATGAAAAATGAAGCTATTGATGTACTGAGAAAATGTGGAAAAAATCTCTAGGTTTCACCATGCAAATCACTGGGATTCACTGTAGCGGGTCACCAAAAGATTTTGCTACTCAGTTACAAGAACCTGACGTGTGCTAAAGTTAGCTATCTTATACCAAAGTGTGAAGATCTTAAAACTGCCCTTTCTCTATTTTCCATTCAATTATTGAAGTATCTGAAGTTTGGGTAGGGCAGGGGGGAAAACAAGACATCCCAGTTCTATTCAAGGTTAATGCTGGCATCCCAGTTACCCATTAAGCGGTTTGCATCAGCACTTTTGTTTCTCTGCCACTTCAAAGGCTTCATGTCACTTACCTGATGCAACATTTGTCAGTCTTTTCTGGGTTCATTCCCACAAGAGTCTCTCATAAGATTATGACACACAGGTAAGGTAAAGGTATAGGACCCCTGGATGCTTAAGTCCACTCAAAGGTGACTAAGGGGTGTGGCGTTCATCTCACTTCAGGCCTAGAGAGCCAGCATTTGTCCACAGACAGTTTTCCGGGACATGTGGCCAGCATGACTAAACCGCTTCTGTTGCATCGGAACACTGTGATGGAAGCCAGAGCGCACAGAAATGACGTTTACCTTCCCGCCGCAGCGGTACCTATTTATCTACTTGCACTGGTATGCTTTTGAAGTGCTAGGTTGGCAAAAGCTGGGGCAGAGCAACAGGAGCTCACTCTGTTGTGGGGATTCGAACTGCCAACCTTCCAATCAGTCAGGACCCCACTGTTTTTGGCCTTTGGTTTTGTGGCTTGGTCTAGCAGAAACAGGCACAGACAGAACCCTCTGAACTACAAAGGGCAGCAAATGCTGCTGAGAAGACAAAATTATTTAGGTTAATGAAAGACCTATTTAGGTTAATGAAATACTAGTAAGTGCTTTCAGAAGACAACAAAGGTATTAACAGTGCCAAATCCTGCCTAAGGTTCTTTCATATGTTGTGATGAAATAGTGCCCAGTGGGATGGGTCAAAGTCGCAGATCATAGTGGGGCTGAAATTTGTCCACTGCCTCCCCCTACCCTCACCACCTACTCAAACCTTTGTTTCCTTAACATTTGAGTGCCCATTTATTCAACCACCTTGGTGAAGTCTTGGCTTATGGTTGCCAATTCTACTTACTGAATTATAGTTACTAGAAATCACTGCAAAGTGTGCTTGCCCTACTATACCATGGGGGTTTTTTTGTTTTTGTTATATCCCTCCCATCTTTAGTTCTAGCATCTGATGCAGCAATTTGCTAATGTCAAATTTATAGGGTGCTGTGAAGCTCCTGAGTAGCACTTCTGCAGGAGGAAAAGTTGACATTGCCATGCACATTCTTTTAAGAACATTCTTTTCAGGGTTTGTGGGTGGCGCTGTGGGTTAAACCCCTGAGCCTAGGGCTTGCCGATCAGAAGGTCGGTGGTTCGAATCCCAGCGACGGAGTGAGCTCCCATTGCTCGGTCCCTGCTCCTGCCAACCTAGCAGTTCGAAAGCACATCAAAGTGCAAGTAGATAAATAGGTACTGCTCCGGCGGGATCGTGAACGGCGTTTCCATGCACTGCTCTGGTTTACCAGAAGCGGCTTAGTCATGCTGGCCACATGACCCGGAAGCTGTATGCCAACTCCCTCGGCCAATAAAGCGAGATGAGCGCTGCAACCCCAGAGTCATCCGCAACTGGACCTAATGGTCAGGGGTCCCTTTACCTTTTATGTCTCCTTAGAACTAAGTCCCACTGATTCCGGTGGAGCTTCTTCCCAGGTCTGCAGCTTTACTAGATCCAGATCAGAGGTCCTTCTAGCTAGTATTTTGTTTTCAACAATAGCCAAGCGGGTGCCTCTACAAAGACAACAGGCTGGATACCTTGAACTTGGACAGTAGACAGGACCAAAGGAAGTAGATGTGCACTCAAGATCTCTGCAGAAAAGAAATATGTGGGGTAACTTTATGAGCTCTTACTTGCAGTGCACATATTCTTCTCTTCACTCTTTTGGATCATGTAGGCACCAAGGTGTTTTAGTGCTGCAGATCTATATGGTCCTGGCCACACAGAGTGACAGTAAAATGTATGCCCACCAGTGTCAATGATGGATGTATCATACTACCTTTAGCTTTTTTAGGAGCCAGCTTTTATTGTGGATGTTTGCACCTGAAAGGCTTTAAAATGGTATCTTCTTCATATATTTTATGAGATTTCTCTGAATATTTGTTTCCTGAGCTCTGTTGGCTGGCTGTTCCCTTCTTTTTAAAAAAGATTTTTAAAGATCTAAGTGCTTGGCAAATGAGTTTTCCTGTATTTTCTGCAAGATTAGCATGTGGTGTAATACAAGCTAAGTGATGCTGTGTCATAAAGGTTTAATGTACCAATGTTTGGGAAATGAAAGCTATATTTAGTTGCAAAGAACTTATGGCTGGGGTTTATCTTGTTCTTAGTTCTTTTAGAGCTGACAAATGCCCTCAGTCTTAAATGTATTCCTTGCAGAATGTTGCAGTTCCATGGAATGGTTCTCCCTTGGCCCTTATTCCAGAAGCACCTTGCTTCAAAGACTTTACAGAAGAAATTGCCTGGAAATGATGGTTTCTTGTAACTTAGAGAACATTACACCTAAATCGGATTACCTGTATATGATTTTTTATTTTTTATTATTTGTAAAATGGAGGTAGAATTTAATAAATCTCTTAGCATAGTAATACACAGTGTATGCATAAGCTCTTAACCAAAAGGTTTCAAGAGAAAATGAAGACTACTGCTCCTCTCTCCCAGCTGCTGCCAAATGTCTCTCTTGATAGCTTCATAGCAGTTGTGCTGCTGCTGCTGCTGCTGCTGCTGCTAGTGGAGAACCTGAATGAATTACAGTTTCATGAATGCCTGTTCCAACCACCTGTTGCTCCTTATGCTTATAGCTGACATCAGCCTTGCAGAATGGGGTCGCAAGGCCCTTGAAATTGCTGAGAATGAGATGCCAGGGTTGATGAAGATGCGGGAGATGTACTCTGCAGCAAAGCCACTGAAAGGTGCTCGGATTGCTGGCTGCCTACACATGACTGTTCAGACTGCAATTCTGATTGAAACTCTGGTGGCGCTGGGTGCGGAGGTAAGCATGTTTTGGATTCCTTCTTTAAGGAAGAGAGAGAAAGAAGGAACCTCATTGTTGTTGGCTAAAGTGGAACAAAATGGCCCAGACAGTGTTTGTTCAATGTTTTTAAGAGAAATGGCAGAATTAAAAACAAAACAAAACACTTGAACTTGTTCTGAAAATTAACTTGTGTTTCCCTTAGTAAAGAGGACTACTGACCCATACCAAATGGAGCATTTTCATGCATCACGTTTAAGTAAAGCCACAGACTCTGAACACAGGTCTTTTGTAGGTATGGTTAGCCATTAAGAGTCAAAGTATAGTTGGAGTTGTGTAGCTGTTGAATAAATAGCCAGTGCAAGAGCCAGATCAGTACTGTGGCATGTGGGTTTTTTTTTTGTTGGTTTTTAAAAACTTTTTGCCCCTCCTGCAGCTCCAATCCCACTTTTGGGCTTCTTCTGCCCTGGCTATTTGTTAAACAAAAAAACAGGTGGACCAATTTGGCAGCCTCTAGATGTTGATTGGCTGCAGTTCCCATCATTCTTGACGATAGGGTGGCTGGGGTGAGTTGGAGTTGGAGTATGACAACTGGAGGGCACCAGGTTAGGCAAGGCTGAGCTAGGCAATATTGAACACTTGGAGTTTGTTCCTGATCATGCTTCAGAGCAGTCATAGTTGGCACTGAGGAAGCACATTGGGGAGTACCTCATTAGAGCAGCAGCGCTGGCTATAGGGATTTAGACCTGTTTTTCTGGTGTAATGGAAGTTCCATCTCCCATAAGGATTCTAGCAGTGGTAAGAATAGATTTTCCTCCCCACCTGAAGTGTAGGCTGAGAGCCAGCATTAGTCATTAGACACATTGAAATTGAAGACATTGTGGTCATTGATTCCAATAGGTCTGCTATGAGTTTGACTTTGAATACCACCCGCAGTTTGCTGGGGGATTGCATGTGATTGAGCATTCCATTCACCTGCAACCCAGTTTGTGCAGAGGTATATTTAGATGCCAACTTCCCAGTATTGCTATCATGTTATTGACTGCCCACTCAACCCAAGAAGAAGCAAATCCGAAAAAGGACATAGAATTCAATTTCATATCAGGTTAATAAAATCTTGATTGGACCTTGAAAAGGGGGGGGGAACATCCACATTGTAACATTGTAAGTTAGCTCTATTCAAAACTTCAGTTACATCCTGATATTTAGCAGATGCATTTTAGAAAGGTTTTCTTTCGATGCGGGTAATGGTTCCCAAATCTGATTAAGCCTCAATTTGTAAATAATTGTTTCCTGTTTCTTTAAACTGTTTTGCCTTTTAAACGAAACATGCAACAGCTAGCTTCAGGGAAGTAGAAAGGGTTTGGACTTGCTTTGTTATCTCTGTAGAGGAAGGTGGGGAAAAACCCCTTATGGTTTCTGGATATATTTTGATTTCTTTTGCAGGTGCAGTGGTCCAGCTGCAATATTTTCTCCACCCAGGATCATGCTGCTGCAGCTATTGCCAAAACCGGGGTTCCTGGTAATATGTTGCTTTGATAACACTTTAACTCATGTCTGTTTCTTTTGCTCGGTCCAGCCCAATGACTATCAAAGAACGTAGCGTAGAGGGGTGAATTTGCCAGGCTAGCACCAGAGCAGAAGAAATGCGCCCGAGAGTGATTTCTCATTCTGAATGCAGTGCTGACAAGGCAAAATTCTTTTGGTGTATCATCCTAGCAAAGAAAAACTGTTGGTGAGAAATGGCTAAGCAGGCTGCTGCTTATAGTTCATCAAAAAGAATGAAAACGTACATCGGGGTAGGGAATCTGCAGCCCAGGAACCAAATGCAGCCCTTGGGGCCTCGCCAACTGGCCCTAAGACTCTCCCCACTGCTACACCCCTCACTGACCCAATTCAACCCCCAAGTATTTTGCCTGGCTGGAGTGTGTCTTGGACTCTGATAATGACTTATTTGCCAGGATGGAGGACAGAGGTGGTGTGTGTGTGTGTGTCTGTAGAAACTAGCCTACTGTACAAAGGTAAAATTTACACTCATTGCTTCCCCACTGTTGCCCTGCCTACCACTGGCAAGTGGTCCTTGGAAGGTTGCTCAGAAGGAAATGCATCCCTAGCGGTGAAAAATGTTCCTCACTCTTGATGTAGGTCAGGGGTCGGCAAAGTTTTTGTGGCTTGGACCGGTTCACGGTCCTGCAGACGCTGCGGTGGGCCGGAGTGTGTGCATGCACTCATACGCAAGCACTATTTCCTGCGCTCCTTCCGGCGTGGAGAAGGTGTGCGCGGCTTCCCATTGGCTGCAGGAGCTTCCTGCAGCCAATGGGAAGCCAGCCAGCATCGTGGAAGGCAGTCCCCGCTCTGCTCCAGGCCGGTTTAGCGCGGTGCACAGGAGCTGACTGAGCGGGCAGTGGGGGTCCATGGTCCAGTTAAATGACCCCCATGGGCCTTAGGTTGCCGACCCCTGATGTAGGTTATAAGCTGGAGGATAAAAGTAGCTCACTAAGTACAGAAAGCTTACCCTAAGGAGTATGCTACTCTTGACGATGCAGTGTTGTGGCTTTGAAGATTGTACATTCTGTTTAGGAGTCCTGGGTCCTGACTATTTGCTTGAATATACTGTATAGTGAGAACCCCCTGCTCCCTCTTTGAATGATCTCATTGTATGAAGTCTACTTAACTGTTGATATCTGTTACTGGATAGGGGCTTAGGTAAAGTGGTCTGATGTTTTCTAGTGCTGCATGTTGGACAATAAGAACACGTCAACATATTTAAGGATATCTTGGGAATTTCAGCAGGTGCATCTTTGCTTACTCTTGCAAGAGAGTGTCAGATTTCACTTGTCCAAATTGCCTCTTCTATACAACCAAGAAATGTACAATCCTCCATCCTAGATGGAGACTTATGAGAAATGGAGAAATTCCAGATATCTAGTTGCTCCCTATTCAGTAGTAGGTGCAGCAGCTTTTATTTTTTTTAAAAAAAGAAAATTATGATCCTCCCCAATTCTAATTTGGTTGCTTAAGGCTACAATCCTTAACACACTTTCTAGGAAATAAATCCTACTGATCCCAATGAAACCTTCAAGTAAACATGGTTAGGATTGTACTGCAAATTAGTAATGACTTAAGTCTCACAGGTTTAAATTGGGATAAAATATGTCTTTCTGGGATCTAACCTGCTGATTATGCATCCTATGGGCTTCGTTATAGGCCTCAAAATGTGGAAACATGTGCATCACACCAAAACTAGCAAATTCATTGCAGCATAAGTTGGTGAACCAGACTCTAGTCCATAAGAAGTTGTAAGGCCACAATACAATTGTTTAGTTTTCAAGTTGCTGCAAGACTTTTGTTGTGTTTGCTGCAACAGGCTTAGGCATGGCTGCTAGTCTGGAAGATGTCAAGGCATGTATTTTGGAGGATGAACACTCTGCCTGCAGAAGTGTGAGTCTTAAGAGTTGACGTGTGGAGTGAGGAAAGCCAAAGTCAACAATGCTCAATAGCTCTGTATATCATTTTCATGGAAAAGCTGAGATCTTCTTTAGTTGAAGATAACATAGCCAATCTGCCCCTACCTCCTTCACACCTTTCCTCCAAACCACACCTTTTCCCATGAAGCCTTAATCTTCATACCTGCTGATGCTACACCTAAGTAAGTGTTTATGAAATTTAAGTATATGTACTGCCCCTCTCTCTGGTGCCTCCACAATGCCAATTTAGATTGCAAGCTACTCAGGGCATGGACCTCTCTTTCTGTTGCTCTGTGACAGTATGGCATGAAGAGCACCAGCGTGTGAATGTATAAGAAACTGATGGATTCTGATTAAGGTCTTTAATGTGCATGATTAAGCGGTAAACTCTGCTTCCCTGTTCAGCTGTAATTATTTTGATTTCCAGTTGTTTATGCAGAGATGAGTTTCTTGTTGCTTCAAGGGAAGATTGCTGATACAACTATCAGGATAGCACATCTTTTCATTTAGCTCTTGAAACTGCATTCAGTTGAGTGTAGCTGACTTGACTATTAACTTAAGTCTTTTAATTACCTTTCTGTTTAATTACCTCTGTGTTTTAATTGCCTCTCTGTTTTGACTTGTGCCTAGTGTTTGCTTGGAAGGGAGAAACAGATGAGGAATACATATGGTGCATTGAGCAGACCCTCTATTTTAAGGATGGGCAGCCCTTGAACATGATTCTTGACGATGGTGGAGACCTCACCAACTTGGTCCACACAAAATATCCACAGCTCTTGAAAGGTAATTCTATGTGGTCTTGCATAAACATTTAAAATATGTAAAGTGCAATGTAAGAATGAAGGAAGCTGCTCTCCCGGTATGCCCCACGGAGAGCCTCAGGGTCCATAAATAGCAACACCCTAGTGGTCCCGGGTCCTAAGGAAGTTAGATTAGCTTCAACCAGAGCCAGGGCCTTTTCAACACTGGCTCCGGCCTGGTGGAAAGCTCTGCCTCACGAGACCAGGGCCCTGCAGGATCTGATTTCTTTCCGCAGGGCCTGTAAGACAGAGTTGTTCCACCTGGCCTTTGGCTTGGAGCCAATTTGATTCCCTCCCCCTCTTTCTTTTTTCTTTTTCCTTTTTCCTTTCTCCTCCTGTGATGAGGCTGCATTTTAATATTTTAATGTTGTATTTAAGTTGTATTCATTCAACTTGTTTTTATTATTGCTTGTTAGCTGCCTGAGCCCGGCCTTGGCTGGGGAGGGCGGGGTATAAATAAAATTATATTGTCTAAACTGACTGGCAGTGACCCCAGGGTTTCAGACAGGGAACATTGCCAACCCTATCTGGAGGTGACACCTTCAGCATGCAAAGCACTTACACTACCACTGAGCTGTTGTCCTTCCTCCTTGAAAGTCCCTAGATAGTTCCCTTCCACTATATCATGCACATAATGCAATGTGATTGAGGAAAGCTATCCAAACGCACTGTGTGCACTGACCTAATTAGCAATTCTTTCCACTTGAAATTGGTAGAAAAGGCTATACAAATCATGCCATCATGCATACGGGCCTCCAGGGAGGGAGTCCACATGATACTGCTTCAGGTGTATGGTGGGGTGGATGTGTTCATGCTACAGCACCACTGAGTCACTATCGAGGTAAGTATCTGAACTATCTTGGCAAGTAAAGAGAAGCCCTTCCTACACTTGCCTGCTTCTTGTAAGATTTTGCAGACCAGTAACTTCTGGGTGCTTTGTAGCATGGCTGGGTTAATCTTAACTATGGTTTGCTGAAGCAAGCCAACGCTATGAACTGTACTTTGGAGCAGACTTGTTTCAACAATTCATAGTTAAGCCTACCCACAGTTTGTCTAGGTCTGGATGCTTCAGCAAGCTGCAGTTAATCTAAACAGAAATTAAAGGTTCCAAAACTTCTCTTCTTCAATGCTCCTGAGGCACACAAAGAGGTGTGAGTCCCTTCCAGTAGCAATAAACAATGTAAAAACATTGTCTATTAAGCCATTACTTTAATAGATGAATTACTAAAGAAATGAAACTCGGACAAAAACATGCTGGCTAAATTGAGCTAGACTGGATACTGTACTCATCATCTGCTAAGCAGAGAATTCAGTGTTTCTGGGTACCCCCACTCACCCTCCTGCCAGTATAACTTGCACATGCTTTCTGCCTTCATGCCTTAACCTACAGAAACCTGTAAGAATAAATGCTGAGATTCTCAAAATATGAGGCAGCCTACCTACCCAGTTTCTGTGATTGTACAGTGGTATAGCAGAAGGATTCACCCTTTAGGATTTTAGTCTGGAGGAAACTGCCTTGTTAGATCAAAATCAATGGATCTTCTTATCTGTATATTTTAGTTACAGTACTTTAAGTGCTGCTGCCGTGGACTTTTTGTGTTTGTGCTAAGGGGCAAAAGCTTTTGGAAACACCAGACAGACAACATACAGCCAGGAAGTTGCTTGCGTCAAATGGTTGTGTGCTGCGTTTTAGTACCTTTATGAAATCCACCCTCCTGTGTTATTTTCCTTGAAAGAAGAGGCATGTGCTAACTTTGCATATATAAAGCTATGTAAGGAACAAGGTGTTAGGTTGTGGGTGAACATATCAGACGACACAGCGATTCTTCAAACAGCTCTTGTTTATTCACAGGCCAGAATTGAACTGAACTGAAGGGTTCAGCCAGCCTGCTTATATAGAGCTCCAGTACAACGTAACTGTAACAATTTTCTAAAACTATCCAATCACTGAACGTCACTTTCGATCCCTTATTTGCATAACTATCTACAGTATCCCCCTGCTGGCCCAGGGTGAGAACTTCAGTACATAACACAAGGCATGGTTAAGATTAAACCAGCATTATTACCAAGCCCCAAGAAGTTACTAGCCTGCAAAATCTTATGAGGAAGATGAACAAGCATGATAGTAAAAAAGAAGAAGAGGTTGCAGGCTAGAATTGCAACTATGCCTTTTGCACTTTCCTCTTCTCCTGCCACCCTGCCTGCCTTCCCTCTTCTTCCCACTCAACACCAAGCCATAGAGCAGAAGTGGGCGCCTCCCCCCCCACTTTTAAACATTTTCCTGCAAACAGTGCCACCTGAGCAAGCCCCACCCTCTGCCCAGACTGTTTTGGGGCCTGTGCAGAGTTTGCATGCAATGGAGAAGAGAGCAGAATTGTCCCTAGTGGATTTTTAAGCCCTGTTGGCAGGATGTAAGTTTCAACAAAAGAGAAATTCACATATAGCTAGGCGGATTTTTTAAAAAGGTGAAAAACGAGTAGCCGTGAGCCCTACTGAAAAGTGATTTTTGCAAAAGGCCCACTAGAGGGGGGCATTGCACTTTACACTGCGTTGGGAGCTGAATTCCCCCACCCACTTTGATGGTAACAAAGTAAAAACATGCTGGAAAATATTTTAAAGTAATATCTGTTTCAACAGAGCAGGGACCATATGACTGTTGGCTAAAGGGCAAAATTCTCCCCATCACATGTCATGGAATGATTAGGGTCCATCCATAGATTTGTCTCTCCATGTAATCTGCTACTGATTGGCTGCATGTGACCATACTGTGCTCCTCTCTCCATCTCATGATCTGCTGCCAATTCCCATTATTTAATAAGACACCAGTGTTTTCTACATTTATATTATTAGATTCATATGCTCCCGCCCTTCAGCGTTAAAAGTTCTGAAAGCAGCCTCTCAAACATCTTGAAGGATGCTGATTCATTCCAATCCAGTTTCAGGCCTGGGCTTGGCATGGAAAGAACCTTAGTCCCACCCTGGCGGATGGCTTAAGCCATGGAATGGATTTGGTGTGTGACCCTGTTAGTTTGCCTGGATCTCAAAGTGACTTCCCGTGTCAGTGAATATAGTATTTCTCTAGGTTTCCTGGTAGGATTGGCTAAGAAGCAGCGTTTCCAAAGAAAGAGGAGAGGGAATTTTAGACACACAGGGAGACACATTTAAATTTCCCTTGGTTAATTGTTATTAATTTAAGGCTGTTTTATACCGCTTAATACTTGCACTCGTGTATGTGTGTACACTGAGATAAAGATAACATATACCATATACTCTATCTTTTGTATTTGCGGGTGTTGATGATGAGACCAGGAAGCATTAGGATGCTTCTGGCATGTCCCCGTAACTCCTCCTCTCTGGCCATTCTGACATTTGTTGGGTCATTGGAGAGAAGTGAATGACATTGAGGAAGTCCCTGCAATTGCACAAAAGGGAAGGAATTCAACATTGTGCTCTTCCAGTGTTCCATCAGCAGAAGCATTTCATCTTGTCAGAAGGAATTATCCTCCTCTTCACTCTGTGTACTGTTCTAGGGTTTCTCTTGACCTCCCCAAGCCAATTTTGGGGAGCCTGATTGGGGTGGGGGTGTGAATCCCTGTTGCTAAAGCAGAAATCATTGCACAGGGCTTCTGTTGATGGGACTCATTAGGTGAATCCCACCCTAAGTCTTTTTGTTCATTTCTTTTGATCTCACTCCTCACTCCACCCCCAGCAGTCTCAGACAATTGGGCTGCTCATGATGCTAATGGAAGGTGCTTTGTTAGTTTAGTCTCTTAAAAACCTTAAGCTCGTTTTCCATCCTTCTCTGTCTATTGAAGATTATATCTGTTCTTTTAAGGGCCCTTTCAGATGCCAATCTTCATCCAGCCACTAGATGGTATTTATGGTCTCTCCCATTTCGAAGGATCCAAGTGTTTGTGTCTTACATTAATCCTGCCAATATAGGTGAAGATACTCTCTGACCTCTGAAGGACTACCTGGTTTTTCTCAAACATCGTGATCCTTGATGGCGAGCATTGCTTGCAGATGGAAATAATCTATTAAATGCAACTCATCCACTAAAATGCCAACAGGACTGCACTTCCGTGGGCGTTTTCTTTGCCTAGACCAACCAGCCTCTTCCTTTCCACTTCTCTGAGGCCCTCTCCTCTGTTTGGTTTAATCCATGGGTTGCTAGTGCAGTACCTGTGGGCTTATCCATTCAGTAGAAAACATTCTTGTTAAATGAGTTTCATAAATTTTCTGTCACTGACCCCCCCAAATCTCTTGGAGACACTTGTGGAATTGGCAGTAATTCCTGTTTTTTCATTTGCACATGAAGCTGCGCATTAACCTTTGTAGTAGTCATTTTGTTATTTTTAGTAAGCGCCATGTTGTAAATCTTTGTTTTTGTTAATGAGCTGCACAAATTTTAAGGTTACAGGCGATTTCAGACTTGGCATCTCCCCTGCAAGAAACAGGGGGAGGCCTGGGCCATCTCAGTTATGCATGCGTGCATCCCGGCCCTTCACCTCCTTCTGCAACTGTAATTGGATAACTACCAGCTGCCTTTTCCAGAAACAAATACTTAAGCATGACTGTGTTGTAAACAAGTTAAAGAGCCATTAGGGGAGGGTAGCATTTTTATGCAATACTATCCACTGGCCACTTTCTGTTCTGCTAGGCTGCATTCATGTGACTTTTCCCTAACTGTTAAGTTCCCGTATTATATTTGAGCTTTCATGCCATGTAAAAGTCAGTTCTGGAACTATAGTACAGGTTTAGTGCTTACTTCCATTTTACTTGCTTCCAGAAGACATCCATTTGCAAATAATATGGAAATGGGTGCTAAACTTGTACTATATTCCACTATAGTTCCAGAAGTGGCTGTTACATTGCAAGAAAGCTCAAATATAATACAGGAACCTAGCAGTCAGGAAAATGTTGTGGAAGTAGAATAAATGGCCATTTGAATGCAGCCTTATTAATCTGCTGTATTGCATCATAGGATTCTTTTCAGAAAAGCAGTTCACTGAACATCGCCTCTCCTGTTCTGCTGGCCTTGTGTCACAAGTCCTAGTTTCATCCTGATTTGTTCCTTTCCCCTCTGTTTTGGTCCTTCTACCTTGTGAAGTAGGGAGGGATGTCAAGCTACATAATGAGACTCATACTGCAAGCATGGAAAACCTAGTGGTCCTTCAGATGCTGTTGGATGATGGCTTCCATCAGCCCCGGTCAGCATGGCCAGTTGTAGTCCAGCCACATGGAGGTCCACAGGTCCCCCCAACCAAAGTCCAGGACTACCATGTCAACTGACAGTGGGTCTCTAAGGTCTCATGCAGAGGTCTTTCCCAGCCATGCCACCTAAGGTCATATTGAACTGGAAATGCTAGAGGAATGAATTGCCCCAGTGAGGCTGCCCTTTCAGCTGTGTTGTGAAAGCCTGTTGTCAAAATATTATTGTATACGAGTTAGGATACTGTGGTTCATGTTCTTAGCATTCAGATACAAACCTAGAATACTTTAGACTCAACCTTGTATGAAGAAGGTTCCTACTACTAGAGATGTCCTCCTAAGAGGACTACTAAAGATGGCTGCTTAGCATTGGTTGAAATTTGGAGATCTCTGCTTGCAGCAGATTGTAAACACAGTTGGATTCTTTCTTGCAGGAATCAAAGGAATATCTGAGGAAACCACCACTGGAGTCCATAATCTCTATAAAATGCATGCCAAAGGGACCCTGAAGGTGCCAGCTATCAATGTTAATGACTCTGTCACCAAGGTAAGGTCACTAAACTCTTCTGTGTTGTCTCTCCTTCCATAGCTGATGACTATGGATTTGTTCTTCCTTGTGTCTCATTTTTCCTCTTGAGCCTTCACCTGCCATCTGAAATGATAAGAGTTCAGTAATGATTTTACTCTGATGAGCTGCTTGTCCACAGAACAACTCATCATAATTACTGATTTGTGATGGTGCTGGTCTTTTGCTTTGGGAAGCAGTGGTGGCAAAGCCTTCTGAGGTGTGTGTGCTTCAGAGACGGCATCTGAGCAGTAAGCTAGTAAGTCATTCCCCACAGCAAGTCTTTTTGGGGAAAGATGCATAGATTTCCTTTGAAGCTATAAGCTTTTGCATTCAAGCTAAATTGTAGCAGGGGGCACCCTTCTTAACATCCGTCAACACTTGCAGCAACTTTCCTCTCTAGGTTCCTGCAGCATTTGTGTCTAAAATATAGTTTGGATGCAAAATATCAAAGGCTTCTGTAAAGAAACTGCCTTTCTTTTGCCACCCCTGAAAGTTGACACTTTGCCAAGGAAGACTTCAGTGGCAGAACTATGGATAGTAGAAGTTGGGTTTAAACATGCTGATTTATGGAAACTGATGAAACCTGGATGCATTTAGCCTACCTCTAGCATTCTGATGTGCTTGCTTCATGCTGCGATCATCTTTGGAAATTGCTTCAGTTTCTCAAATTCTGCTTTCCTCCCTAGAGTAAATTTGACAACCTCTATGGCTGCCGGGAATCCCTCATCGATGGCATTAAGCGTGCCACAGATGTCATGATTGCAGGGAAAGTGGCTGTTGTGGCAGGCTATGGTGATGTTGGCAAAGGTTGTGCACAAGCCCTGAGAAACTTTGGTGCCAGGGTCATCATCACAGAAATTGATCCAATCAATGCACTGCAGGCAGCCATGGAAGGTGAGAATTGAAGGACTGTTTGCTCAAGTGAGTCATTGTTCTTGGTGAATCCAGCTAAGACATATGTGGCATAGGCCCATTAGAATGAATGGGAGTCCCAAATCTGGGGTCCATGCTTTAGGGTATGTTGTTTTAACCCTACGTATGCCACCCTAAGTGCTATGGGAAAAGGGTCGGGATGATACAGCTGTGATAGATACAGTGGTACCTCTAGATGCGAACGGGATTTGTTCCGGAGCCCCGTTTGCATCTAGAAGCAAACATAACCCATATCTGCGCGTGCGCGGGTCACGTTTCAGCGCTTCTGCGCATGCGTGTGACATCATTTTGACCGTCTGTGGATGTGCAAGCGGCAAAACCCGGAAGTAACGCACTCCGTTACTTCCAGGTTGCTGCAGAGCGCAACTCGAATGTGCTCATCTCGAAGCACATTCAACCCGAGGTATGACTGTACTTAAGAGCTGGCAAAACAGGAGACATATACTTTGTTTATGGATGCGGGTGGCACTGTGGTCTAAACCACTGAGCCTCTTGGGCTTGCCAATCAGAAGGTCGGCGGTTCGAATCCCCGCAATGGGATGAGCTCCTGTTGCTCGGTCCCAGCTCCTGCCCACCTAGCAGTTCAAAAGCACGTCAAAGTGCAAGTAGATAAATAGGGACCGCTCCAGCAGGAAGGTAAACGGTGTTTGCGTGCACTGCTCTGGTTTCGGTGTTCCGCTGCACCAGAAGCAGCTTAATCATGCTGGCCACATGACCCAGAAAAACTGTCTGCAGACAAACGCCAGCTCCCTCAGCCTGTAAAGTGAGATCAGGAGTCCTTTACCTTTTTACACCTTGTTTAAGGCAACCATCCCCCATGGTCTAATAGTGAAAGAGAACAGATACATTCTGGATCAGAAAAGGCAAGATGGAAGGTGGGTCACCTGTTGATCTACAGGGCCTTTTTGTACATTACACAGGGGAAGCCAGAATCTCTTTCCCTCTTTCAGTCTTATAATACGCATGTTTGCTGCATTCATTTTTTCACGTTTGTAGGTGTATGTGTAAAACTCTAACGCGTAAGGTGTGAAGAGGCCCACAGTTACAGTTCAATGTATCCTTTCCCTTCTCCTTATTTCCAGGTTATGAAGTTACAACAATGGAAGAAGCTTGCAAAGAGGGCAACATATTTGTTACCACCACTGGATGCTCAGAAATTGTGCATGGGAGGTACTGTATACTTTTTAGCTAGTGACTGCTATCCCTGTGTGTGTTGGGAAACAGGGATTGTGGAAGATGGTATTGCAGATATTACTATTCCACAGCTTGGAAAAATAGGATGAATAAAAACTGACTCCTCAGAATAAATATTGTCCAAACCATAAATATTGTTCCAAACTTTTGCTAACAGAACTTTCTTCAAACAGACACAAAACAAATAAGTGATACATTCAAATGGTTGCATAAAATCATGTGCTTGTCAAAGCACAGGTTCAGCTTCTTATAAATATAAAATACTATTTATAATTGGAGCTGACAAACAGAGCTCTGTCTCTCCTACAGACTCCATCAGCCTGCATTGTAGCCTGAGGCTGTTTTCTTTCCAGGAGAGACATAAGCATGTCTTTCCTTTATAGGCGCTGAGGAACAAAGGACTCCCTCAAAATGCCGATTTGCAACTCAATACCTTACTCATGTGATCTAAGGTTAAGCACCACATGGTCCTCAAGCAGCTCTCTAGGTATATCAGTGGAAATCCCCCAATGTTCCCTTTAGCAATACACATACAGAGTCATTTTCTATTCAATGCACAATTAAGCAACACATGGTTCATTGAAGCAGCTTTTGTGATGGTCTTGCTATTATCTTGCTCCCAATGTCATCTTCTGCGCATGGAACACAATTAAAATGGCGTACCCCTCTAGAATTTGTGTTCTGCAGATATAGGACTATTAACTTCTATCAGCCCTATCAGCATGGCAAAGGATGATGGGAGTTGTAGTCTAAGAGCTCCGGGGGGGGCAGAATACTGACTGTTCCTGCAATGCATCAGAGCCCGTTCAGCTGTTAAAACAATTTAATCTGGCCAGGCCCCAGTTCTTCTGGATATCTCTGGAGTATTTTGGTTCATAGAAGATATAACAGCATGTGGAGTTTAAATCTGCATTCCATCCTTTCTATTCTTGATTCTGCGACAGGGACAGAGAATCTGTGATACTCCAGAGGTTGTTGAGATTCAAATTCCCATCATCCCCAGCCAGCGTGGCCAATAGCAAGGGATAATGGAAGTCAGATTCAAACAACATCTTGAGGGCTGCAGTTTCCCCATCCCTGTTCTATAATAAGCCTGTAACCAAATCTGCTGAACCCTACTAACTGATTGGTAGCTGATTATGAATCAGAACAGAGCTGAGAATTTTACTGCTTTCACAGGCTGCAAGGAGGTAATTGGGTCAGGCCGTGACAACCAAGGTAGATGGGCTTTACAGTAGATTGTAGCAAGATTAGCAAAGGTGCATTAGAATGTGATGGTGGAGTTAGACCATCTTCCCAGTTCCATTTTTAATATGCTGGATTTTGGATGCTTTCTGTTGGGAGTGACAGGAAAGCACAAAAGTGCCTCCTAGTGTGACGTGGGCAGCTGAAAAAATAAGTGAAATTCTTGGGACTTGTATTGGTCTGTATACTGCATGGACCAGTCCTTGGGCCGAGGGAATGCATAAGACATCCGCTTTTGCCAGCCTGGTGCCTTCTAGACCACAACTCCATCAAGCAAAGTCAGGTTGCTGAAGGCTACCTTACATCCTTGTCATTTTCAGCAGATCTTTTTAGCTATGTAGCATCTGGTGGTCAAAGGACTTAGTTACTGGGATGAGACCCTTCCCAACTGTGATCTGTGGCCATCTTCAAGCAGTGTTCAGTTCCTTGGGTGCAGGACACAATTAATTACCTTCTCCACAAAGAGCTGTTTTTCTCCCCCTTCCAGGCATTTTGAGCACATGAAAGATGATGCCATCATATGCAACATTGGACACTTCGATGTGGAAATTGATGTGAAGTGGCTAAATGAGAACAGCGTGAAAACTGTGAACATTAAACCCCAGGTGAGTGAGAGCTAACTTAGAACACAAAAGATCCCATCTACATGGAACTCATTCTTGGGAGGATAAAGTGCCATGGGGAGAGTGTGGTGGCTACTCCAGAATTGGAGAAGGGGACCGCATCTTTTGACAGCTTGTTTCTGGTGAACACTGCTGAGGTGTGCCCTGTGCATCCCTCCTCTTTGGGACATGTGGTGAGCAAGGGATGAGGGGGGTGCAGACCAAAGACAAGAAAGTACCTTATTTTCACAAGGGCTGGGCCTGTACAGAGACTTTTAGCAGAATGCGCAGTTGGGTTGCAGTGCCAAGGCACATATTGTGGGTTTGGGCAGATCACCGGAGAGCTTTACACAGGTATGGTTCTTAAACAAGCTGAACTCTCTGTTGGCTATTTGCAGATTAGTTGTGCTGCAGAAGGCATGCTGGGGAGACCACACATTACAAGGAACGCAAAAATAACTTTTGCTAGGTTTTAATAACAAAAACAAAAACTCCTTTTACACTAAATATATCAATAGGCATAACCCATCCCCCGGGGTACTGAGAGAGCTAGGTGCTGCTCTTTATATACTGTACCCAACAGCTTAAGTAACATAACTTAACAGCACCTGCTATACTGCTTCACAGCTGTAAAACTAGGTCACGTTATTGCTCTGGCCCTTAAAGAAATACACATCTTGTGGAACAATAATGAACCTTCAAATTTAAAGAAACCATTCAATTCTCTCTTCTACCCCCTTATCACCACAGGGGAGATAGGCAGCATTACACAGTTGCTGATCTAAATCGTTAAAAGTTACAGGCTGGGTTGAGGACCTCAGGCTCCAGGTGCTGAATGCAGCCCACAAGGCTTCTCTGTCTTGCCCTCTGGTTTCTCCCCAGATCATCCCCCCCCCCCCCAGTCTGCTTTGTACCCTCCTTGGGTGTTTTTGCTGGGCTGGAATATGTCTTTGAACTCTGATCATGCCTGTTGCTTGCCTGAATAGAGTTAGGTTTGTGTATAGAAGCTACCTTACTCTACAAAGGTAAAATTTAAAATTCACGGCTGGGCCTATTTTGTCTCTAGACCTGCCTGCCACAGACATGTGGCCCATAAATGGATGATCAGAAGGGAATGTGACTCTGTCCCTGTTGTGGACCAATTCTGGGAGCCAGAAGGCATTAGTTATAGGAGGGAATGTAAAAAGCAGCAATTATAGCTTTGGAACTATGGAAATTTATTTCTTTTCACTGACAAAAAACTGTGAATAACATTTTAGAACCTTGCGAGTTCATGCAGACACTTTTTGAGACAGAAGGGAGAGATGTCTAACATATTTTGTTACACACATAAAGTATAATGAGGTTATCCCTGTTTCTGGTCAAACACTAGAAACTCATGGTGTACTTTTAAATTAATTTATATACTGCTTAATGTCAAAGTAGACTTCTGAGCAGCTTAGAAGTATAAAACCAATTACACGAAGTTCCATAATTAAAATCTACAATTAGATTGGAAGATTAAAATATAAACATTGAAAAATAAAATCATGTTATAGAAGAAACCCATTAAATGCGCACGCGCGCGCACACACACACAAATTAAAACAGGAGACTCGGGTCCCCGGCAGGTACCTTTCTCAGACACTTCTCTGAAACCAGACCTGGAGGCTGGAATGGCTCAATTGCCCATCCTGAATGCATAACAGGATGAAAGGTGAAGTTTTGTTCCTCTTGCACTCTTCAGGCTGATGTTGTTAATCTGCACACCTTCAGTAAAATGACCTCAGCCTTTTAGGATTAGACATGGTCCCATTTTAACTGCTTTGGCAGGCCTGGCTTGTATTAAATGTATATTAGAAACCAGCCTGGCAAAACTCTCACTTTGTGCCGCAACTGCTCTGGGTTGTGTCATGATTTTCTACCACAGATCTGCAGTCATGGTTAGTGTATCCTGTCAATGGCAAGTCCACATTTCCCTCTTGCCCCTTTCCTCGTGTGTTCAGCTACTGGTTTCCATTTACTCAAAGGTGGCTGGAGGCCTGGAGCTTTTCAGAAACACATTGTCATCCTCTCTTTTTCTTTTCTGAAGGGAATATATGGAACATTTTTCCAAGGCAACGTGCTAACTAGTTCTGAAATATTCCAGGTGCTGAGAATATGATACATCTTTTAGTGTGGCAACATCAGAAAACACTCCTTCCACATCATGCCATCTAACATAAAAAACAACCCCCCCTTTCTTAAAAGCCACAGTATGCAACCTAAGCAAGAATACTTGTTGTCAGAAGAGTAATTGGATCTGAGCGTGAGGCATATGGGATTGGAACCATCATAATGGAATTCCTAAGGAAAGACCTTATTCTGTTAGAACCAGGCTTTTGAGTGATCTCCTTCAAAGATAACCTCTGCAAACTGTTTTCAACTCCCTTTTCATGCGTGCACATACACATTTTACTGAAGCATAGGCTGCTAGTCATCAAGAACATTTATACTGAGGTTTTTTTGACATTGAATCCAACACATCCATATGTGTGTTGCTGACGGGACATTACAGATGGAGTCTAGACAGGTGGTTCTCTTTATTGTATCAGCTAACCCTTAAGAGCCAGGTAAGCACGCTCTCCTAGGATGTGTGCATACCTTGTGTGTGTATGCATATATTATTATTATTTATTATATTATATATATAAATATATATAATATAAATATATTTTTATATTTATATTTTATATATAATATAATATATTTATATATTATATAAATATAATATAAAATATATATAAAATATATATATATATTATATATAAATAAATATAAATATATAAATATATATTTATATATATAATATATATAAAAATAATATATATATATATATAAAAATATATAAATATATAAATATTATATATTTATTTCATATATTTATTATATTAGCACCCTCAAACCTCATGTTGCTTGGGAATTCTAAGGGCGGCATCCAGTGAGGTACTTCTGCTAGTGCTATGGTTTCTGCTTTTGCAACTGAACTCCTGTCCCCTTCCCCATTTCTGCCCTGGAAGGTTGGGGTAACTTGCAGAACACATTTAGCGGGGCATGCTAGGAGAGGAAGGGGAAGTTAGCATATTACATCAATCCTGCACTGGCTGCCAATTAGTTTCTAGGCTCATTTCAAACTGCTGGTTTTGACCTATAATACCTCAAGGACCACATCTCCCTATATGAACCTACCTAGACCCTGCAATCATCCTCTGAGGCCCTAAATGAGGGGTCTGGAGGGTGGCAACCCAAGAATGGCCTTTTTCCGTGCTGACTCCCTGTTTGTGGAATGCTCTCCCCAGGGAGGCACAACCCAGCGTAAATTACATACAAATACATAAAACAAAGGTACAATGAGCAATTTTCTTTTACAATGAAATAAGCATAGTTTTGTACCATTTATGATAGATCTTTATTTAATAGGGTAAACTGTAAATCAAGAAACACAATATAACCTGTCATCTGTTCAGTTTTGATCAAAAAACATTCCCCCCAGAACTCTTGTATATATTTATATGACCACATCATGTGAAAATAATTTCCTTGTTCTTCACATTTACTATTTCTCCTTTTTTTGGTATATTTTTAATTAGTTCCAGCATGGTATACCATCTGCTCATAATTTTAAAAGAAATGTCTCTAGTAGACACACTTACATAGATGCACTGTGGTTCCAAATATCTCCTTAGCCCTCTGCTATCACCTCTTTATCCAGTCTTCCTCCCAATTCTGCATATTCTCCATTTTAGCATTCAGCAAACATGGAACCTTGATGTATCAGTTTTTGCCCCATTTCTAATGAATCATCAGCTGATAATTCTTCCCTTTTCTCCAGCTTACAAACTTCACCTGAACCCAATATGCTTAAAATACCAAACTGTTCTCCCTCTCCACCCAACCTTTGGACCAGCCTTCTCCAGTCTTGCACAACTAAAGGGCTCTGTCACCCAAAGAAATACACTTTAAAAAAAGAATTGGATGCTTTGTGGTTTGGAACATGATGGGGAAATGCCCTGAAAGTGTGGACTGGGTGAATGAGTAATGGGAAGACACATAAACACCCCTCAAGCAAATCTGGATGGATGCTTATTGTCAAATAATGACCCTGCAAACAAATAGGAATGAATAAAGAGGATCAATAAAGACCTGATATAAATCTAACCTCTGTGTTAGCAAATTGAGATGAATGTTCAATTAAGCAGGTCATCTGGAGGGTCCCTAAACTTGTATTTTCTAGTACATTCGACGCATAAATGGGAATCCTCATTTGCCTTCTCTAGTGCTGCCGTACTGCTTCTTAAGTCCAATATCCGGTCCAGAGTGTCTGGTGCAAGCTCTTAAAAAGATGAATACCTCATGATCGTCATGAGTGCTGTGTGTTCCTTTCCAATGAGAGAATCAGCTTTCTTTCACTTTCTAGGGCAGGAGCTTAAGTATTGTTTCTCTCTGTTGTGCCTATGCCTCTGGAGGTTTGAATAGGGCTCTGTGGGTTTCCTCAATCACCCATTCATCATAGCCTAGTTCTAGTCAGGATTGAATTAATCTGTTAATTTGCAAAAGGCAAACTGGTTTCATTGAGGATAGTTTGCAGACTGGATATTCAGTGCCCAGATAGCTGTGGCTGTTTTGCTTCCTTCGGTTGTGTCAGCTCCTAGACCTTTTTTCTCACTCCATCTCTTTCCTGCAGTTTTGGTTTTCTTGTTTCACTGGAAAATGGCAGCTGCTGACATTGAGGCTGTTGCCTCATAACACCATGACTTGAGATGTCTGTTGTCCACAGGATCAACAGACATCCACAGGATGAATACCTTCTAAAGCACTCAATTGCGGCACAAAATACTGTTGTACTTCATTGGCCACATATTATTATTTTTTCACTGGATCTGTGAAAAGACCCATGTAGCCCCACACATGGGTGTGGGGAGTAGTGCCTTCCTTTTTAGTACACAACCTGCTGTGAAAAAGCTTCTGCTTTGTCATGCAGGGCAATCCTTATGCATGCTAAATTCCACGGTGTTCAGTAGTGCACAAATCAAGAAAGCACATATACAGTGGTACCTCGGGTTACATACGCTTCAGGTTACATACGCTTCAGGTTACAGACTCCGCTAACCCAGAAACAGTACCTTGGGTTAAGAAGTTTGCTTCAGGATGAGAACAGAAATCGTGCAGCGGCGGCGCAACGGCAGCAGGAGGTCCCATTAGCTAAAGTGGTGCTTCAGGTTAAGAACAGTTTCATATTAAGAATGGACCTCTGGAACGAATTAAGTACTTAACCTGAGGTACCGCTGTAAAGATTATGGCCTTGATTCCTTTAATCCGGAGTTTGTTGTTCTCAGCCAAGAAAGGTTTGGCAGACTGGTGCATTCTGAAAAGCCATTTGTCTAGGAACTGTACTGCCACTTAATAAGGGACATGGTTCTTAGCATTTGTTGGGTTACATTTTAATATACTGATTGTGTAGATAATACAGTGAAGAAGACTGGAGAAGGGCTGTAGCTTGGGGTCAACCATCGACTCTGCATTCAGGAGGTTCCGGGTTCAATCCCTGACATTTCCAGATAGGGTTGGGGATGCCTGCTGTCTGAAAGCCCAGAGAACCATTGCCAGTCTGTAGAGCCTACAGTGTCTGGCAGTGGCTCTTCAGGGTTTCAGGCAACTAGATGGTGGCTTCCAGTGTTCTTTCATATCAGGATCAGTTAATCATTTTCTGCCTGTTCTGCAGTGGTTGATGAACTAAGGATTAAAGCTTTTGATCCCAAGGTTTTTACCGCCCCGCCCCCAGATGTTATCCTCTTCCTCCTCATGTGCATCAGTGAGAGCCAATGTGGTGTAGTGGTTAAGAGCGGTAGACTCATAATCTGGTGAACCGGGTTTGGGTCTCCGCTCCACCACATGCAGCTGCTGGGTGACCTTGAGCTAGTCACACCTCTTTGAAGTCTCTCAGCCCCACTCACCTCACAGAGTGTTTGTTGTGGGGGAGGAAGGGAAAGGAGAATGTTAGCCGCTTTTGGACTCCTTCGGGTAGTGATAAAGCGGGATATCAAATCCAAACTCTTCTTCTTCATCATCATTCCCCATACCTGGCAGCCTAGCAGAGCTTTGTAGTAATGCCTCTGTGTCTTTCCCTGACTCACTCCTTAGCTCTCACTGGGTCTTTTTTTTCTATTCAGGTGGACCGCTACACGCTAAAAAATGGCCGCCACATCATACTTCTAGCAGAAGGCCGGCTGGTGAACTTGGGGTGTGCCATGGGGCACCCCAGCTTTGTTATGAGCAACTCCTTCACCAACCAGGTTCTGGCACAGATAGAGCTCTGGACACATCCTGACAAGTACGCAGTAGGAGTCCATATTCTCCCAAAGAAGGTGAGTGTTCAGACTTAGGTCCAGTGTTTCTTTGGATGAAATTGGTATAAAAGTAGTTTTTGTTGGGGGAGAGGAGGAGATAAGCTGACTTGAGACTCTGGAAAGCTGCTGCCAGTCAGAGTAGACTGATGAAAGGTCTGCGCTGACTGAAGGCAGCTTCCTATGCCCCTTGATTTGAATGTCAGTGAGTTTATGGCTGTGATATGGTTTGAACTAGGGATTCCCCAGCCCTCAGGTCCTTGCAACAACTGCTCTTAATTGTGCAATGTAATGATTGCCATCAATGCTTCCTCCAGCTGTTGTTGGACCTTGGCTCCCATCATTCTGGACCATTGACCATAATAGCATGGAATGATGGGAGCGCCATATTGGCTACCCCTAGTCTAGAAAAGCCTCATACTTTGTACAGTATCAATGAGCTAACCTGTGCGCTAGATCGTATTTGAATATGTTTTCAACTTCTGCAAAGAATACTTCTTTATACAGATTAATCTTGCGTGTCACGGGTCAAGAACCATTGCTCAAGGGTCTTGTGAGTTTTATTTTCTGCTTTGGTGTTGCCTTGCATTCCTGGAAAACATCAATTTGTCCCCAAACCCTTACTTTTCAAAGGGGTTGGTGCACAGAAGTGTTTCATATGTAATCAAAGGAGAAATGGGAGTTTGTCCTCATTCTTTGTTGTTCCTTCTGGAGCCCAGTTGTAGCTTGTTCTTTTGTATAGGCATGATGGATAAAGGGGAATATACAACTGCTTGAACATCTGAGCAAAGGCAGTCACAATCTGTTCCTAATTGTCCAAGTGTCCATCCTGTCTTTGTCCTTTTTGCCATTTTATTTCCCTGGGTTTATCCTTAATTATGAGTGAATTATTAATTATCAGTGAATTTCTTTGTTCTGAAAGAGGATGCGGGTTTGAGAGATGTAATAAATTACTAAAAACAAAAAGAGTCGTCTGGCCTCAATTTTCTAAAACAAGCCTGTGATTTTGACAAGATGGTCGTTGTTTGGTGCTTGGCCTAGGCTTAGTCGTCTTTGAAATTCAGCCAGAAGTGATTAGAAAAGATTTTCCCTTTGGTAAATAACATAAACCTGTGCACAACCAGCTGACGCACATACTTGCTGGAAGAGCTTTTCCGTTTAGACTAGTCCCCTAGGAAATATGAGTCCCAAATAAATTTTGCTGTTGAGGACGCTTCCCCGATGAACCTGGAGTCACTATGTGCCAGCATTACAACAATCTTGGGATGCTGAAGAAAATTTTGGCAATTGCACAGTGTGCACAGCCTTGGCTCATTGCCTGTCCTTGCCAGGGGATGGGGCCATATGCCTCATTGGGTGTGTGGGTGTTTGTATGCTGCTGCCAGTCAATGTAAGCAATATGGAGCTAAATGGACCTATAAGGTAAAGGTAAAGGGACCCCTGACCATTAGGTCCAGTCGTGACCGACTCTGGGATTGCGGCACTCATCTCGCTTTACTGGCCAAGGGAGCCGGCGTACAGCTTCCGGGTCATGTGGCCAGCATGACCAAGCCGCTTCTGGCAAACCAGAGCAGCGCACGGAAACGCCGTTTACCTTCCCACCGGAGTGGTACTTGCACTTGACGTGCTTTCGAACTGCTAGGTTGGCAGGAGCAGGGACCGAGCAACGGGAGCTCACCCGGTCGCGGGGATTCAAACCACCGACCTTCTGATCGACAAGTCCTAGGCTCTGTGGTTTAACCCACAGCGCCACCCACGTCCCTAAATGGACCTATAGTCTGATGCAAAATAAGGCAGCCTCCTCATCTCCATAGTAGTACAGCTTAGTCTTTTACATCCTTTAAACTATTCCCTCCCCTTTCTTTCTTTCAGCTGGATGAAGCTGTGGCTGCTGCTCACCTGGATAAACTTGGCGTGAAGCTAACAAAGCTGACCGATAAGCAGGCGAAGTACCTCGGAATACCCAAAGACGGCCCCTTCAAACCAGATCATTACAGATACTGAGCAGCTAGCAGGGCCCCAAAGATCAAGACACAGGGACGTAAATCTTTCAAAGTACTTGCTTCCCTGCTGGGATTCAGCAGACGGCTCCACCCCAGTCACTTTTTATATAAGCATTTAATAGCGGTTCTACATTGTCACATTTTGCTCTCCCCACTCACATCTCAGCCCATATTTCTTTTTTAGTGTGAAGTCCCCATGACTTTCCCCAAGCACTTTTTTCTCAAACAACTGTGCAGCCGGCTCCTCAGCAGAGTGGTTGCCATGCTGAAAGGTCTACGAGGAGTCTGCAAATTCACTTATCTTCAGGTCTGTGTTTCCAGGGGTGGCTCCTTTGCATCTTCAGGTACCTGGAGTGATCCTTCCCTAGCGGTTGTAAAGTACAGGCCACACTGCACAGCAGACTTTTTACCTAGCTGCTACATCATGCCTAGATAACTGGAACTTAGCTGGGGTTGACCTGAAACAAAAATGCAGGATTTGCTTGCATCTGCTCACTGGATCTCTCGGATCACAGATGCTGGTCCAGATCTAGCTTTTGGGTAATGTAACATGATCCCACTTTGCATATATAGTCTACGTAGTAAGAAAGGACCTGAATGTGTCCAGAGAGGCAACGTCTAGAAGCAATTTCTTTTGTGTGTAACAAAATTATAAGCCTGGAGCCAGGGATTGGGGCAGCCAGTTCTCCAAAGATGCCAGTGGTGAATGTCTACTTGGGCCTAATTTTTGAATCTTGTGCCTGTCATAGTGTCTTAAAACAAGTTTTCTTAATAAAATCTGCAATGGTTGCCTTGTTTTTCTTTATGATATTGCTATCATTTCACATTGTCATCTTAAACATTCACCTATTTAAGGCCACTTTTAAGCAGACAACTTTGTCAATATTCTGTGAATATATAGGGTTGCATCCAGAGTATAACCATTGGAATCAATTGATTTTTTTGTTAGTCATGTAATGTCCACTAATTTCAGTGAGTCTGCTCTGGTTATGACATAGGCTTAATGACATATAACTATAGGCTTCAGCCTATAGTCCTTTTCTGAAGGCAGTTCTTGTATCGCTCAGCATCATATCCTGTGACAGTAAATTCCAAAGAATGACAGCATGGGAGGAAGTCTACAGTATTATAGCGATGGCTCAGGGCAGGCACTGATTTTCACGCACAGGTGTATGGGGTATTTGAAAAGGGAAATTTGAGTGCTCACCCCCAAAATGTAGATTCTAAGGGTGGAATTCACTGTTGTGCAATGATGAACATTTCATCTGCAAGCATTTAAGCTGTTCTGGGGGTTCTCCCAACCACCCTGAGCCAATTTCAGGGGTGGGTAGGGCTGCCATATGTCCGGCTTTTCCTAGACACATCCTGGAATTGCTCAGCAATTGCGTCTGGGCGGATTTTTGCTGAATCAGCAAAATGCCTGGGGGGAGATGTTCCTGAAAAAAGCTCAACAACTTTGACCCCACCCCCAAAAAGCAAGCCCAACAACTTTGTTATTAATCCTAACAGGAAAGCCTCCATAAACCAATAGGGCTGGAGAATGCAAATGCCCAGAATCTGTTTTTAAGCTCCCTGCAGTAGAAGAAGAAGAAGAGGAGTTTGGATTTGATATCCCGCCTTTCACTCCCCTTCAGGAGTCTCAAAGCGGCTAACATTCTCCTTTCCCTTCCTCCCCCACAACAAACACTCTGTGAGGTGAGTGGGGCTGAGAGACTTCAAAGAAGTGTGACTGGCCCAAGGTCACCCAGCAGCTGCATGTGGAGGAGCGGAGACGCGAACCCGGTTCCCCAGATTAGGAGACTACCGCTCTTAACCACTACACCATACTGGCACCACACAGTACTTGTATCAATTCACACATCCAGTGATGTTGAAGCTGAATTCTTCATATGTGATTTTCTTTTGGCTCTCGCCATGTGCACAGTTGGGTCAAGATGGCCTTATGTGATCCAGCTCTGTGTGTGCACTTATATGGGATTGCATCGTGATTTTCGGTATCTGTGCCACAAATTCTGCCAAGATAATCACTGCAGACTTGCAAAAATTGTGCAAATCTGGTTCACACAGGATTGCCGCCACATGGTCATGGGGAGGACATAAATCCTCCAATTGGTTGAAGAGAAGTTGGCAGCTTCCCAGGTGTGAACTGGTTGTCTTCTGTAGTCTCTGCAGGCGCAGAAATTGGTTCTATGTCTGCACAGAGCAGACACCAGGAATTTCTTGGGGAGGGAGCCTAGGAGTGAGTGCTCCTACACCCCCCCTGCTTGAAGGTGAGAGTGCCTCCCCCCCCCCGATAACTATTGTATAAATCATCTCTCAGCTACCCACTGGTTACATGTCTCTCTGAAATGAATGAATCAGTTTCCCTGGTTCTGACCTCTTAAGCTGCGAAGGATGCTGTCATGGCAAGACAATAAATTCTCTGGTCATCTGTGCAATCACTTGACCTGCTCTATCACCTCCACTGCTTTCCTTAAATGGAATACTCTTGCAGCAATAATGAAGAAATGGAGAGGGGTGTCAGTTGCACAAGCACAAAAGAAATGAAAAATTGCTTACAAGAGATGGGGGAAGAGTTAGCCTTTCTTTTTAGAAAGTTCTCAGTCATTGCCCTACACAGGTACAGAATCCATGTGTGTCTGTTGGCACAGACAAATGTGGCACCAGTTACAGGTAAATTGCATTTTTTAAAAATAAATAAATTGGGACTTCAACTGGATACATGTTTATGCACATCACAACTTCTTTACAACCTTCAGTCAATATGCAGGATTCTTATATTGTAATTGCTTGCTTTTCTTTGATATATGCCACAGCTGTTCAAAACCTGGGCATGTTGGTTGGATGAAAAAAAATTACACCTTTTCCTCAGGCAGGTGTGATCTTTTTATATATAAAAAAGTGTTCTGCATTAAGGCCTTCAAACAAGCTGTGGAGGGAAGCACATGTCCCAAGATGGCAAGTTGCCTGCTTCCTTTTGATGAAAACTGGATGTGGGTTTTTCTTTTAACACCTATGCTCCCTTTTTCCTACCTATGGTTTAAGTTGCCTTTTACACTAATTCAGTTTATGGTGTTTGTTGGTAGCCTTGTGCTTCTTTCTGGAGATGGGGAAATGGACTAACAGAGCAATCCTGCACTCTTAAGTAATGCCAGGTGTGGTGCTGTAGGAAATGCCTGAAGCCCAGCTATGCTGGTAGAATGCAAGACATGCCACCACCATAGGAATCTGCCTTATACTGAGTTAGACCTTTGGTCCATCTAGCTTAGTATTGTTCACACTGACTGACAAGACTGTGAGAGGCAAGTCCCTCACAGTGTGAGGGGTGGGGGTGCTGCTGTTACCAGGTTATATGAGGCTGTTAGTTGCCAAGTAAGAGAGGAAAGGGAAATGAGTCGTACCTGGTAAAGGTAAAAGGTAAAGAACCCCTGACCGTTAAGTCCAGTCGCAGATGACTCTGGGGTTGCGGCGCTCATCTTGCTTTACTGGCTGAGGGAGCCGGCGTTTGTCCGGAGACAGCTTCCGGGTCATGTGGCCAGCATGACTAAATTGCTTCTGGCAAACCAGAGCAATGCACGGAAACGCTGTTTAGCTTTCCGCCGGAGTGGTACCTATTTATCTACTTGCATTTTTCGGCGTGCTTTTGAACTGCTAGGTTGGCAGGAGCTAGGACCAAGCAACAGGAGCTCACCCTGTCGCGGGGATTAAAACCGCCAACCTTCTGCTCAGCAAGCCCTAGGCTCTGTGGTTTAGACCACAGCACCACCCGCATCCCCAGTACCTGGTAGGGCAAGACTATTGGGCAAAATAGCAGGAGTGCAGATGGAATGGTCACATGCATTGCCAGGAAATTGGTCGTGGTGGGTGTAATTCAACAATGAATCAATGAGACAGAATTGAAAGTAAATACACATTTCAGCAGTACCCAGTTAGGAGACAGTTAAGATCAAATGTTAACGGTGACAGCAACTGACTAAATGATATCAGAACAGATATCATATTCCGACAATCCTTTTACAAAAACAAATTTAAAAAACCCCAGTATTGGAAAAAATCCTCAGAAAGTTACTACAAGAAAGACCGCTTTACAAAGGAAGTGGACAAGCAGACTATGGGCCAGTTCAATGCTTGGCCCACGTGTAATGAATCCCACCACCACCCCTAGGGAGCACATAAAGGTAAAGGTAAAGAGACCCCTGACCATTTGGTCCAGTCGTGATCGACTCTGGGGTTGCGGCGCTCATCTCGCTTTATTGGCCGAGGGAGCCGGCATACAGCTTCCGGGTCATGTGGCCAGCATGACTAAGCCACTTCTAGCGAACCAGAGCAGCGCACGGAAACGCCGTTTACCTTCCCGCCAGAGCGGTACCTATTTATCCACTTGCACTTTTATGTGCTTTCGAACTGCTAGGTGGGCAGGAGCAGGGACTGAGCAATGGGAGCTCACCCCGTCACGGGGATTCGAACCGCGACCTTCTGATCAGCAAGTCCTAGGCTCTGTGGTTTAACCCACAGTGCCACCCGCGTCCCTAGGGAGCACATAGGGACTAGCAATAACAGGGAAGTTGTTGTCTGTGACACTGCGGCTGTCTGTGTTGGAGGTACTGTGGTGCCATCCTGCATGTTTGTGTGGTGATGCCAGAACATGTAACTGGGAGCATGTCATTATTACCTTGAATTCATTGACTTATTTACTGCTGCCACAGTCCTTGACTGGTGGGCTGTAGTGATACTCCCAGAGACACTGGGGGAATATCTGTTGTTTGCATTTTCTCCTTATTTTGTTCCCTCCTGGGGAACACCCACCCACACATAACTGGGGTATACAGGTAGGTAGCCGTGTTGGTCTGGCACAGTCGAAATAAAAATAAAAATAAATAAAAAATTGTCTAGTAGCACCTTATAGACCAACTAAGTTTGTTCTGGTATAAGCTTTCATATGCATGCACACTTCTTCAGATACAGGGTATACAGTTGCTCTGCCCAGCAGAAAACTCCATACCAGATTATTGGCATTTGATGACAATGTGAATAGACTTTCTTTATGCCTTTCTTTAGAACAGAGGTGGGGGGCTTGTATTCCTCCATTCATTGTTGGACTTCAACTCCCATTAATGCCAGAAAATATTATCTGGTGCCTGAGGCAATCTCTTCAGTCACTCCTGTTTGGGGGATGGTAAAATGTGTGTGCCTGGCATGTGCTGGGACGTCCTTGGATTGTCCAAAGTACGCAGTCAGTTTCCAAGGGAAGAATATTTCAGAGACGACTTCTAGAGTTCTTTCATCTTTAAGAAGCGAAACCCTGTAAGCATTGCCCAGAAAATTCCCACCACTCGAGCACGTCAGCAGTGTGTAAGAAAACAATAAAATATAAGATGAGCTTAGAGTGCATATGAATCTGTCATATCTCCGTGAAGGCTTGCTGAGATTTTTAAAAGGAAGGTGTGTGTTTCTTACAGCCTTTCTAAAACAAAAGAATATGGAACCAGCAGGCATCTTTATGGTACCCACACTGACAGAACATAACAATCCTGCTGAGCCATTTAGTCCAGCATCGTGTTTGCCTACAGGAAGCCCACTAGCATGACATGAGTTCAAAGAAGCCTGCTGCTTGTGAGCCTCAGGAACTGGTATTCAGAGGCATGCTGCCATCAGTCTTGGAAATATAAGTATAGAGCTGCTATGACAAGCAGCCATGGGTAGCCTTATCCTCCATTAGTTTGTCTAACCGTCTTTTAATGCCATCTAAATTAATGGCCACCGCTATATATTGACACAGGAATCCTTTTAATTATTATATTTAAT